ATGGAAGTAAAATTCTTATTTGTCGGTGTGTTTGTTTTTAAGATAAGGACGCATACAGTACAAAAGACTGGTTTAAATATAATCGGTTAAGTCGAATCTACGTGGTCTGGGTTGCCTATTTTGTTTTCATACATTTGAGATATTATAGAAGCACACTCGGTTGCCTATTTTATGGACACTATTGATTTATTTGCGTTAAATACAACAGAATCTTGTAAATACAGATGGTTTAGTTGGACTCAGTGTTGCCACTCGTTCATTTTATTTCGTACTAGGTGGCTTCGTAATTTCGTACTAGATTGTACTAAATGCTATATGGGTGAAATTGGCCACAGATAGCAGCACCAATAATTTATATAATATATAAATATTATTTGGTTTTGTGTTACGAATATTTGGATGACTAAAAATCCTAAAAAAATAAACTATAAGAGAGACAACCAATAGTAAATTATTATACGAGAGATAATGCAGGCTATTATTCAAGAGGGTGAGGTTTACGTCTCGAGTCGCCAGACGAGAGACCTAAATTATCCGAGTGAATATTGCGCATAATCTCGAGTGTAATACTATACTTTAACTACTCCAATAAGTAGATAATTAAATGATTTTCAAAATTAAATAAATAAACATATGTCAAATGGTTAACCTCACTATTTACCAATTTTAAATGTTGTTATAGTCGCCTTTTCCCAATTTAAAACCCGTTCAAATCACAGTGAATATTGAAATCGGCCTATCATGATGCCTAACAACGTGAATAATGAGTTTATTATTCACGTTGTTAGGCATGAATTTTATAATGAACATTTAACATTGTTTATGGAAAAAACCCAAAATTACGCAATGGGAGTAGATAAATGCATTTTTTTTTGGCAGTCCTGCTCGAGAACTTCTAAAAAACTGCAAGTAGCAGACTGCAACGCTGGCTGTAAGATATAAAAAGCCCATAAAAAAAGAAGCCTGTGAAAAGAAGGTTGCAGAACACCCAGTGTGATTGCATAATTATTATTATTATTATTTTTTTATTCATGTCACTAACATAAAGTCAGGTGTTTGCATTGTTGCCAAAATAATTAAAAATTATTTTGGTTTTAATTCCGCACAATTGTGGTTTCGACCAATTTTGTTGCGAAAATATATTGAACTATAAAAAGTACTAGATTTTGCTAAAGCGTACTAACGTACTAAAAAATCAATTTTAGGACTAGATCTAGTACAAAAGTACTAAAAGTGGCAACACTGGTTGGACTACAGATATTACAGAAGATATCTCGGATCTTGGCAATACCACTAACCTCAAGTAATTATATTTTTATTAGTTAACACCGGGACAGCGCGTACGCAGTCCCGACTACCAAAAATTATGCGCCCGAGTTATCCGCATTAGGGATAATCGCAAGGGTCAGCCCGACCGTAGTGCAATGGACAGGCCTCGCCTCGGAGGAACCGCCTTATTGATCAAGGTTGACCTCTACGCCAGGTAAGTATGCTTTTTGCAGCCCAGCCTCTCCCTTATATTACCCGAACAGTCGTTCACAGCGGTGAGATGCAATGACAAGCATGCGCGATGGGTTGTTTGACTCGTGGCATCAAAATGCACTGCCTAGGTGCCACCTAGTAGGTGGTTTGGTCTAGGATGCACTGGTTGTACGTTAATCATATAACAAAAAATGAAGGGGTAAGAAGCAAAAGTTCAAGTGCAGAATTTGGTACTCTAAATTGGGATTTAACGTGAAAATTGTATGAGTTCTGCATGTTAATTAGCGCAAACAACAGTATTCAGATTTGTATAGCAAAAACTTTAAGAGTTAATAACTCCACTTTAAGAGTTAATAACTCCACTTCTCTTTTTTGCTTCTTAACCCTTCAAATATGGCTTAGAATATTACATCGTTTGCACATTATCACAATAAACTTAAAATTTGTTTAAAATGATTATGAATATTCTTTATGAAAGAAAAGTACGTTTAAAAACCGGTCAATTTTGCCAAATGAAGTCATTTAATGAACCAAACTTGTTTGCCATTTGTTCGCGAACTTCGTTCAAAAGATTGAATATTGTATTTAACCATCAATAATAATAAAAAAATTCGAACAAAATGCACGCAAATAACGTCAGTATTAGCTGGCCATACACAGACGTTATTGCGCGCGGTTTATCGTGTTATCTGCAAAAACATATGGAAAATCATGTACGTGAGTGAGTATCGCTGCGCGCAATGATAGAACGGGAAGGGATTTCAGACGTGCTTTCCTCTGGAGTGTGGCGTACATCTTTTTCTATGCACGCCACATTCCGCGTCACGGTTTACCTTTGCTTGGCAAAATTTCACGTTGAAAATTTGTACATGATCACATGCAGTTTCAAACGACTCGATAAATGACACTTTTTGCCCACTCACATACGATTTTTCCTTTGAAACTGATATACCACAAGCAATCACTTGCTAAATTATTTGAATACTTTATGAAGTGTATGGAACATGACGCTTTTTTTGCCATGCCGTTCTTTTGTGCATACTAACCGCTACATCCCAACACGCCACGATAAACCGCGCGAAATAACGCCTTTGTATGGCCAGCTATTAGCTGGCCATACACAGGCGTTATTTCACGCGGTTTATCGTGGCGTGTTGGGATGTAGCGGTTAGTATGCACGAAAGAACGGCATGGCAAAAAAAGCGTCATGTTCCATACACTTGATAAAGTATTCAAATGATTTAGCAAGTGATTGCCCGTGGTATATCAGTTTCAAAGGAAAAATCGTATGTGAGTGGGCAAAAAGTGTCATTTATCGAGTCGTTTGAAACTGCATGTGATCATGTACAAATTTTCAACGTGAAATTTTGCCAAGCAAAGGTAAACCGTGACGCGGAATGTGGCGTGTGGACACGCTACACTCCAGAGAAAAGCACGTCTGAAATCCCTTCCCGTTCTATCATTTCGCGCGGCGATACTCACTCACGTACATGATTTTCCATATGTTTTTGCAGATAACACGATAAACCGCGCGCAATAACGTCTGTGTATGGCCAGCTATTAGCTGGCCATACACAGGCGTTATTTCGCGCGGTTTATCGTGGCGTGTTGGGATGTAGCGGTTAGTATGCACGAAAGAACGGCATGGCAAAAAAAGCGTCATGTTCCATACACTTGATAAAGTATTCAAACGATTTAGCAAGTGATTGCCCGTGGTATATCAGTTTGAAAGGAAAAATCGTATGTGAGTGGGCAAAAAGTGTCATTTATCGACTCGTTTGAAACTGCATGTGATCATGTACAAATTTTCAACGTGAAATTTTGCCAAGCAAAGGTAAACCATGACGCGGAATGTGGAGTGTGGACACGCCACACTCCAGAGAAAAGCACGTCTGAAATCCCTTCCCGTTCTATCATTTCGCGCGGCGATACTCACTCACGTACATGATTTTCCATATGTTTTTGCAGATAACACGATAAACCGCGCGCAATAACGTCTGTGTATGGCCAGCTATTGTATTCTCCCTAAAATTTAACATTTATAGGAACAAAATGTCCAACCAAGACTATTTATAACATACAAAACTTAATTCAACGAAAATTTCGTTACGAAATCAAAGACTCGATAAGCGCTTTTTGTTTAATTACTTAAATATGGGCCGATCCCGGCGGTACTGCAATACCGGGCCAACCCGCGACGGGAGTGGAGCAAGCCCCTAACTCCCGTCAATTTCCAAAAATCAGTTTAATATACTGGCACCGCATGCGGTGCGTATCAGATATTAAGCTGATAAGAACAGATACTACACTTTGATCTTAGCCATAGGCCGAGAAGCGATAACGAAAACTCATACCACCTCATCTTTTAAGCAAATGTTTTACCCTAGCACAAGCGAGAGAAATTTAACAGTGACGGGCGCCGCCTAGCGACGTTGCGTCAAAACAAGAATTGATGTTTGACGCAGGGTCATCGAAGCGGTATATGCAGAGACAAGACTCTATGGGTATATGGTACAAAAATATTTGGCAAGATTATTTTCCGATATTTTTTATCATTCTAAATTCATTTGACTTTATTTTAAATTTTTTCCTGTCGAAATGTATTTGCCTATACTTCAATAATTTTTAGTAAAATGAGCTTTAACATTTTTGTTCTTGTTATAATGTAATTTTATTATTTCACATATTAAACAAGTAAGTTTGTTTAATTGTAATTATTTTAACAAATATACGTTTAACTTCTAATAAAAATATTTGTGTTTTATTTGCTTAACAGGGCCCGACTTTCGTCAGGCCAACAAAAAATTGTTTACAGACTCATTTGAGTTGTACCTCTCCACGGAAATCTTTAGTAAAAGGCGAAAGATTTATTCGCTTATTGAAGAGATACCAGAGTGACGATGAGTTGTTTTGTTACCCTACTTATTTACTCCAACCAGGTAAATAGCGGCGTCATGTATAAAGCTGCGTGCGCATGGCAACATGCTACTGTTAATTAATTAATTTGTTAGCACAAATCTTTAATAATAATTATAAAGTAAACATGTAGGTATCTATTGTACATATAAATTTATTAGTACTTAAATTGAAACCACTTGTAACTGTTTATTAAAAAATTAAAAACCTGTAGGTACAATTACTTTTTTTTCTTAAATAAAATTGAAATCCTTAATAAGTAAAAATAAATTACTACAAATAATAACTAAAATAAATACAAAATGTGCGCTTATCCTATCTGGTGAATTATTTTGTTTTACGGATTTAATTTCAATCCACTCAAAGAACATTGATATGTTTACATATACACTAGGATGTATTTCACAGTTTAATCCATATACAAATATCCCAGTTAATTTGTTATCACACATTAAAGATCTACCAATATTATCCTAAAATTATTAACAAGGAATTAATAGTATTAACAAAATAATAATCAAAACGCATTGTGTCTGCTTTAATACAAATAATAAAAATTTACAATATTTTGAGTTGATTTGAAAAATTATCATTTTTATATTTCAAATAAAGCAGACAATGTGCAATTCGACAATATTTTTTACGTGGCAAAATTTGGCATCTCCTCCGTCTCCAGCGCAGAAATTTTGCTGAGCAATAGATTTATACTCGGGCGTTTTAAGGCATTTCTCCCTCGATATCAGTGGAACATCGTCTACACATTTAAATCCCTCCATCTTTATACGCTACAAATTGATTTGTAAATATTTTTTGCTAAAAATTGGTTTAACAAACATTCAAATAATTTCTGAAAATAAGCAGATATTTATAATTTCAAAATTTAAAAAACGTTTCGAGATATTTAGCCAAATGTTGTTATGTATTTGATTTAAAAAATGTTTGAACGCTTGTTACTTATATAATATATATAAGTTATATTAAAAACTATAAAATTCTCCTGTAGGTTTTACCTTTTCACGGGGCGTCGCCTTTTCCCATCCACAAAGGACACACTTGTCTTCCTCACCAATAGGGTCTTGATTAATTTTGAGTGGAAAACGTTTTTCATCGACAGCAAACTTTTTTTCCAACTAAAATGTTATTTTTTATTCATTTTATATATTTTGTCCACTACTACTTCTGCACAAGTTACTTAATGCACTATAGTAAAAAAAGTGAGGTTAAATCCCTTTGACAGATGTCAGATTGGGAAAAGTGAGGTTAAACGCGTCTGACAGATGTCAAAGTTCAAATAAAAACAAAAATTTAACAAACCTAATAATTAAATATAAAATTATTGTACCTTTAACATAGCGACGTCGTTATCTAAGGATAATATGGCGAAACGTTCATGAATCAAAACTTTAGCGTGAACCCAAACCACCTCGCTATCCTCTGGGGTTGCAGCGGCCGCAAATATGTTATCAACAGGTAGTTTGCTGTGTGTAGGAAGGTTATAGAAGCAATGCGCGACAGAAATTACGTGGTATGCGTTAATTACTGTTCCGCCGCAAACGATCTTCTCATCTCTCTTAATAGACGCCTAAAAATTGGTAAGATTATAATTTAAGTATGAAAAATCAGGTTTCAACTCTGGTCTTAAAGCTTACACTCTGATTAATACACTTATAATAGAAACTGTTTTGAGAAATCTTTGTCAATAATAAAGCATTTTAACTAGACACCCTGTATATACACCCCCAGATAGCAAACGTGAATACGAAATCACGCGTGAGTGAATAATGTGTGCTATATGATTTCACACGTGAAGTCTTGAACTCGTAATTCACACGTGAGTAGATTATGAATTCATATTATAGTCTCGTGTGATTTAATCGATTTTATTTTAAAATACATGGATTGCATGATTAAAAACTGCACGTTTAAATATAAATAGAATATTAATATTCTAATATCAAAATATTACCTGACGCGCGAATTTTGGAATTATTATTTTAGTTACATTTTTAAAATTCGCACAGCTCCATTGCGCAATTATATAATATATTAAGTTATAAGTAGTTATATTATATAATTATATATTATAATATATTATTATAATTATATATATTATAGTAATATATATAATTACATAATATACAGGGTGTTTCTTTTAACTTGAGACAGCTCAATATCTCGAGAAATACGCATTTCACGGAAAAATGTCTTAAATAAAAGGTTAATGTGACTAAAGGGGACATTATTTGGTGCTACCGCTAGCCACCCCCCTACCCCTCCTTAAGGGTGAAACGGGGGGTAACTTTGGAAAGTCAAATGGAATGACCCGATTTTTTTCACAGAGTTTGGAAGTACATAAAAAAATAAATAACTTTTATTTAAAACTTTTTTCAATTTATCAACAGATGGCGCTGTAATTCAAAATTTAAGAAAAATGAGTTTCCTTGTAAAATGTATTATTTGAAACGTTTGAAAAACAAAAATTAACATTAACAACAATAGTCGGCTATGAAAACAATTTATAACAAATGTTCGAAATGTCGTCATTCCATTTCAACACATTTTTGAATGCGGGTAATGAATTCTGGCACACAACGCGCCAACATATCGGGCGGTATCGCCGCACAGGCGTTCCTGATCCGCTCCACCATGTCCTCCCAAGTTGTAGAAATTGCAGCGTAAACTTTTTCTTTCAAGTAACCCCACTGGAAGAAGTCTGGTGGCGTAAGATCAGGTGATCGAGCAGGCCAAATTACTGGACCACGTCTACCGATCCACCGCGGTGCACCGGCCATTAAACTCCCGATCCAACACCTCTCGAGCAATTGTCGAATAATGTGCAGGACAACCATCTTGCTGGTACCACATGTTTTGGAGCCGTGCTAGTGGTACATCCTCCAAAAGGTCCGTCAGATCGTTTTCTAGAAAATTCCGGTACTTTTCGCCATTTAATGCACCGTCAATAAAGAAGGGTCCGATTAATCGTTCGCTTAAGGTACCGCAGAAAAAGTTTACCGACCAGGGACGCTGGTGCTCCACTTGGTGTCGAAATGGAAGGACGACATTTCGAACATTTGTTATAAATTGTTTTCAGAGCCGACTATTGTTGATTTAATGTTAATTTTTGTTTTTCAAACGTTTCAAATAATACATTTTACAAGGAAACCCCTTTTTCTTAAATTTTGAATTACAGCGCCATCTGTTGATAAATTGAAAAAAACTTTCAAATAAAAGTTATTCATTTTTTATGTACTACCAAACTCTGTGAAAAAAATCGGGTCATTCCATTTGACTTTCCAAAGTTACCCCCCGTTTCACCCTTAAGGAGGGGTAGGGGGTGGCTAGCGGTAGCACCAAATAATGTCCCCTTTGGTCACATTAACCTTTTATTTAAGATATTTTTCCGTGAAATGCGTATTTCTCGAGATATTGAGCTGTCTCAAGTTAAAAGAAACACCCTGTATATTGGTTTAAAAGGTCACAATTATATGTTATAGGTACATTAATAATTAATATATGTATATTATATATTAATTAATTAATTAGTTAACCTTAAGGTTATAATTGGAATGTATAACCTATAATTGAGGAGCAATCAACCAAAACCAGATAAATCCATTTTGACTTCTTGAATGATTCATATTTCTTTTAGTCGGATAAATCAATTGGAAAAGTGAATTTCAAGATAAACTTATTATAATAATATATATATTATATACTAATATTAATATTAGTATATAATATAATAATTATTATATAATATTAATATTAATATTATGATCATATCATATTATGATAACAAGTTTAGCTTGAAATAGATATTTCCAATGGATTTATCTGAACAAAAGAAATAGTAACCATTCAAAAAGTCGAAATGGATTTATCTGGTTTAGTCTGATTGCTTCTCAATTATGGCCTTTTAAACCAAGTTTTTGTGTATTTTTTTAAGATGTTAAAATAAATATTTCGACAGATTGAATTATTTTGAAAAATGAAATCCATATTCTAAAAGCGCATGCGCAAAAAATAAAAAGTTCACGCGTGATGGCAAATTGAGCATCAATTGAGGACTCATCTGTCGCGTTATATGAATTCACGCGTGAATTTAATTTTCACGCGTGAATTCGTAGTGAATTCATAGTGAATTCATTTTGCTATCTGGGCCGCTAAAAAATTGCACAATCCAAGGTCTGGAGATCATTGGACCAGACCAGAGGTGAAGATTGTTTGGAGATATCTTTTAAATTAATGTACTGGATTGTTAAAAACATTTTGTCTTTTCAATGAATAATGTCATCTTCTAAAAATAAGAAATAGTTACTTGATAAAAAAATTCTTCCTCAGACCCGTCTCTATCTCCACGTACAACGTCCATGAATGGGCCTTAAAATAATACCTAATATAAATTTTATTTTAAAAACTAAAAATTAAACAATTTCTTACATAGCAATAAAATCATCGAAAGCATTTTCATTGTTCATTTAGATTTATTTTCTTTGTATCTTTGGTGTAAACAACTATCATGTCAAATAGGTGTCAATTAATCTTTCAAAAAATGTAACCTATAGTAAATATAAACGTTAAATCCGATTTTGTATTTTAGAAAATATTTTTTTTTATGCAGGATATATAAAAGTAATATTACTAACTAGTTAAATATTTGGTTTATTTATAGTCAATTTAAACTCTTGAAATAACCTTAATTTAGCGCTAGGCATTTGCTTGTCTACCTATTAGATTTCTACACCTTGTAGATACAATAAAATTTATATATATTTTTATTATAGAAGGATGTTCTACCATTGAAAATACATTTGTTAATTCTTTAACAAATTGTAATCAATACAGGCTGTAAAACAAATAATGCAACAAAGAAATAATACCCCTTTTTAGTAAAAAATCGTTTATTAGAACACATATAGAAAAACTATTATTTACAGGGATTGCACAGTTAATTAAGTGGAAAGTTAACGCACTAATCAGATCCAAATCAGTTAATAATAGGCAAAAATACCGTGGAAGCAAATCATGGATCGATGAAGGAAATCATGATGTACCTGGTGCCGCTGGTCACTCTGAGACCTTCATGGAAGTGCGTCAACCTGCCGGGGTGCATCAGAATCCAACCAGGTTTCGTATCCACCACGCTGCAGTTGTACCTGATGAACCTGCAACCGCCCCCCACGTAATCCTCCCCCACCTGGTTCAAAGCCACGTTGATCGTGTACGTGGAACTGTCGTGGTGCGGCCTCAGCGAAGGTTGCTCGTCCGGCTTGTACCTAGAGATGTGAAAAACCGTTTTTTTAGATGTGAAAAAAAAACATGAAAAAAAAACATAGAAAAAAAACGGTTTTTTTTTTTGTTTTTTCAAAATGAAATTTTAAGTAAAATGTATATTAATAACAGGGCTCCCACGGCTAAATTACAAATTTTATTTAGGAATTTAGGAGGTTTTTTTAAAATTTTAGGAGAAATAAACATCTCTTTACTACTTAAAAAATAAATAAAAAATTAATACTTCTTTTGTAACAATAAGTTATATTGACTAGTTTTTTTAGCCAAATCGCTCGACGAGTTTTTTTTTAAATAAACTTAAAAGTGAGGTAAAATTACTACTTTTGTATATATCTGAGGTACATAAATATACAAGTATAAATTTCACCACTTTTAATTTTATTTAAAAAAATGCGCCGATAGATTTAGTTAATGCCAAAATCAAATGATGTTATCTTTATATTTTAAGAAAAAACATGTTAACCGTTTAGTTAATAACTAACAGTAATTAAATCGATAAGGTTAAGAATAGTACAAGTCCAAAAGTAAAATTTTTGATAAAATATTTCAAAAAATCAGTTTTATAGTTCTAAATGCATTTTTGTTGGAATATTTTAACTATTTTATGAAATATAATATTCATTTTTTGTAAAATAATTTATATCTTCTAACAAAAATGTATTTTAAACTTTAAAATTGAAATTAAATTGAAAAATTAAATTTTTGGACTTGTACTGTTTTTATTCTCACCGATTCAATTGTAATGTGGATCTTAATACTTAAAAATGTCATAACAAAATATGAAGTTTGCAAAATACAGCAAAACATTCTTTAGATTGTTTACTATTTTAGCTGTCATTCAAAAGAAAATTAAAAATCCTTTTGTTTGGTATATAACACGGTATATTTTTGACTAAAAAACGAAATATCGCTAAAAATTACAATTTTGTTAGAAGTTTTTATGTTGTTTTTTAAGAAAAATTTTAGTTGTGATATTATATCATTTTAAAAAGAATTTAATAAAATAGAACCTAAATATATAAATTTTTAAATTACCTAATTTTTAAAAAAGATTTTTTTTAGCACTACCTTAATTAAATGCAATAAGGTTGGCCTATTTAAATTTAATTTTTAGGATTTTTAGGAGATTGAAGGCAATTTTAGGAGAATTTTAGGAGTTTTGAAGATTTAAGCAAAATTTTAGGAATTTTATGAGTTTTAGGAGGTGTGGGAGTCAAAATTTTCAATAATGAAAAATGTAATATATTCTACATTTTACTTTATTAAATAAAGTAAAATGTAGAATATATTACATTTTTCATTATTGAAAATTTTGACAGAGACTAAAAAATCTGATTTCTTATTATTTGATAGTTTCCACATTAGAAACCAATAGCAATGTAAAACTTCTATACTAATACAAAAAATTAAAGGATAAAAAAATGTTTTGCGATTCTTGAGATCTTTGTTAAAAATGGTCGTAAAAAAAGCAATATGAAGCTTGAAGTTTCTAGTTTTGATATTTTTAGATGAAAAACGTGCAACGCTCAATCCTAACGAATACCGTAATAAAAAAATCGATTTTTTTGGCTTTCTGGTCCACAGAATGTTCTGAATTTGCTATTGTTTAAAAAAAATCCATACTCTACATGAATTTGGAAAATCATGAAAAAAGTGCTTTTGGTAGCTTTTTGAAAAATCAAGTGCGGCCCTTATTGGTCAATTCGGTGGTGGTGGCGCGTGCATAGCGCGAGACTGTGTTTACATTTACTAATTGCCATTTAGTGACTAATTTTAGTCCATAAACTGGACTGGAAACAAAAAAATAGGCAAATGGGACTAATATTGAAAAAAAACCTAAAATGTGAAAAAAAAAAACAAAAAAACGGACCGTTTTTTTCAAGTCGCATCTCTACTAGGGTGATTCATTTCCGCAAAGTTTTTGTTTTCTTAGGTGCTCAAGCAAAATATTAATCTGCATATAGGAAAAAACATTCTCAACAAGTTTGAGCTCTTAATATAAATTTTAAGTACTTACTATTTAAATTTAAAGTTTTACCGTTTAAAATGCATGTAAAAATATATATATTTTTTCAAATTTCTAATGCTTACCCACCTTTGACAATATTGCAAATCGGTTTAATACACCTTATGGGGAATTTCACGCTTTTTAAAATTGCTTTTGAATTTTTTTTTGTAACTCGCATTGGTTCACCAGTAGGAGTCGTCAAAGGACAGTTTTTGAAAAAAATCGTTTTTTTTTTTAATTTTTTCTAACAAACCGCAAAAAGTAGGGAGAAAAAAGGGCTGAATCATAAAAAAAAGTTATCCAACCAAAATTTAATGAATTTACAGCCATTTTTATAACTGAAAACGTAAGAAATTGATAATTACCAACTCATAATGTTATTTAGATTGATTTTTTCTATTTATTATCATTATATTTCCCTACACTAAGAAGTTTTTTAAAATTATTGATTTTTCAATTATAATGAATATGAAAACAACAGATAAATTCATAAAAAAACAATAAGAAAATTGTAACGTGGATTTTGCAATTTTTCAACATTTCTGTCATATAGCAAAAAAATATAAATGAAGATTATTTAATTTTTTTAAGCGAAATTTGAAATATGTTACATAACCTTCTGTATATTCCGATTAAAGTTTTGTTGTTTTTTTTATGAATTTATGTGTTGTTTTCATATTCATTATGAGTGAGAAATCATAATAATTTTAAAAAAGTTCTTAGTGTAGGGAAATATAATGATAATAAATAGAAAAAATCAATCTCAATAACATTATGGGTTGGTATTTATCAATTTCTTACGTTTTCAGTTATAAAAATGGCAGTAAATTCATTAAATATTTGTTGGATAACTTTTTTTTTATGAATCAGCCCTTTTTTCTCACTACTTTTGGCGATTTGCTCGAAAAAATAAAAAAAACAATTTTTTCAAAAACTGTCCTTTGGCGACTCCTACTGGTGAACCAATGCGAGTTTTTTTAAAGAGCGTGAAATTCCCCATAAGGTGAATTAAACCGATTTGCAATATTGTCAAAGGTGGGTAAGCATTAGAAATTTGAAAAAAAATATATTTTTACATGCATTTTAAACGGTAAAACTTTAAATTTAAATAGTAAGTGCTTAAAATTAATATTAAGAGCTCAAACTTGGTGAGAATGTTTTTCCTATATGCAGATTAATATTTTGCTTGAGCACCGAAAAAAAACCAAAAACTTTGCGGAAATGAATCACCCTAATCTCTACTTGTACCTGACCACGAAGTTCATCAGCGATTTCGGCGGGTCGTGGTAGTACCCGATGAAAACCAGCTCCTGAAGAGGGCGCACGTACTTCTGCAGAAAGTGCAGCCAGTGCCTCTCCCAGCCCACCTGATTCATGTGGATGTCGCGCGTGGGCACCGCCTCGTACCCGCCCTCCAAACGATCGTCGTCGTTCTTGCCCGTCGACCACTTCCCGAACGTTTCCATCATGTTTATGAGACTGCTGGTGAACTTTCTGGACACCACGGGGAACCAGTACACGTCCGGGCAGGGCTGTTTGGGGGCGTTTTCCGGATCGAAATTACCCGGGTAATCTTCGTGTATGTATCTTTCCTCCCACTCCTTTTCGTTCTCGAAAATCTGGTACATGTCGGGTTCTGCGAGCGTGAGGTCGTACGTCTCCGGGTTCACTAGGTGTCCGAAGTCAACGCGATTCGAGACGTAAATAAACACGTCGAGATTCCTGAGATTCGCGCAGAAAGACATATCGGCATCCAGTAGGCCGTTTTTGTAGTTTATTTGCGATCTGTCATATTTGTTGAGTAGGGTGGCGTTGAGTAGATAGGCGTTAGTGACGAAGGGGACATTCCAAAGACCGCTGAAAAAAGTCAGTTTGTAAACAACTCATTCACAAAAAAGCTATGTGCTGCCAACTTTAGTAGATTCGGAAATTTCATCGTTAGTAGGACAGTAGGATTTTTTAGTGGGATTTTGAAATAGTTTGCAGTCAACAATACATTTAAAGGAAAAACTAAAAAACTGGTTTAGTACTCGATTTCGATTTATTATTCTTTATATCATTGATTAAGAAACTCAACGCTTAAATGCTTATATAGTTATACGTTAGTGTGTGTATTTTATCTAAGGGATCATGGTGAATTATTGTGTTTTTAATTGTAAATAAAATTCAAGAACTAAATCGTTGCATTATCACGTTTTGCCAAAGGATCCAATTCGGTAAGTACATTTGTTGGTGCAGAATTAACTAATGATAATTTTACCTAATATAATTTATATTTTAGTTTGGACATTTTTAAGAAATTAGTATAAAATAATTTTTGCACAAACATAACCTTAAAATCAACCATTTTTATATTTGAGTTCTCTAAAAAACGCCGACAACTGCATTTTAAACAACAAAATATACCTACGAATTCATGGCAACATAATAGGTATTATATATAATACATAATATAATGGTATTTTACCGTTTAGTGGACCCTTTAGTTTCTTAATTAGAGATTCACGACTGTTTTTGTTTATTTTTTATTAAAAGTATGAAGTCTTTTCATTGTTTCATTTATTTTTATAAAAAATCCTAGATTATATAAAAAATACCGATTTAGTAGTATTTTCATGTTTGACTAGTAGGACGGCTGAAAAATAGATGGCAACACTAACAAGTGATTTTCATTTTACAATAATTAAGCCTTTAATTCTCTAAAAGAAGGTTAAAAAAGTTGCCAACATGCAAAATAAAAATAAAACAATAATGATGCTTTTAAGTTTACGGTTTAGAAAATTTAGTACCTATTTTAAAAACTCCATAACCACAAAATTAATTTTTTCATCGGTTTTTTTCTTTCTGTTTACTCAGATGAAATTAGGACAAGTTCATAAGTTAAACTTTAAATATTCAATTTGTGTGAATAAATCCATTTTTGTAATTATGCTAAATTTAAACAAATTTGGCAACTTTTTTGACAGAATCTGGAAACGCCGGTTGTTAAATTAAATTAGGCAACCAAATTAGCCTAAAGTTCCTAGTCGATCAGTGGCGTACTTTTTGGTAGGATAAAGTTTATTATAAATTATTTTTAGTCTTCAGAAGTTAGAAAAAAAAGTTTCAAGTGCTTCTTTATGGACCCTAAGGTACTACGCATTTTCATATATTATATTAATTACATAACTCCCTGTATAAAAACTCTAATGATAAATTCTTGAGCTATTGCGTTTTCCACCTACTAAATCAAATTAACTTAATAATCTTCACAACATCGCACCTACTTATTTACAAGTGCGAACTGATTGTTTACATTTATCATCACCGGTGCCCCCTTTAAAACGACAACATCAACACCAACAAAATAGCCGGCCAATTAGGGCAATTTGCTCGACCCCATTTGATTTTTTTCGTTGACAAAGTAGTTCGATGTCGGTGTCCCAATTAAATAGGTGGAACAACAACGAACACGTTTTTACGAGATACCAAAGTAAAATCGCGAGCTGACACAAAATGGTCTCGAGCAAGTGGCTGATCCTCCTGCTGCTCTTTTGTTTGCGTCTTGAAGCTTGTTCGGCCGCGAGGGGAGGGGGAGGCCTCAGAGGTAGGTGACATCACTTTATATACAGGGTGTTTCATACGTCTGCACACAGCGAACGGAAAAATATAGATGACGCCACGTTTGAATACACGGTATAGAGTTGTATTCGTCAGTCGAGCGTTTCAATACTCTCCACAGTATAGAGGTCGTGATTTGACTTTTGAACTAGTATTAACATGAAAATTATTTTATGCTTGAAAAAAAACTATACGACATGATTGTGATTTTTTTCATTTTATTAATTAATTAAGCTGTGTTAAATATTTTTCCTAAAGGAATAATTGACAATGGGCCATTAATTCATTTGTTCGTAGATGCTAAAATAACCTGCACTGGTGTGTACTTTTTGACCAACCAGATTTAAATATTGCTGTACTAACATATACAAGTGGAGATAGTGCAGGGTCCACCAACAGACCTCATTACTAAATTATTAACGTTTAATACATATCGATCGTTTTTTAAACATAACCTCTGAAATTTTTAATACAAATATAGGTACTTTATATAATACATAAATATACTTTACATCATATCCTCTGTGCTTTACATACCCGAGTTGTTACGGTAAATAAAAATCAGACAAAGGAACCAAAGAAAGGAACTGTTTTCAACAAAATCATATGCAGAAATGAGAATATTCAAAATACTTGCATCCATCAAAGGATCAAAACTTTTTGCAATATTGAATTATACCCTCTTTTTATGCTCTCAGAAATATTGACTAGAACAGTATTAGAGACTCCAGTTTCTATAACTTGGTAGAGTAAAGAGAAGTCGAAACCGTTGCCATATTGCATTGCGCTGTTTTTTATAATTCTCGGGACATTAACGAAAATCAGTGCCAGTAAAATTCGAAAAGCTTGAGTTTCTATGTCTTTGAAGAGAATAAGAATCCGAAGTTGCTGCACCATTGGACTGTCCCCTGTTTCAATAATTTCTAGAGACATAAATGACTGCACCATTCGACAGGGTCGAGTTTCTACCTCTCTGTTGAATATAGAAAACCAAAATAATGTATCTTGTAAGACACCATTAAGTTTGACTTTAACTATGGTCGTGCATAGGTATAGAGGCAAAAAATATAAAAACAAAGCACGATTCCTTAAGATTTAGTATTCAAACGGGGAGTCATTTTATACACTTCAACATTTTTCCGTTTGCTGTACAACACTTCTTTGTATTTTTCCGCAATTTTAGGTAAAGGCATCAGAGGTAGAGGGCGCTTGTACAGTTCTCGTATGCCAGTTATAATCCAGCACAGAAACCCAGCTTCCGCCAATTATTATGACCACAAAGATGTACGTCACAATTTCATTCACCCTCAAAAAAACTTTTTAATAGAAAGTAAATATTTTAGGGGGCTAAAATTGTAAAAGCCAGCCATTTCGAGTTGGAGTACATGCTGGGACGAAAAATAACCTTTTTCTGCATGGCCGTAGGTACAGTGTTGGGGACTACTTTTTAAATTCTTCAAGTCTACTTTTTAACAACAAAATGTTATTTTTTAGGGGATCCTAGACCGGAAATCACGTGGTTCAAAGATGGGATAGAGTTGTATGCCCACAAGTTTTTTCAGGTAGATATTTCAAAATCTGTCAAAATGTACTAATATACATAATATTCAGAGTTTGTTATCTGGGTTGCCTACCTAAATAGACAATTTATTACTTTAAAATCTTAACAAAAATTAAAAAATATTTTTTTTCTTTTAATCCAAGGTTCATGAATGGCCTTCGGGCAACGACACGATAAAAAGCAAAATGGAAATAGACCCTACCACCCAAAAAGATGCGGGATTTTACGAATGTCAAGCCAACAACAAATATGCGATCGACACAAGAGGTTTCAGAACCGATTACGTTATGATCACCTACTAAATAATTATTTTTGTTATTATTAAGTTTAAATTTTATAAAACATACTGTATAAATACTTAAGTAAGACTGTGCATAATCAATAATAAAGTCATAATCATCAAGAGTTGTTTGATTTTATAATAAAAACTCCAAAAATAGAATGCAAAATAAAAACAACAGTTAAAATCACTTAAGTATCATATTTCTTAATCTAGCATCGGCAATTTTCGAATCAAGACCCATCTAATGATGCATAAGAATCGAAATCCTCTCGTCGACCGATTTGGCACGTAGAAAAAAATTCCCTTCGCATAATACCTTAATTAGGATGAATTATCGTCAATCTGCATGAAACAGTAGGGGAGACGCAAACCTAATAGATTTGCACGCATTTCGCCGCAGTTACTGTTGCGTGAGGTATGAAAGGTATGAAAAAGGAATTCTCGTTCATATTGCTGCTGATTGTTTTGTGCTTTCACGATGCCCAGTGCCGCAGGGGCAGGGCCAGGTCCAGGACCAAGTCTAAGGTAAGAATATCACTTTTTTGATATCGCACTTAAAACACTTTGTATCTTACTAACCGCTTAGGCCAGAAAACTGAGATTTTAATTGAACTTTAACAACACCATCAGTTAGGTTGTGTCAAAATTTTATAGATCTATCGTTTATACTTTTTAAGATATAATATAAAATACTATGTATATATGGATTTTTTTATTTGTGCACTTAGATCCTTATGTATCTCAGTAATTACTGGAGCTATTAACTTTAAATTTCATAGGTAGTTTAATTAATATATAAATATTATTTACTGCAAATTTCATCAATATATCCCTACTATTTTAAAAGATACAAGCAACTTTGTAACGCAACAATTTTTTTTAGTTTCAAATCGGCTTGCCCATAACTGGCAAATACAGGGACCCGGAATCCGATCAATATTACAACAACAACAATGTAAAACCATAAAAAAATGTTTAATAAAATATCGATTTTATTGTTGAAAAATTTTTAGGGGGCAAAAATCACCCTGGCATCACATTTCGATTATGAATACGTGCTGGGTCATAAGATCGCTTTTCTCTGCGTTGCAAGAGGAAATCCGAGACCTCACATCACCTGGTATAAAGACGGCAGCGAAATTTTTACTCACTTATATTTAAACGTAAGTTCTACGCGTAACTAACGCCATCTAGTTGTCTATATTGGCACCAATACGTTGTGTGAATCATAGATGGCGTTGATTGAAGTTTAAACCAATAGAATGGTCTATTGGTTTAAACTACAATCAACGCCATCTATGTTTCACACAACGACTACTACTGACAACTAGATTACGCGTTTAAAACCTTAAAACTGTATTTTCCGTGATTTGTGCGTCTTTTTAGATTCACGAATGGAGAATTGGGAAGGATAAGATAAAAAGTAAGCTGGAAATAGATCCGGCCACCCAAATGGACGCGGGGGTTTACGAGTGTACCGCAGATAACATGTATTCAATAGACAGAAGATCGTTCAAAACCGATTTCAGCATTGCTTTCGACTAAATCTTCTAGATGCGTAATTTATTTTTTATTATTGTGATAGGTATTCCTTAAAATGTAATAAACCTGAAGTTAATGTGCGACTCACCGTTTTTCATTCCACACGATGTTCATGTAGTCGTTCGATCTCGCGTAGTAGCCTTCGGCTGTCAAAGAGCCCCAAAAGTTGCTCCAAGCGCGCCCGGGTCTGGTCAACATGGGGGCCACGATGGTTCGGTTTTGTTCGATGAGTAGTTTTAAGGTTTGCGGGTTGTCCAGGTGGGCTATGGAGTCCAGGGAAAGGTAGCTGTCGCATTTTTTCACCAGGCAGTAATCCCTGTCAATTAAAAGATTCGTTTCTTGAAGTTTTACTTTTTTTGGCGTTGGGAGTAAATTTTAGCATGCAATCCAATATGGCGGCTGCCCCAAGATTGCCTATTACCTATTTATTTTTAACCTCATGGGTATATAAAATGAACGGGTTTATTAACGAGTAAAAAATTTTCATAATTTTCAAGTTTTAGGAAATTTTGAAAATTTACTTCAAAAAACAACAAAATAAACAACAAATTCAAAATTTACAAATTTTTTAAAATCTTTAATATTTGCAAAAATTTATATGGGTATCAATCAAATAAAAGGGTTTAGAGAGAGAAATTTTTTAAAAATTAATTCAAATTCTTGAAACTTTCGAAAAAATTTTCTAATTTATAATAAATTTTAAAACCTTGACATGGTATCAAATAAAAGAGTTTAACGAAGAAACTGATAACCTAAATGAAAATTTCAAAAAAATTTAAATTTTCTAAAACATTTAAAATTTCCAATATTTTTTGAATTATTCAATTTTTTAAAATTTTAAAGGCGAATCAAATTTTTTAAAATTGCATGATTTTAAAAATTTATAAAATCTTTAAAATCTACAAAATTGAAAAAAATTTCAAATTTAGAAATTTTTTAGATTTATACATTTTTGTAAATTTACAAATTTACAATTTTTTTTAAATTATCAAATTTTTTTTAAATTTTAAAAGCGAATGAAATTTTCACAAAATTCAAATTTTATGAAAACTTTTAAATTTACAAAATTGCGAAAAATTTTAAAACTTCAAAAAACATCAAAATTAACAAAAGTTTCGAAATTTACAAAACTTACAAATTTTTTAGTTATCCAGTTTTTTTTTTTAATTTTAAAGGCGAATGAAAATTTTCATAATTTTCAAATTTTATAAAATTGACAAAAATTTCGAAATTACCAAAATTTTTTAAATCTATAAAATTTGCAACATTTACAAAATTTCAAAAAATAATCAATTTCAAAAAAACATCAAAATTTACAATAATTTATATTGTTATGAAAAGAGTGGAAAATTTTAAAATTTTATAAATATTGAGAACTCAAAATATCCAAAAATTTTAAAACTCCAAATTTACAAAATTCTTAAAATTTTCCAAATTTACAATCTCCTTTACATATTATTAAATAACGAAAAAAACGATAACGAGAAAGAAAATTTTCTAAAATATTTAATTAAAAAATCAAAAAACTTCAAAGTTTTATAAAATGTTCAAAATTTCGAAAATTTAAAAAAATGTCAAAAATTACAATTATCCAAATTTAAAAAAATTTTAAAACATTCTTTACATGGGTATTAAATAAAAGGGTTAAAAAATTAGAAAATTTCAAAAAAATTAAAACTTCAAAAACGTTAAAATTAAAAAAAAAAATTGAGATTTCCAAAATTTTTAAATTTACAAGATATATTTACATATATCTTGGAAATTTCAAAAATTTGGAAATTTTAAAATTTTTGTTAATTTTAATGCTTTTGGAAGTTTTCACAATTTTAAAACTTTGAAAAAAGTGTTAAAATTTCAACAAAAAAAAATAAGTTCAAAAAATATCAAAATTAACAAAAATTTTAAAATTTTTCGAGATTTACAAAACCTCATGACTTTGGTAAAAAAAGTGTTAAATTAGTAGAAAACGATAAGTAAAAATTGTCAAAATTTCGAAAAAATTGAATTTTTGAAAATTTTCAAGATTCCCATAATGTTTAAAACCTGGTATCAAATAAAATGGTTACGAGTAGAAGAAAATGATGAAATCTTTCCAATTTACAAAAATTCAAAAAATTTAAAAACTTCAATAAACAGTAAAATTTTGAAATTTTCTAAATTCTTTAAATTTTGCAATTTCCAAAATTTTTCTTGACCTAAAAATATTGTTTTTAGGCTACTTACAAAGATAGGTCTCTGGCTGCATGTTCTGTAGTACCATCAGAGGGTTTAATTTGTTTAACCGACAAATAGTCTACACCTTGTTCTTCGATAAATTTGCTAACAACATCACTGTGATACTGAACAGCATTATGCACAAACAAGTGTATCCTATTTTTAGGATACTCCAGGTTATAAACTTTTTCGAGCATTTCCTCCAAAAACGGCGTGGGAATTTCAACGAAAATACCAATCATAACAAGCGGTAATTTTTCGTCATCTATTTCTTTAAGGGAAACTTGATTTTTCAGGCAGGTTATGCAACCTTCAATGGAGTTCCACGAGTTCGGCACGTAGTTTGATATGTAGTTTAACGATTGTTTAGCAGCCCCATTACCGTGTAAAATTAGAGGGTCAGTGTAGAATAGGGTGTTCCTTATTTTGTAGATTTCAGTGTTGGCTTCCTTATCTTCAATTACTTTGACCTCCAGTTCAGCTATAAAAGAATTTCGTTAAAAATAGTGTTAATTAATGAGTGAAAGTGTTCTTACTTGCCGCTCCGTTAATATTCTGGATAATTTCGCTTTTGTGGTCCAACTTAAACTGATGTTTCTGCCTGAACTCCTCATCCAAGTAGGCCTTGGTGAAAAACAACTGATCGTCGCCGTCGTCCTGGATTTCCTCCCGGGTCAAGAGCTCGTAGACTTCCGGTGCATACCCGATGTAAGCGCCGGAATTCAAGAACCTCTTCCCCTCGGTAACTTCCGGGTACTGTTCCGCCAGAAGCGGATCCGGCCAAGCGAACTTCTCCGCGCCGAACAAAATTTTCGCCTCGAACTTCCGGAATCTCTCCAGCACTTCCTGGAGTTTATCCACGAAAACGACATCGAACCCGTCCGTGAATAAAATTATTTTGCTCGCGTCGTTCTTGTGAGGCTCGATAGCCTTTTTGAGGAGGTTTATTTTGAAACCGCCCCCCGGTCCCTTCTTTATGTTTCCCCCTCTCCACTCCGCCCCGTAACCGAGGACGATCGGTTTTATATCGTAGAACTCCGCGCTTTCTAGGTATCTCTGAAAACCGTCTGTTTCCTCTGTCGCTACAGTAAAAACTAGAATTTCTGGAAAAAATACCCAAATTATTAGAAAAAAATAGAAAATGTCTTAGTATACGCTAAAGAAGTATCAGCACAGATTATACATCATTTTTAAATAAATAGGTAGTTTTTTCACAAAAGAAAGTCTTACTCGACAAATTTTGTTCAGTTGCACAGCTAAATCGCGCACGTTATTTGTGTTTTAGGTTGCAAAGAAAAAACTAAAAAACTCTTTTAGTACTCGATTTCGATTGATTATTCCTTATATTATTGATTAAGAAACTCAACGCTTAAATGCTTATATAGTTACGTTAGTGTGTGCATTTTATCTAAGGGATCATGGTGAATTATTGTGTTTTTAATTGTAAATAAAATTCAAGAACTAAATCGTTGCATTTTCATGTTTTGCCAAAGGATCCAATTCGGTAAGTACATTTGTTGGTGCAGAATTAAGTAATGATAACTTTACCTAATATAATTTAAATTTGGACATTTTTAAGAAATTAGTAATAAATAATTTTTGCACAAACATAACCTTAAAATCAACAATTTTTATATTTGAGTTCTCTAAAAAACGCCGACAAGTGCATTTTAAACAACAAAATATATTTACGAATTCATAGCAAAATAATGTTATATATAATACATAATATAATGATATTTTACCGTTGAGTGGAGACTTTAAAGAAAATTTAATGAACGCTTTTAATAATGCTAAATGCTGTCCACCAGATGGCGCGCGTTTTGAAAACTCGATACTTCTTTAGCGTATGGTCCAGAGATATGGATATGGTCAGATAAAATGTCAAATAAAATGAACTTAAAATTAAAAAAAAGCATCACTGCGCCATTATTACTACTTCTACATTTAATATACCTACTCAAATCAAACCAAAACATTCATTTTTTGTTAAAAATATTCATATTATACCTATACAGTTACTTAATGCACTGCACCATGGTGCATTAAATTGGGAAAAAGTAAGGTTAAGTTAGCTACATTATAAATAGTAAGTATAAAAGTAAAATTAATTATGTTAAAATATATTAAAATTTAAGCTAGATACAACTGTTAACTTAAACTATATAAACATATTTTCTAATAAATCATGTTGTACCTAAAGTAAAACAACAAATTTTTGAAACGTTATTTTAATTGAATTAAAATTAAAAAGCGAGTGTTTAATTAAATAAGTATGACTATGACTATTGTATGACATTTGACACTTGTCAACTAACTTAAAACTAACTTCAGCCCGTGACTAAAGCGCCATAAAGCCACATCTTGTCAATGTGTATTTAAAAGGTCACTTGGTGTCATGGAAACATGTATGATAATGGGCGTTTTAAAGCTGGGAGTGGAAAAATAAAATTAATTTTAAAAACCTATAATTTTTAACACACCCTGTATACAGAAGAAAGTAGGTAGTCTATTTCTATATTTAAAGCAAAGTTAAGTTAAAACCTAAGTTTTTAAATTGGCTCTGTATTGGTAATTGTAATAAAATCTCAAAGTATGCATACAGTTTAATTGCTTACATAAAAATATAAATAGAAAATGATTGAATAAACAATTTTAAACACAGCGACTTTTGGTATCACCATTTCCTGCACTATATGATAAACTTTACTATGTAGCATAATTTGGGAACATTTTAAGATAATTATTATACAATATTAATCTTCTTTTTTTAATTAACGATGAATGAATTTGTGTTAGAATAATTAAAGTTTATTAATGTTTTGAACACATGTGCGTTAATGTAATTGCATCATAGCGGCTGTGACTTATTTGAATAATAAATTGACAATTAAAATTATAATAAATACATACTTATACATTTTACATTTTAAATTGTATAATTTACAACATAAAAGAATAAAATACAATAATTTGACAATTATATTACTGACAATGGCATTTGTTTATAGTTCAAATATAAACAAATGTCAAGTTAACCTCAAAATACAGTAGTTTTTAATCAAAGACGCCTTGATTTTACTTACGCATATAAAAAACTTTGAATAAAACTTAAAAAATAATAATTCACATATTGGGATGTTAAAATCAGAGTGGGACATGCTTACCATCATCTTTTTCGGTGTTGGCAACGAAAACAAAAGAAAACACGAATACTATCACACAAAATACCTTCATGATTACATAAAATTATAAAACACAAAACAATTTAACGTAAATTATTTACAAATAACACATCCCTCCACCATCAGTCTTGTTATGGCACTAAAAAATCTGACATGTTCTCTCTGGAACTCGGGAAAGATTAACACAGAGATAAACACAACGGGCCAGTGGCGCCAACCTGAGAGTTTAAAAATACGAAATTTAGCGCTGAAAGTGTATCGGAATGTTGAGATGAAGAGCGCGAAATGATACGCCACTGATTTGGGTGCAGATTCTGTGTCACGTACGCACCAAAGCCGGCGTTTTAAAGAATATACGAGGGATGTGCGAACATTTCTATGTGGGTGTTATTTTTTCTACCATAAATTTAATAAAAAATGACTTACCTGGAGACTTCTTGTAAACATGTACATTTTCAGAATTTTTACAAATTGTATCTTCCAAACTACATTGTTCCTCACATAAAACTAAAATAAAATAAGTTAAAGACCACCAAACATTAAAAATAAAATTAGGTAGGTAATCAATTTACCAAAAGGCAGCAAAATTAAAACAAATAATTTTCTGTGTGCAGTTGGCATCTTACTTAATCTTAAACTAATTTCTAAGTGACAATAAAATTGGGAATTGTAAAAGTGTTTGTTCCAAAGTTAGTCAAGCCTAAAACCGAATTACAATTTCTAAATAATTCACGCTACTTTTCAATAAGTTTATCTTATCGAATTGTTTAATATTGTTTATAAACATTTTTTGTTTTAATGTATTTTTAGTAGGCAGTTTTATAAGTAAAGTATCACAATAAATTGATAGTATAAGCATTATAATGCTAGGCTATAGCCTACTTATATTTGTAGTTTAATTTATTTGAATTATTCATAATGAGTTTTTTAAGATGGCATCCATTACTTATTAAACATTTATATAATATTTTATCATAAATATTTTTCTAAAATATAATAAGGAAAGTTTTAGTTATTAAAAAATGATTAAAACTAAATGATTAATCAAATTTTTAAAAGATTGTTTTGTTGAATTTTTACCCAAGCAATAATTTTTCTTAAAACCGTAAAATATTTAGAGGGCATATAATTTTAAGATGTATCGTGTCTATTTTTATCAATAAAATAATGTGCGTTTTATGTTTTATTGCAAAATATTATTAGTTTTGACAATATTTTTTCGTTTTTTATTTAAAATTTCACAAAAGCAAAAGCAAAAATGTTATGTGGTTCACAGGTATAAATGAAAGTATACTTTCTTACCTATAGGTAAGTTTTTTACAAAAACAATTAAAAGTTTGCGGTTTTAGGTGAAATAAGAAATTTATACTTTCCTGAATAACATTGGATAATAAGCATGCCAAAATCTTGTTTTATTGCTTTTAGTTAAATTATTTTAAGGGGGTATTCCGCTCTATAATTTTTTTCAGTAAAAAATAACTTTTTGGTAATATTTTAATCTTATGAGTTTGATACAAATTATAAAATTCAAAAGGATGTTTAAATATAAAACAAAACGTGTGCTCCCCTTAAACCATAAAACCTTTAAAAACATATTGCTATCCAAAAAAATCAATTATCCTTTTTACAATATTAGCTTTAATATTAGCAAAATGCATGTAATCTATACATTACATAAGATAACTAATTTTGTAAATATTAATAATATGCTACATGTTTATCGTTGTGACTGAAACAAATCAATATAAAATGCGAATTGGGTTATATCACATGTATGGTATCACGGACCTTTATTAAATTAGCAATAAGAAGATTACAAACCAGCTTTGCACCGACAACCCGATCAGTTTTAAGTCAAGTGCGTTAGAACCGCTTTCAACTTTTTCCAAAAAAATGCCTCCAAAGGGTGACCCAGAGACAGAAGCCCTAAGAAAGGAGCTCGAGAGCATCTACCAGAAACTAAAGGTAACGATAACTTTTTTTACTTTAAAATTTAAATCATAGAATAACATTTATAAACGACGACAGAGCCCACCGTGTGTTCTTACATCTCGCCTCTGTTGGCTTACCACCAAAGTATATAAGCTCAGGTAGTCCTTCATTTTGGGTGTGTTCCACCACACCAAGTTGCCCGACACTGATGGGCCTCGGTATTTGAACATGGTGGAACGCACTCAAAACGAAAAACTCTGGCGAGGTACAAATAGCTGCTTTTTCAGGAGGCCCAAGAGAAGCAGGCCGACGTGACGCTGGAATCGGCCTGCGGCGACGTTGCCGATGCCCCGCGGGTAAAATTGTCGACGAAAAAGATGATGAAAGGGCATTTGAACAAGGTGAACTCCGTTCACTACAGCGGCGACGGCAGACACTGCGTCACCGGGTCTCTGGACGGAAAGCTGATCATATGGGACACGTACACCGGAAATAAGATGCAAGTCATACCGCTGAGGTCGGCCTGGGTGATGACCGTTGCCTTTTCTGAATCGGGCAATTTAGTCGGTAAAGCCTGATTTATAGATTGCCTTCCTTCCTCCCGTAGAAGACAGCACAACTGTTCTTGTATTGTTCATCTTCTACGGGAGGAAGGAAGGAAGGAAGGCAATCTATAAATCAGGCTTGAGACCTATATTTTAGTATCAAGGAGGTCTCGCAGTAAAAAAAATGTTTCAGCTTGCGGTGGCATGGACAACATGTGTACTGTGTACGATTTGAATAACAGAGACGCATCAGGGGTGGCCAAAATGGTTAGAGAGTTGGCTGGTTACGACGGTTTTTTGAGTTCTTGTCGGTTTTTGGACGACACCACTCTCATAACGGGGTCTGGAGATATGAAAATGTAAATATCATCTGGTGGTCCATAATTAATGTATAATAATTTTTTTATTTTAGTTGTCAATGGGACTTGGAAACAGGGCGAAAAACTACAGATTTCAACGCTCACTTGGGCGATGTAGTTTCTATAAGTTTGTCCCCAGATAAAAACACGTATGTGACAGGTAGCGTTGACAAAAGTTGTAGACTATGGGATATAAGAGAACAAAAACCAAAGCAGACATTTTTTGGACACGAGGCGGATGTCAATTCGGTCTGTGTAAGTAAAAAAGTATACAGCAAACGGAAAATTATAGAAGTGTATACTTATGTAGGATGACGCCACGTTTAAATATAGTTTTATAAATCACGCCACGGAATAGATTTGTATTCGTCAGTCGAGCGTTTCAATACTCTCCACAGTATAGAGGTCGTAATTTGACTTTTGAACTAGTATTAATATGAAAATTATTTTATGCTTGAAAAAAAAACTATATAGGTACGACATGATTGTGATTTTTTCATTTTATTAATTAATTAAGCTGTGTTGAATATTTTTCCTAAAGGAATAATTGCCAATGGCCCATTAATTCATTTGTTCACAGATGCTACAATAACTTGCACTGGTGTGTACTTTTTGACCAACCAGATTTAAATATTGCTGTACTAACATATACCAGTGGAGTTAGTGCAGGGTCTACCAACAGACCTCATTACTAAATTATTAACGTTTAATAGCATATCGATCGTTTTTTCAACAGGACCTCTGAAATGTTTAATACAAATATAGGTACTTTATATAATACATAAATATACTTTACATCATATCCTCTGTGCTTTACATACCCAAGTTTTTACGGTAAATAAAAATCAGACAGGAACCAAAGAAAGGAACTGTTTTCAACAAAATCATATGCAGAAATGATAATTCAAAATACTTGCATCCATCAAAATATCAAAACTTTTTGCAATATTGAATTACACCCTCTTTTTATGCTCTCAGAAATATTGACTAGAACAGTATCAGAGAGAATCCAGTTTCTATAACTTGGTAGAGTAAAGAGAAGTCGAAACCGTTGCCATATTGCATTGCGCTGTTTTTTATAGTTCTCGGGGACATTAACGAAAATCATTGCCAGTTAAATTCGAAAATCTTGAGTTTCTATGTCTTTGAAGAGAATAAGAATCCGAAGTTGCTGCAGCATTGAACTGTCCTCTGTTGCGCCATTCGACAGGGTCGAGTTTCTACCGGCCTCTCTGTTGAATATAGAAAATCAAAATAATGTATCTTGTAAGACACCATTGAGTTTGACTTTAACTATAGTCGTGCATAGGTATAGAGGCAAAAAATATAAAAACAAAGCACGATTCAATACAGTTCCAATAAAACTTTAAAAACACTTCCATATTTTTCCGTTTGCTGTGTAGTATAATTCCTTAAAAAAAGTAGCAAAATTATGTTTTTAGTTCCATCCAAGTGGCTACGCCTTTGCTACCGGATCAGAGGATAAATCAGCTAGAATGTTCGACATAAGAAGCGATCAGCAGTTGGCTTTGTACAAACCTCCAACTCCAAACAGTGGATTCACTTCTTGCGGACTATCCATGAGCGGAAGAATTCTTCTCTGTGGCTCTGACGACAACAATATTCACATGTGGGACACCTTGAAGAACCAACACAATGGTAAGAGACCAGAGGCTATTTTATGGTCATGGTCAAGTATAGTATGCAACTTTTCTAGGCACTCATTTAATTAAGTACTCGCTTGCAAGCTCGTTCGTGCCTAAATTAAATTTGTGCCGTTTATCAATATTGATACATAATATACTATTAAACAATTTTTAAAGAGCGGTTTATGTGAAATGTACAAAAAATCGTCTATACAATTTAAGGAAAGTTTCTGTACATTGTTTTATCTTTTAGGTACCCTTAATGGGCATGAAAATCGCGTAACGTCCATTTCAGTGGCTCCAAATGGTCTTGCTGTTGCCTCTTGTAGCTGGGACCAACATGTCAGAGTATGGGGATAAATAATTAAAGAATAATTCCTTATTTGGACTTAAAAGAAATTGTTTTTTTTTCACAATTTTGATGATTCTCATTTTTATTGTTTTTTCCAAACTTAACTCGCTTATTAATGGGCATGTCACAATAAATAAGGCAATTTTTTGTAGAAAATTTGACGATCTACAAAAAAGGTCCTTTAGGTTTTTTTCTGACAAAGTCAAACAAATGCGCATGCCCGAGAATTGAGGTAAAAGAGCACTTCGTTTTATTTTTTCACCACTAGTGTCGCTGTTGTACTGAACCTTTACATCTCTGCTTATCTGTTTCGGTACAAAGAGAACTCCTTATTTTGGGAAGCCATTTGTTTGGAGTTCTTGCTTATAGTGTACGCTCCATGATAGGAGTTTAGGATATATGCTTTTTTTAAAAAAAAACCTTTATTGTCAAATTTTGAAGGCCTACCAATTGCTAACAAAAAGTCCAAATAAAAAACGAACTTAGTTACTATTTTTGTGTTACTTACTTCGGTAAATGTTACTATAAGTATTATGGATGTTTAGTATAGTTTATAAGGCATTTTTAAGATATTTAATAAAATAATTTAAACAAAAATGCGTACTTTATTATTAAATTTAAAAAATGATGACATATTTCATATCTATCTACATATTTTTCATAAATTAAAAAATAAAATAAAACGTTCTAAAATTCAAATTTTTAAAAATTTAAAATTTTTGAAAATTTGCAAAAAATTTACAAAACATGAAGTAAATTTTCCAAAATATTTAAAAAAATATCTCAATAAATACAAAAGTTGTATGCCCTTAAAGGTCTATTACCCTTCTTTATTTATTCACCCATCCAGCTACTAGCTTAAGCAATGATTAGAAAAATTAGTACCTACCTATTTTAAAAACTTCATAACCACAAAATTAATTTTTTCAACGGTTTTTTTCTTTCTGTTTACTCAGATGAAATTAGGACAAGTTAACAGGTTAAACTTTAAACATTCAATTTGTGTAAATAAATCTAAAAGCACTTCCCTTTGTTAAGATATTTACAATTTGAGCACATAACCTAAAATTTGAAAGAAATGCACAAGATTCTGTCATAAAAGTGGCCAGATTTTTTGAATTTACCTTCATTACAAAAATGACATAATCAACAATTAATAAAAACGCAAAATTAACAATTTGCATTATTGATTGTCATTTTTGTAATTTAGCTAAATTTAAACAAAATCTGGCCACTTTTTTTGACAGAATCTGGAAACGCTGGTTGGTACAATGGCCGACACGGAATTTTGAACGACTATCATCCTGTTGACATCAAAATCTAAACTTTCTTTATAGACAACTAACCTTACTTTCGGTTATCACTAGTATTGTAATTTTGACAGCGAAAGCAAAAATGCTCAATATTGTATCTTTGCTATTTACAGATGTATACATTGACAACCAAGTTATGTCGTTCAAAATTCCGTGTCGGCCACTGTACCAACCATAACATAATAAATTAAATTGGGCAACCAGATTATAATCTGGTTGCCCAATTTAATTTAATTTTAATTTTTTTTTTAGGCTATAGCCTAAAGTTCCTAGTCGATCAGTGGCGTTATATTTTGTTAGGATAAAGGTTATTATAAATTTTTTTAGTCTTTAGAAGTTAAAATAATTATAATACATTAGTTAAATTTTAAAATTTTCCAAAAAATGGTGAAACAAATTTCTAAATTTCCAAACTTTTAAATTTATCATAACATTCAAAAATTTATAAATTTTCGAAAAAATATTATGGATGTTTAGTATGGTTTTTTAAAGAAATTTAATAAAATAATTTAAACAAAAATGCGTACTTTATTAAGTTAAATAATAAAAAACATTAACTAGGTATCATAATGAAACCTATAAGTATCACATAAAAAAATTCCAAAATATCATGATAAAGTTGAGTATATTACATAATACAGCCATTACTAAATATGTGTATTGACGACTAGCATAATTTAACGGATTTGAAGCAAAAGTGCGTTAAGAGCCAGCGCTCCAGTTTCTTTGGTGCTCCACTCTATACCCTCGGGTTCTCTATTTATAGAGTACGCCCCTGGTTTCACGAAAATCTGAAACCCCGCCAGAGCTTCCTTGCCGTTTGGCAGCTTGAAAGCGTTAGTCAGGCAACTCTGCAGAGTCGGGTAGAATACCACCTGCACATCGTCGGATTTTTGAGCTGTGAAGTTGCAATATTTTGCTTGACCTTGAACGAAATAATTTTGGATTAAAGAGTCCCCCCACTCTTATTCTAAGGTTTGAAAACCTACCTTTGGTGAGTGGCTGTCCTTTGTCCAAAATGCACCGAATCGCGCCTAACTTCGTTGCATAGAAGGCTTGGTGCCATTTTTCCGTAGTCAAGTTGGCGAAATTTTTCAACGGGAACTTGACCCAACCTATGGACATTCCAAAATGTCAAAGTTGATTTTTTTTGTGCGTGTACTACCAACTTACCAACTAGAGTGTTGTCTTTTTCCCCAGATTGACACTTGCTCCTGTAACAATTCGCACAAAAACAAACTGGTTCGTCCGAGCTAAAGTAGTGATCTAAAATGCCAATTAAAAAAATGTATACCTACTAGTGTCTCAAAAAAACCGACTATATATTTTTTTCAAAAACATTGAAAAATCTATAGAAAACGACCCTGTGAAAATATGAGCTCTTATTATTAATATTTAGAGGTGGCATTTTGTAGTTTTCATTTCCCATTTAAATAACATGGGAAATTTTTTTCAAACTTTGTATTTTTGTAACGTGATAACGAGCTACTTTATAAGTAAGACAAAATTACCCCTTATAGGAAATTTAATGCTCTACAAAAAAGGTCCGATTGACATTTTCCGTAAGTCAAGCCGTTTCAAAGATATCGAGCCTCAAACTTAAGACTGTTTAAAATTATGCTTTTATTTCTTAAATACAAAAAAATCAATTTATATGTATTTTGTACTTAAAAAGCATAATTTTAAACAGTCTGAAGTTTGAGGCTCGACATCTTTGATCAATTGATCAATACCTGGCAAGCAAAGCTTTTTCTTGAACCTCTCGATTTCCTCCTTGTACGCGCAAGTTTTCGCTGGACTCGGGGGCGAATTTTTGTTCGTCGGCGTTGCCACGTTCGCGCTGATCGAGGCTAACGGCAACGTCAGGTTCGTTTCTGATCGTTCCTTTTCGCAGGAATCTAGATCGGCTTTTTCGCAGTCTGTAGCTACGGACGATGCCTGATCGCACGACACAGAGTCGTTCAAAATTTTGATCTAAAAACGATTTTAGTGTTTTGATGTTGAATGTTTTTTTTCTTCATTCACCTGTTGGCATTGACCGTACAAGTCGAAAACGGCGTATATGGGCAAGTTATTCGGGCAATTCCAATGCAACGCTTCTTCTTCCACGCCGTTGATGATGAGTTTCATTTGTTTGTGATCTGTCAGTTGCATTCCGATAGTATCGCCAACTGTCAAGTTACTAATGGACTGTCCATAGTTCGATCTCGACTAAAAAATGACAAAATTCGTCGACAAGGTTCGTGACGTCACCTTGGCATTTGTTTATTAAAACAAGTAAACTTGTTAAAAACAAAAAAAATATCTTTAGGTCTGCTTAACAGGGGAGAGCATGAAGTGTCAAAAATTTGCACAGTAAAATTAATTAAAAAAAGGTAGGATAAACTCGCACAGTGGCATAAATTTCGAAATTGATGTGACAAATTCTTAAAATTACCAAAATTTCTAAATTTTATAAAATATTAAAAATTTTTAAGAAATTTTCAAAATATTTAAAAATGCCATTACAGTTAAAAATTTAAAAATTATTGGTACAAATTCAGTTTTGTAAATTTAAAAAATGGTAGGACAAATTCGCACACTGGCATAAATTAAATAAATGATGGGACAAATTTCCAAAATATTCAATTTTTTTTCGGTAATTTCAATATTGATGGGACAAATTTTTTAGATGACCAAATTATCAATTTTTTCCAAATATTAAAATTTTTAAAATATGTATATCCCTTACGCTCCAGGTGGCTACAATTGTGACTTCCTTATGTACATATACTTTATGGGTTAAAATGATACAGTGAAGCTCCCACTCCTCAATCGTACAATTGTGATATGTGTTTACTACGCAGACAAGAGCATGCGCTCACCAATTTCCGCCTTGTTTTTGTTTTGGATGGCAATTTAAGCGTGCTAGTTCTTTACATCATTGCGTCTAATAGTAAATCATTGTCTTTTTATTACAAAAATGGCTTTATTTAATGTAGAATGCTTAAAGTGTCTTCAGGAAAGGTTAATTCTTTGACTCTTAAAAAAAAAATTTTTTATTTTGGTTTTCATATTAAAGCAATTTTGTCGAGAAAACTTTAATTTTGCTTTAAAATTTGAATTTTAATTTCTCAGGAGTGTAAGGGATATCATATTTTTGATAATTCCAAAATTTAAAATATAAGTCTCAGAGGTATTATTACAAATTTTAAAAAACTTAAATTTTTTTAGAATTTTAAATTATTTAAAATATAGGGGTAGGTACTACATTCAATGCAGTACATGGGTTAAATTTTTAAATTTTCCAAAATATTCAAAAATTCCCTTACATGCAAATTTTTTTATAAAATTGGGACAAATTCACACAGTGGCGTAAATTTAATAAATGAATGGACAAATTTCTAAAATATTTAAATATTTTTCGGTAATTTCAAAATTAATTTTCCAACAATTTTTAAAATTACCAAATTCTTCAGATTAAAAATTTTTTTTTTTCAAAATATTAAAAAATTTTAAATTTTTAAAAATTTTTTTAATTTTAAAATATTTAAAAATACATTCCTAATACATTGGTTAAATTTTCAAATTTTCCAAAATATCAAAAATTTAAAAAAAAATTGTACAAATTAGCAGTGGTTTAAATTTAAAAATTCCTAAATATTCAAAATTACTAAAACCTAAAAATTTAATCTTTTAAAATTTCAAATACATTATATAATTTCGGGAAGTTAATTTTCCAAACTTTTCAAAAAGGCAAAAATTTGAAAAAGGTAAAAAAATTACAAAACGGAAAGTTAATTTTCCAAACTTTTCAAAAATGCAAAAATTTGAAAAAGGTTAAATTGGTTGAATTTTTTAATTTTCCAAAATATTCAAAATTTAAAAAAATATCAAATTTTATAATTTTTTAAATATTTGTATGATGTATGATAAATATACATATGTATATTTGTATGTATGATGAATGTACATATTTGTATGATATATCAAATTTGGAAAGTTTTAAAAATTAGACACAGTGACGTATTTAAAAAATGGTAGGACAAATTCAAACAGGGGCAAAACTTTAAAAGATGATGGGACAAATTTACAAAAATTTTGAAAATCTTCATATTTTCCAAAATATTCAAAAATGCCCTCATGAAAAAAGTTAAAATAATTAAAATACTACTATTGATTAAATTTAAAATTTTTCCAAAATATTTAAAATTTAAAAAAATATCAAAAATTTTCAAATTTTTTAAATATTCAAAATATAGTGGACTACACTAGGCATACATTTATTTATGGTAGGACAAATTCGCACAATAGCATAAATTAAAAAAAAATGTGAATTTTTGAATTTTTTAAATTTTTAAACATGAATAAATTTTCAAAAATGCCAAGATTTTAAAAAGGTAAAATATTTGAATTTTTAAATTTTCCAAATTATTCAAAATTTTCAAAAATTTTAAATATTAAAAATAAAAAGGTAGGACAATTTCGCACAATAGCGTAAATTTAAAAAATGGTGGGACAAAAATTCAAAATTTCCAAAACTTTTAAATTTATCAAAACATTCAAAAAATTTCGAAAAATTCAAAATTTAAAATACAGGAGGCATGAACATTTTCCAAAATATTCAAAAATGCCCTCAAATGCAAAAATTTGACAAAGCTAAAATATTTAAAATACCAAATTAGTTAAATTGTTAAATTTTCCAAAATATTCAAAAATTAAAAAAAAGTGCATTAGTTAAACTGTTATAATTAGAATTCGACTTACCTTAACTCCGTTAATCGAGATCCAATCGTTGGCCACGATGCAGCTAGGCCCCTTGATAGACAGGGCATTCACGGGCAAATTAAGCCTGTCCGGCGTCCCAGCCACAAGCCCTACAATAATAGACGACTGCCATTTCGTTTCCAGCTGCTCCACGACGATCAGCACTTTGCAGCCGGCATCCAGAGCCGGTTGCACCAAAGCTATGCCCTGGTTGTACGAAGCCACTCTACGCGCCGTGCTGCGATTGGTTAGAAGCTCTATATTTCGCCCTGGAAGTTAGCTCGAGTTAGAGTGAAGTCTGGAGAATATACAGGGTGTTATGTAATTAATGTTATATATTAAAATGGGTTGTTCCTTAGGGTCCATAAAGAAGCACCTGAAACTTTTTTTTTCTAAATTCCAAAGTCTAAAAATAATTTATAATAACCTTTATCCTACCAAAAAGTAAGCCACTGATCGACTAGGAACTTTAGGTTAATCTGGTGGATTTATTATGTTATGGTTGGTAACAACAGTTTTTCCATAATCTCTCAAAAAAGTTGACAAACATTGTTTAAATTTAGCTTAATTACAAAAATGACAAAATTAACAATGCAAATTGTCAATTTGGCGTTTTTATTAATTGTTGGTTATTTCATTTTTGTACTGAAGGTAAATTCAAACAAAATCTGCCAACTTTTATGACAGAATCTAGTGCATTTCTTTTAAATTTTAGGTTATGTTTTCAAATTGTAAATATCTTAACTAAGGGAAGTGCTTTTGGATTTATTTACACAAATTAAATGTTTAAAGTTTAACCTGTGAACTGGTCCCAATTTCATCTGAGTAAACAGAGAAAAAAACTGATGAAAAAATTAATTTTGTGGTTATGGATTTCAAATTTAAAAGGTACTAAATTTTCTAATCATTGCTTAAGCTAATAGCTGGATCAGTAAATAAATACAGAAGGGTATTAGAGCTTTAAGGGCATAAAACTTTTGTATTTATTGAGTTTTTATTTATTTTTTGCAAGAAAAATTTTTAGTAACAATTTTTTACATCTGGCAACGCATAGCTACTTTGTTGGTTGGTATCTATGTACTCACAAAATACAGGTGTGCAGAGATAAACAAGTGTGTAACCAGTGGCGTATCACAAAAAATATAAAAAACTTCTAATGCATATTTTTTCTTTATCTTTGGAAAAATGTTTTTTTAAATATTTTTCCTTTATTCCTTATGTCAAAAGGTATTCAGTATTTCAATATATAACATTAATTACATAACACCCTGTATTATTGAAGGATTTCTACCGTGATTGTCGTGGAATTCGTAGAGAATATCGCTGGATATAGAGACAATCATCTCGCCCAAGGGTTCCCTGCTATCCGATAGGGTATCTTCTATAACAAGCTCAAGACTGTCTTGCAATCGAATGCTGTTTAAAGGCGACAGCGAAGATTTATGACTAGTCACTGAAATTTCACTGCAAGAACCCTACAGAGAAAAAAATACCATCAAGATTCCACGTTAATTTTTCTTGAATATATTCACCCTTAAGTCGTATACGGCGTATAAAGTTTCCGGTAAGGGCGGCAAGTTAAGGGGCAATTCTTCACCGTTAACGAAAACTTTAACGGTGCCCTCGTGGGTGCGCAACAAACCGATACGGTCTTGTACGTTGAGCCAGTTAAGGGACGGAGAGAAAAATTGCAGAACCTTGTTTTTGTAACGAAGCTCGTTACCTATAAGATGAAAAAAGATTTTGTAAGAAATTTATTTTTTTGTCCTAAAAAACACTCAAAAATCAAGTTTTGTGGAGAAACGTTTGTTTTTTCCAAAGTTATATAATAAAATGACCTTTTTATTGAAGTTAATTTAGTTTATTAGGTATGGAGTGGTTCCATCTATGGCATTTAGCTCGAAATCAGTGTAGGTAACTGTAAAATTACAGGTCACTGTAACTAACCCGATAATGGACTATTACTAACCTGTTAGATAGCAAGCATCGCTCGGGATAAAACCGTTACAGTTATCCGGGAATGAAGTTGTAACGCCTATAGACAAGGTACCGGCAAAATGTTTCCATAAATTTAAAATCGTAATTTCATACAATTCATCCTGTACCAATGGGGTGGAACTATACACTATGCAACTACTAAATTTCTTACATCTAAAATATAGAAGAAAAGAGAATTGTTATTCTCCTAGTTTTTAATTAAACCAAAAAACAGTATTTTTAAACATTACATTTGTGATAAATAAAAATGTTATTAACGAAAAATACGCACAATTAAATTTTCTACAAAAAATGTAAAACAACTTTTCCCGAAAAATTGCTGGATTGTCAGATATTTCATAAAATGTCTACTATAGACTCTACTTCAAAAAATATGAATACTACAATATTTCCGAAAATATTTGATATAAATAAAAATGTTATTAACAAAAAAATACGCACAATTAAATTCTCTAGAGAAAATGTAAAACAACTTTTCCCGAAAAATTGCTGGATTGTCAGATATTTTATAAAATGTCTACTGTAGTCTATTCTAGAAAAAATATGAATACTATTTATAAACACTACAATATTTCCGAAAATACTTGTTACACATAAAAATATTATCAACAAAAAATACGCACAATTAAATTATCTAGAAAAAATGTAAAATAACTTTTCCCGAAACATTGCTGGATTGTCAGATATTTCATTAAATGTCTACCATAGACTACTTCAAAAAATATGAATACTATTTTTAAACACTACGATATTTCCGAAAATATTCGTTATAGTTAAAAATGTTATTAACAAAAATAGGCACAATTAAATTCTCTACAAAAAATGTAAAACAAGTTTTTCTGAAAAAATGCTGGATTGTCAGATATTTCATTAAATGTCTACCATGATCAAAAAAATATTAATACTATTTTTAAACACTACGATATTTCCGAAAACATTTGTTGTAAATAAAAATGGTATTAACAAAAAATACGCACAATTGAATTCTCTCGAGAAAATCTAAAACAACTTTTTCCGAAAAATTGTCAGATAGTTCAGAAAATGTCTACAATAGACTAAACTGTTTACCTTGATGCCAAACGTCCGCATTCGCTCAGGAAAAGGCCTTCGCCGCGCTTTTCGAAAAACCGGTGATGATCGGCCGTCTCCGCGGTGGCCTGCGCGCCTGCGCTGACCGCTTGCAGCGAAGCGGAAGTGTCCGAGCGCGGACAAGTGTCGATACCGGTGGAGGCTAGCGGCGCCATCGGAGATGCGCACGGGATACTAACCTAGAAACAAAACGTCAATAATTTTCATTTTCCCGCACCAAACTCGCACCAGCCGAGATGTTTACAGGGCTCCCACGGCTAAATTACAAATTTTATTTAGGAATTTAGGAGGTTTTTTGTAAAATTTTAGGAGAAATAAAGTATGGAAATGACTTTTTTTAATTAAATAAAAACATCTCTTTACTACTTAAAAAATAAAAAAAATTAATACTTCTTTTGTAACAATAAGTTATATTGACTAGTTTTTAGCCAAATAGCTCGACGAGTTTTTTTTTAATAAAATTAAAAGTGAGGTAAAATTACTACTTTTGTATATATCTGAGGTACATATATATACAAGTATAAATTTCACCACACTTTTAATTTTATTTAAAAAAATGCGTCCATAGATTTGGTTATTGCCAAAATTAAATGATGTTATCTTTATATTTTAAGAAAAAACATGTCAACCGTTTAGTTAATAATTAACAGTAATTAAATCGATAAGGTTAAGAATAGTACAAGTGCAAAAGTAAAATTTTTGATAAAATATTTAAAAAAATCAGTTTTATAGATCTAAATGCATTTTTGTTAGAATTTTTCACTATTTTATGAAATATAATTATTCATTTTCTGTAAAATAATTTTTATCTTTTAACAAAAATGTATTTTAAACTTTAAAATTGATTTTAGAAAATAAATTGTCAAAATTAAATTTTTGGATTTGTACTGTTTTTATTCTCACCGATTCAATTGTAATGTGGATCTTAATACTTAAAAATCTCATAACAAAATATGAAGTTTGCAAAATACAGCAAAACATTCTTTAGATTGTTTACTATTTTAGCTGTCATTTAAAAGAAAATTAAAAATCCTTTTGTTTGGTATATAACACGGTATATTTTTGACTAAAAAACGAAATATCGCTAAATATGACAATTTTGTAGAAGTTTGCATGTTGTTTTTTAAGAAAAATTTTAGTTGTGATATTATATCATTTTAAAAAGAATTTAATAAAATATAACCTAAATATATATACAGTATGTCTCAGTATCTTGGAATCATATGGAAAACTTTTTTATTATTAATTTTAGGAAAAAAAGATATTCTTTATAAAAAGTTCTGCATGGTGTACACCTTAAAATGCAACCCACAAATATTAAATTTTTTTAGTCGTATATGAATTTGGCTCAAGAGTAAAGTACCTTTATATTTGACAATATCGAAAATTGTTATAAAGAAAAGTTAATCAGAACTAAAAACTACGTTCAAATATGCAATTTCATCCATTAACATTAAAAAATTAGGTTTTGTTAATTTTTTTAATATTTCTATTTTAAATGTTACAATTGCAAAATTTTTAGAAAACATGTAGAAACGAAAAGGTTTTCATGTTTTTTGTAATCATAACAGATAAATGTTCATTTAAAATAGAAAGATTAGTAAAAATTAACAAAACCTAATTTTTTAATGTAAATGGATGAAATTGCATATTTGAACGTAGTTTTTAGTTCTGATTAACTTTTCTTTATAACAATTTTCAATAAAAAAGTTTTCCATATGATTCCAAGATACTGAGACATACTGTATATATTTTTAAATTACTTTTTAAAAAAGAATTTGGCCTATTTAAATTTAATTTTTAGGAGTTTTAGGAGATTGAAGGCAATTTTAGGAGTTTTGAAGATTTAAGCAAAATTTTAGGAATTTTACGTGTTTAGGGAAAATTGCACGAAACGGAACTCACCTGCGCGCACTGGCCGTACAGATCGACGACGGCGTAGACGGTGGGGTGGGGGACCAGGCAGGCGGCTCCTTGCGGCACCCCGTCCCGGTAAAACTCCAACGTCCTGTCGGCGGACCGCATCACGCCCAAGCGGACGCCGCCCGTAAGCGAGTCCAGATCGAACATGTAGTTGTTCTTGACGGTCTTTCCGTTCTCCATGATGGAGGAGCCGCTCAGCATCCACGTGTCGCAGCACAAGTCGGTGGCGGTGCTGGGCAGGTCTATGTCGTCCGGTCTCACGGCGGTCACGCCTGTCAAATATTTTTGTTTGCAAAAAGTTTACCCCCCTATTTGGATAACCTCTATCGAAAAGGAACCAAGCGCCTGGGCTTGGTAAAATTATTTGTAGAATAACTCATTTTTAATAACGCTCATAAGGTTGATCATTAGGGTGATTCATTTCCGCAAAGTTTTTGTTTTTTTTCGGTGCTCAAGCAAAATATTAATCTGCATATAGGAAAAAACATTCTCACCAAGTTTGAGCTCTTAATATTAATTTTAAGCACTTACTATTTAAATTTAAAGTTTTACCGTTTAAAATGCATGTAAAAAATATATTTTTTTTTTTTCAAATTTCTAATGCTTACCCACCTTTGACAATATTTGCAAATAGGTTTAATACACCTTATGGGGAATTTCACGCTCTTTAAAATTGCTTTTGAGTTTTTTTTTGTAACTCGCATTGGTTCACCAGTAGGAGTCGTCAAAGGACAGTTTTTGAAAAAAATCGTTTTTTTTTTATTTTTTCGAGCAAATCGCCAAAAGTAGTGAGAAAAAAGGGCTGATTCATAAAAAAAAGTTATCCAACCAATATTTAATGAATTTACTGCCATTTTTATAACTAAAAACGTAAGAAATTAAATACCAACCCATAATGTTATTTAGATTGATTTTTTCTATTTATTATCATTATATTTCCCTACACTAAGAACTTTTTTAAAATTATTATGATTTCTCACTCATAATGAATATGAAAACAACACATAAATTCATAAAAAAAAACAACAAAACTTTAATCGGAATATACAGAAGGTTATATAACATATTTCAAATTTCGCTTCAAAAAATTAAATAATCTTCATTTATATTTTTTTGCTATATGACAGAAATGTTGAAAAATTGCAAAATCCACGTTACAATTTTCTTATTGTTTTTTTATGAATTTATCTGTTGTTTTCATATTCATTATAAGTGACAAATCAATAATTTTAAAAAACTTCTTAGTGTAGGGAAATATAATGATAATAAATAGAAAAAATCAATCTAAATAACATTATGAGTTGGTAATTATCAATTTCTTACGTTTTCAGTTATAAAAATGGCTGTAAATTCATTAAATATTGGTTGGATAACTTTTTTTTATGATTCAGCCCTTTTTCTCCCTACTTTTTGCGGTTTGTTAGAAAAAATTAAAAAAAACTGTCCTTTGACGACTCCTACTGGTGAACCAATGCGAGTTACAAAAAAAAACTCAAAAGCAATTTTAAAGAGCGTGAAATTCCCCATAAGGTGTATTAAACCGATTTGCAATATTGTCAAAGGTGGGTAAGCATTAGAAATTTGAAAAAAAAAATATATTTTTTACATGCATTTTAAACGGTAAAACTTTAAATTTAAATAGTAAGTACTTAAAATTTATATTAAGAGCTCAAACTTGTTGAGAATTTTTTTTTCTATATGCAGATTAATATTTTGCTTGAGCACCAAAGAAAACAAAAACTTTGCGGAAATGAATCACCCTATTGATCATCTTATGTAACTTTTCTCAAAAGGGTTGAGAGGGTTCCCAAATCATTATTATTTTTTTTAGCAGCATTAAAAATGTTATTTGTTATTTTGCAAATAATTTATATATCGTTGTTTTTAGTGAGTAATCTTTATAAGAGAAAAGTTACAATTTTTCTTTGCTGGAAAAAAACAACAATATGTTGGATAACATTTTTCTTACCCAATTCTATGCTTCCCGACCATCGATCCACCACGGTGTCGAGACAAATCTCGAACAATTCTCCGTCGCGCAAGGGTCGGCTCGAAAAGACGATGGCATCATTAAATTCAGCCAGTGCCCTTGGCCTTAAAGCTGTAAGACCGTTGTTGACGATTCGCGCATTTTTTCCATGGATGTGATGGAAACGTAGGTCACTGAAAGATCGACAGCATTAAGTTGGCCACAAATGGTCACATGACACACATAAAAACAATATGAGCGTGTTCGTGGCGTAAGAAATTGGTGGCTGCATAAGTAACCTCATTGACATGGTTATCAACCCAAGTAACAGATGTGACTCTTGGCTCTTACCTAATATTATATCAAACCCTTATCACACTATTTGAAAGATCTTTGGGTTTATGGGAGTCAACACAAAGGTTGTTCTTTGCCCTAAAAGCTCACTCAACTACCATTTAGCTTTAAGGAGGTGTCAGAGGAGTATTTATGAAAGTGTGACAACCTCATGCAAAAATAGGCCTTGAAGGCAATAAAAGGATTCTCCTTTTTGGTTTCAAGAAAGTCTTAAGCCTGCTATAACAGCTTTAAAAGTACAACTTCTAACGCGCGTATATAATAGTGAATTTGCTTACCTGTACAAAGTAGTGTTGGATAGAGAGGAATTAATTGTGTCTGGAGAACCGTAATCATATATGTCGACTATTGAGGCCTCAACTGCCTGACCGTACAAATCTAGAAAAAAGTATTCTTATAAAGTTAATCTCACTTTTGCTTACATTAATCTATTTCTCGCCTATTACTCCGTATATTCTTTCCGGGACATTTGAGGCTGCGACGCCTTGATCGACGTTGTTGACGAAAAAATGCAACATTGCGTTTTCCTTTCTGAGCACTCCCACTCTATCTCCGACCTGCAATCTGTCCAGATTCACGCCGTATTGCTCCAAAACGATGGTGCCGTTGTGCATGATGCCGCTGCCCGTCATCATCCAGGTCCCGGACCTAAGGAAATATACGTATCCACCAAAACGAATTTTACAGCAACAGCGAGAAAATTACAAGTGTTAGTTGTACTGCCAGTTTTTGCTGGATTAGCAAATCCATTTGCAGAATTTTGAAACGCCAGTTTTAAAATGCGCATGTCCGGAACTGGTTTGGGATTAGCTTTGCGGAAACATCTTGGTATTATCATAATAATGATAAAGAAATAAAATAAAGTTTATTCACATGGTTATATTTTTTAGTTTATTTTATTTTGAATCATATAATATCGTATAATTTAGTATACTTAATTATTATAATTTTTTTCCGTTATTTCGAATCTTCATTATGGCCATTTATTTGATTAACATCATAAAGATCAAAGTTATTGCTTTCATTACCAAGAGTGCAAGCAAAAATTGCCAAAAAAAGAACAACAAAAAACACCTGAAATAAAATACAATATTAAATTCACTTTTTACAATTTATATTTATATTTTTTATAAAATTAGCAGTATTAAAACTATCACCTTCTTAAAAAACATTTTAAAATTCTTGGTAAACTTCTAGTTACAAATCAAACATACTTATATATAGAATTTTTAATCGGATGATAAAAAATTACAATAAAACTTAAAACGAATTTTAAAATAATTTAAAAAATATATATAAAAAATTGATTATGAAATTCCATAATCATTAAAGCACAGAACACAAGTGTGTAACCAGTGGCGTATCACAAAATAGTACATTATGTATCAAGTTTGATAAACGCCATTTTATACGCGAAATATGGGTGTATAGAAAAGTTTATAAACGAGGTGCATACTATACTTTTTCTCTGACAAATACTTATTATTATCTTAAAATGATTTAAATCAAAAATTTGTATAGAGCGCCATCTATGAAACAATAGGGGAATCTGTGTGTCACCGTCATGTCACATTTTTAAATTTTATAAACAGATTATAAAGGTTATAAATCGAAATGTATTTCTTGAAAATTGTCAGTTTTTCACGGTGAAAGTAAAGAAAATGTTTTATGAGGACTTTACAGTGGAGTCCGTGCCCGAATTTAAGTTATAGTTTACTGCCGGCAAAATTAAAAGGTACACTGTTCATATAAACTTTTCAAATATTGGCGTTGAGAAACTATTATTATTATTATTATTTTACAAGAAAGGCACTTTATTTTAACGATTGTATGACATTTGACAACTGTCAACTAACTTAAAACTAACTTCAGCCCGTGACTAAAGCGCCATAAAGCCACAACTTGTCAATGTGTATTTAAAAGGTCACTTAGTGTCATGGAAACATGTACGATAAAGGGCGTTTTAAAGGTGGGAGTAGAAAATATATAATAAACTTCTAATGCATATTTTTTCTTTATCTTCAGGAAAATATTTGTTTAAATATTTATCCGTTACACCTTATGTCAAAAGGTTTACACCTTAAAGGTGACCTTATGTCAAAAGGTATAAAAAAACCCGCGTGAAGTTTTATAGAATTCATAAGAATTTCAATTATGGAAAATAAATAGTTTTTTATATATCGGAAAATACATAATTAAGTTTTTTTAATAAAAAACTATAATTATTTCAAGTTTTATTGTAATTTTTATTAGGTACCAAATAAAAAAAATGTATATAAAGTTGGCTATCTGTGCTTACTTTAAACTGAAACTAGAAGTTTACCCAGAGTACTAAAAAATGTTTTTAAAGAAGGTAATAATTTTTAATACCTACACATATGTATATTACATATGTATATATTGGTATGATACCACAATTATAAAAATAAAAATGTAGAAGGTGAAAGTTTAATTTTTTTTTATTTTTTTGTAGGTGTTTTTTGTTGTTCTTTTATTCGCAGTTTTTACTTGCATCCTTGGTGATAATACCAATGAATTTAAACTTAATAGTGTAAATCAAATGGGTGGTGACTACTAAAATGACTAATCCAAAAATTAAACATAAATAAACTAAAAATTTACAATTAAACTTAAAATTGTTTTATTTTTCCATAAATTCTTAGTGTTTTTATTTTTACTCAATTAAATGATATAGTATAATAGTATTTTATTATACGAGAGATAATGCGCATAATCTCGAGTGTAATACTATACTTTATCTACTCAAATACGTAGATAATTAAATGATTTTCAAAAATTGTACCAATAATTCATTATTAACTTAATGTTATTAAATGTGGAATTATAAAGCTTATATCTTCCACAAATAATAACGAATTTTAAAAACAATAGTAGGTATATTATGTATCAAGTTCAATTTTATACACGAATTTAATTTAGGCACCAGCGAACTTGCGAGCGAGTGCTTAAATTAATGAGTATATAGAAAAGTTTATAAACGAGGTGCATACTATACTTTTTCTACGACATATACTTATTATTATCTTAAAGGGATTTAATTCAAAAATTTCTATAATACGCCATCTATGAAACAATAGGGGAATCTGTGTGTAACCGTCAAATTTCAAATTTTTATATTTTATAAACACAATTATAAAGGATTTAAATCGAAATGTATTTCTTGAAAATTGTCAGTTTTTCACAGTGAAAGTAAAGAAAATGTTTTATGAGGACTTTACAGTGGAGTCCGTGCCCGAATTTAAGTTATTTTAGTTTACTGCCGGCGAAATTAAAAGGTCAGTTTAATGTTCATATAAACTTTTCAAATATTGGCTTTGAGAAACTATTTAATACTTTTGTATTTTTGTATTGAGATAATAAAATAATTTTCACATTTAGTATTATTTTACAAGAAAGGCACTTTATTTTAACGATTGTATGACATTTGACAACTGTCAACTAACTTAAAACTAACTTCAGCCCGTGACTAAAAACCTGTTGCTAACTTCAGCCCGTGACTAAAGCGCCATAAAGCCACAACTTGTCAATGTGTATTTAAAAGGTCACTTAGTGTCATGGAAACATGTACGATAAAAGGCGTTTTAAAGGTGGGAGTAGAAAAAATAATTTAAAATCACATTTTATGCTGTACATCATGGCCTACTGATCTTTTTTGTATCTTTAAAGAACATAACCTCAAAGTTTTGTCAAAAGATAAAAATCCATTTTTTCTCCAAAAAACCATTTTAATTTTGTTTTGCGTGGTTTTAAGGTTAGTGTCCCAAGTTGACTCCCACATAGCCTAGAATAGGATAAAATAAACTATAACCTCCACAAAGGTCCATTCAAATGAGTTAACTTTTAAAAAATTGTACATTTGACTGAATTTGTATAAGCAGTCCAAAATAGCAATGCCTTTTTATTTTAGAATCAAGTTATGTATAAAAAACAGTTTAGGTAAAATGCAAAAGAGGACTTATATATATATTATATATTATAATATTGTGAAAATAATATGGTTTTTATTATCCAAAATAACATTAAACTGAGTGCGCATATTTTTAATTTAAATAAAAATTTGATTGATTTACAATTTGTATTTTATAAAGAAATAAAATATCCCTTTTATCAAAATCCATTTAATTTTGTATATAAGTAAGCCTCCTTTACGATTTTTAATTTATTAAAGTTATAATAATATTGATAATAAAATATTAGGTTTTTTAAAGTTATATTACATTTACAACATAATGTTTTTTAAAAAGGTAAAATATTGTTTATAAACTTATTTAAGAAAAAAATATAACTAAATATCTGCTTAATTTTAGGTATTTTTTGTTGTTCTTTTATTGGCAGTTTTAACCTGCATACTTGGTGACAAAAAAAATACCTTTGGTCTACATGATGTAAATCAAATGGGTGATCATAGAGTTCCAACAACAACACCAAAATAGGCGTAATATTGTGGTTATTATATCCGTGGTCTAATATAATAAAAAATACTAGACTAGACTGCAAATTTCATCAAATTTTTCAAAGTTTTTGTGAGAATACGAATTCAGTTGAAATGACTGGGTTAAAATATCATACTTCATATTATTGCCCATATTACTAGGTAGGTAGGTAGGTAGTTATCTCTTTCTTTAAGAAATTACTTAAAACCCAAACATGTTACTCAAATGAACTTTGCTAAGTTTGATATTAGACCACATATATCTAATAAACAAAAAATGATAAATAAACATTGTTTTTTTATTTAATATAAAAACTACACTGGATTGCGGCAGACAAAAACGTGCTCTGATTGGTTTGTTGCTGTCTACAGAAATCATTTTTATAAGTCTCAAATTTTCAACGTAATTGTTAAAAGCAAAACTTTCTGTATTTAACAAAGTTAACAAAAATTATTTTTATTTTCTCAGAATTTAGTTAAAAATGCAATTAATTTGGCTTTGGTGGTGTGTAGATGAGTAAAATCATATAAAAAAGTAGTTAAATATAGGTGACTACGGCCCAGGAGAGACAAAGTATTCCTAGCGGATAATAATCTTCGCTTTGAAAAGAATTTATATAAAAGAAATTAAAATTTTTTGTGAACGTAAATGTTGTCCAATCATTGGACTCCAATGGTGAATGGGTATTTTGTTAAAGCCACTGGACGTTAATACTAATAATAATGTATATATTGTTCAGGACTATAAATGATCAATAACTTGGAAATTGAAAGAAGAAAAAGTTTCGTAATAATTGCTTATCTTTTTCAAACCAAATGGATGCTATTATCAATTCACAAAAAGGTTGAACCTAATAGCAAATAATTTTTATTTTTTGTTATTTTATTTCCCCCTTGTTTTTTAAAATTTCAAACATTTTTGATCTGCTTAGCTGAAAATAATGTGTGATTTAATATTTGTAAAACCAAAAACATTACTTTTTTACTCCAAAATTGTCCATAAGGCGATGTACTTTTTCTGCCATTGAGGCATTTGGCATAATTATGAAGTTAACTTCATCAAAATGAAGTTTTGCCCTTAAAAGTTCTTTAACTTTAGAATCTGATATTATTTTTGGCATAGTTATCTTTTTAAATAGATATTATATAATAATTAACATGTAAATTATCAATAATAAATATTGTCAATTTGACAGTGTCAGAGTATTTAATTAAGATCTTCAGCAAAAGCACCTTTTTTTAAATACTAAAAATACTAAATCAAACTGGCGTAAGCTACCAACTTAATAAAAAATAAAAATGAACTTTACCTGACGTTGGTCATCGTGAACGGAAACTCCAAATCGATGGGGCTGTGCGTGGTCACGCCTATCTCGATGGACCCCGCCCACTTGGTGACCACCCGGTCCAACCTAACCTCGAACAGTTCGCCGGTTTTCAGGGGTCGCGCCGTCAGCACCACGCCGTTGTTGAAATCGTCTGCTGCGTTGGGCCGATGCGCGGTGCGGCCGTTTCCGATGACCTGCAAGCGAACGGCGAGAAATAAGCGAAGGCGCGTCGCGGCGTTGCCGGTTTTACCTGCGCGTGCGTGCCGCAGTTGGGGTGGAACGTGAGCCGATCGTAGTAGTCCGAGGCCGCCTGCGGCTCGGGCAGGTTCGACTGGAGATCGCGAGTGTTTTTCCTCGTCATTAGGTTTTGCTCTTCGCGTTCGTCCCTCTCCACTATGGAAACCTGACGGTCATGTGAATTGACATTAAAACCAATAAAAACAGTTAACTTTGGAAAAATCGTACAAAATTTTTATTCTTGCCCATAAATGTAAGAAACATGTTTAACGCATTCCAAAATGTTTTTTTGACTTCCTAAAATTAGCTTTGACCCTTTTAATTAAATAAGTTTTGACATCTATAATTATGTTCTTGACATCCTTAATTATTTTTTTTACTATCTAAACTGTTATTTGACACTATAGTAAAATTTTATATTTACAAAATTTGCTTCTTAACGTTATAAATATGCTCTAAATTGTTTCTTACTTTTCTAAACAAGTTAAAAAGTAATTTTAATAATCTTTTGACATTTATAATTATGTCCTTGACTTTCTGAATTATTTTGTGTTGCTTTCTTAAAAGTTTATTTGACAAAATTCAAAATTTGCTTTTTATTGTTATAAATATGCTCTTTTGGTTTTGACATTCCAAAATGTGTTTTTGACTTTCTACAATAAGCTTTGACCCTTTTTAATAAGTTTGACATTTATAATTATGTTCTTGACTTAAGGAATTATTTTTTTAACTTAACTGTTTTTTGACATTATAGTAAAATTTGACATTTACAAGGTTTTAAAATTCCAAATTTACGTTTCAATGTTATAAATATGCTCTAAATTGTTTTTTACCTTTCTAAACAAGTTAAAAAGTAATTTTGATAATCCTTTGGTTTTGACATTCCAAAATGTGTTTTTGACTTTCTAAAATAAGCTTTGACCCTTTTAAATAAGTTTGACATATATAATTATGTTCTTGACTTTCCGAATTATTTTTTCTTACCTTCTATCTGTTTTTTGATATTATAGTAAAATTTGACATTTACAAGATTTTTAAATTCAAAATTTGCTTTTCAATGTTATAAATATGCTCTAAATTATTTTTTACCTTTCTAAACAAGTTAAAAAGTAATTTTGATGATCTTTTGGTTTTGACATTCCAAACTCCTACAATAAGCTTTGACCCTTTTAAATAAGTTTGACATTTATAATTATGTTCTTGACTTAGTGAATTTTTTTACTTTCTCAACTGTTTTTTGACATTATAGTAAAATTTTACATTAACAAGGTTTTAAAATTCCACATTAGCTTTCAAAGTGTTTTACTTTTTTAATCAAGTTAAAAAGTAATTTTAATGATTTTTTGGTTTTGACATTCCAAAATGTGTTTTTAACTTCCTAAAATAGTCTTTGACCCTTTTAAATAAATTCGACATTTATAATTATGTTCTTGACTTTCCGAATTATTTGTTCTTACCTTTTTAACTGTTTTTTGACATTATAGTAAAATTTGACATTTACAAGAAATTAAAATTCCAAATTTGCTTTTTATCGTTATAAATATGCTCTAAATTGTTTTTTACTTTTCAAAACAAGTTAAAAAGTAATTTTGATAATCTTTTGGATTTGACATTCCAAAATGTGTTTTTGACTTTCTAAAATAAGCTTTGAGACTTTTAAATAAGTTTTGATATTTATAATTATGTTCTTGACTTTCTGAATTATTTTTTCTTACTTTCTTAACTGTTTTTCTTACATTATAGTATAATTTTACATTTACAAGGTTTTAAAATTTGCTCTAAATTGTTTTTGACTTTTCTATACAATTTAAAAAGTAATTTTAATAATCTTTTAGTTTTGACATTACAAAATATGTTTTTGACTTCCTACATAAGCTTTGACCCTTTTTCATAAGTTTGACATCTATAATTATGTTCTTGACTTTCCGAATTTTTTTCTTACTTTTTTTCGACATTACAGTAAAATTTGTCAAGGTTTTAAAATTCCAAATTTGCTTTTTATTGTTATAAATATGCTCTAAATTGTTTTTTGCTTTTCTAAACAAGTTATATTCTTTTGGTTTTGACATTCCAAAATGTCTTTTTGACATCCTAAAATAAGTTTTGACATCCATTTGACTTTCTGAATGATTAATTTTCAAGATTCTTATAATTTTATGTTTTTGACATTCTAAATTTTTTTAACGTTTTTTACATTTTAACAAAAAAAATTCTTACCTTAATAGTCATCCCGTATAAATCAATAACCCCCCAAACAATCTGAGGCACCCTCTGCGCGGCAATGCCCTGATCCAAACCATTAATGAAATAATGCAAATTCCCGTCGACTTTGCGCATCATACCCACGCGATCCCCTTCGCTGAGCTCGTCGAGATTAAAATCGCCGTACTCGCGCCTAGTGCCCTTGCCATTGGTCAGAATCCCACACCCCGACATCATTATGGTGCCACTGCGCATGTTCGTCATCGTGGCGGGAAAAACAAGGCTATTGGGATTATGAGTTGTGATGCCCATCTAGAAATAAAGGATTACTAGATTTTTTAAATTGTTTTTTCGAATTTTTTTAAAGCTAAATAATAAATTAACCGCTTGTTAAAAGTAAAAATTGCATGGAACCTTTTTTGTAGGGAATTAAAATATCTATAATTTTTGTAAATAAAAGTTTATTTATTCCCCAACTAAGAGGAACGAATAGAAAAAAAAATAAAAAAATGTGTGAGGAAAGTTTAACAAAATTTGTGGATTTGACATATAATTTTGTTCTTGACTTTCTGAATTATTTTTTTTTGATTTCTTAACTATTTTTTCTCCCTTATAGTAAAATTTGACATTTACACAGTTTTAAAATCCCAAATTTGCTGTTCAAAGTTATCAATATGCTATTAATTGTTTTTTACTTTTCTAAACCAGTTAAAAACAAACTTTGATAATCTTTCGGTTTTGAGATTCCAAAATGTGTTTTTGACTTTCTAAAATAAGCTTCGACCTTTTAAAATAAGTTTGACATCTATAATTTTCTTCCTTTTGGATTGTTTTTTTACTTTCTTAAGTGTTTTTGACATTATATATTATTATTATTATTATTATTATTATTATAGTAAAATTTTACATTTACAAGGTTTTAAAATTCCAAATTTGCTTTTTATCATAATAAATTGTTTTATACTTTTCTAAACAAGTCAAAAATTTTTTTTTATAATCTTTTGGTTTTGACATTCCAAAATGTGTTTTTGACTTCCAAAAATAAGCTTAGACCCTTTTAAATAAATAAGTTTTGACAAATGTTCTTGACTTTCTGAATTATTTTTTTTACTTTCTTAACTGTTTTTTTGAAATTGTAGTAAAATTTGATAATTAAAAAGATTTTAAAATCCCAAATTTGATTTTTAAAGTTATAAATATGCTCTAGAAGTTTTTTACTTTTCTAAACTTTTTTAAAGTTAATAAGTAATTTTAATAATCTTTTGGTTTTTACATTCCATAATGTGTTTTTGACTTCCTAAAATAAGCTTTCAGCCTTTTAAATAAGTTTGACATCTATAATTATTTTCTTGACTTTTTGATTTTTTTTTACTAACTGTTTTTTGACATTATAGTAAAATTTTACATTTACAAGGTTTAGAATTCCAAACTTGCTTTTAATTGTTATAAATATGCTCTAAATTATTTTTTACTTTTATAAACAAGTTAAAAAATAATTTTTATAATCTTTTGGTTTTGACATTCCAAAATATGTTTTTGGACTTCCTAAAATAAGGTTTGACATTTATAATTATGTTTTTGACTTTCTGAATTATTTTGTCTTACTTTCGTAACTGTTTTATCAACACTATAGTAAAATTTATGTCAAATGTCTTACAAGGTTTTAAAATTCCAAATTTGCTTTGTATCGTTAAAAATATGCTTTAAATTGTTTTTTACTTTCTTTTTTACCAAACAAGTTAAAAAGTAATTTTTTAAAAATGTGTTTTTGACTTCCCAAAATAAGCTTTGATTCTTTTAAATATGTTTAACATCTATAATTATGTTATTGACTTTCTAAACTATTAATTTACTTTCTTAACTGTTTTTTTTTTGATATTATAATAAAATTACATCTATATGTTTTAGACTTTCTGAATTATTTTTTCTTACTTTTTTTAACTGTTTTTTGACATTATAGTAAAATTTGACATTTGAAAAGATTTTAAAATCTCAAATTTGCTTTTCAAATTTATAAATATACCTACTGTGAAAGTTTTTTACTTTTCTGAACTTTTCTAAAGTTAAAAAGTAATTTTAATAATCTTTTAGTTTTAACATTCCAAAATGTGTTTTTGACTTCCTAAAATAAGCTTTCAGCCTTTTAAATAAGTTTGACATCTATAATTATGTTCTTGACTTTCTGAATTATTTTTTTACTATCTTAACGGTTTTTTAACATTATAGTAAAATTCGACATTTACAAAATTCCAAATTTGCTTTTTATTCTTATAAATATGCTCTAAATTGTTTTTTACTTTTTAAACCAGTTAAAAAGTAATTTTTATATACTTTGGTTTTGACATTTCAAAATGTGTTTTTGACTTCCTAAAATAAGCCTTGAGCATTTTAAATAGGGAATTAAAATATCTATAATTTTTGTAATTAAAAGTTTATTCCCAAACTAAGAGGAACAAATTTAAAAAAATGGAGTTTATTAACTTCTAAACTTATTTTTAAGGCTAAATATTTCATGAAATGCTTGTTATGAGTAAAAATTAAAATCTATGTTAATAAAAGTTTGTTCTCAAACTAATAGGAAATAAAAATAAAATAAAAACGTTAAAATTTAAGTTGAATAATTTTAATTAATTACCTCAATACTTCCACTCCATTTATCCACAAGCCTGTCAATTCTAATTTCAAACAACTCTCCATCCCGTAAAGGTCTATGAGTCATAACAACCCCATTATTAAACTCATCCAGAGGTCTTCTCCTTTCAGCAGATCTACTACCATTTGTGAGTTTCACAAGGGAACCACTGCGATCATGAAACCTTATTTTCTCTGGACGAGGCAACTCCTCTGGTAATGTCAAACTAAAAAAGTTATGAATAAAAAGGCTGAAAATATTTTTAAATTTTTTTTACCTCATATTCATATCCATCCTAATATCCAAGCTATTACTGCTGCTCAAACTTAACTCACTTAAATCCCCACCCAAAGTAACATTTAAAATATCATTATCAATGGCCAAAACTGAGCTACCACTTAAACAATCATCGTTATTGTGTTCTCTGATTCCTGGACTGGTAATGCTGACTTGCACACATTTCCCATACAAATCAACCACAGCATATACCACACTTGGTATACCTTCGGCCGCCACACCCTGAGATTCTCCATTGATGTAAAAAATTAAGTCACCATCATAGGTTCGCATCAAACCAATTTTGTCTTCTTGGTTTAGTTTGTCCAAATCCATACCATATCCTTCTACAAGACAAACCCCGTTCTTGAAAACCGACGATGTAGACATTATCTATAATTCGAATGTTAAATATAGTGACAAATTATTAAATAACAACAAATACCCATGATCCTGTCTGTATTTTCGAAGCACAGGCTGGAAAATCAAAATTCAAAGGATCACAATCCACCACGCCAATCTCCAAGCTGCCAGACCAAGAATTCACCTTAAAAACACAAAATCAACCACCAAACCTCAAAATCACCCACAAAAACGTACTTTTCTATCAATCTTTACTTCAAACAAAACATCATTTACAAGGGGTTCTGCGGATATAACCAGCCCGTGATCGAAATCACTGTCGTTCCTTATAGCGGTGCAATTATCGTTCGTCAAAGTGATTCTTTCACCGCACCGGTAGTGAAAATATGCCATATTGTCGCCAAAAATCGGTTAATTTGTCGTCAATTTCTTCATCGATCACATCATAACAAACCCCGGAACTGTCAAACGCAAACAATCGGCAAAGTCGGCTGGGTAGTTCAAATGTACCGAAGAAATTTCTACGAGGAGTGGCCAATAGGTTATAAAACAAGGATTATTTAATAGGAAATATTGAGTTTGCACTGATTCTTATAGTTTTACAGGATTATCCCACCATTAAAAAACCTAAGAAGAGTTTAAAATACAATAAATAAAGCCAATAATTTGAATTTTAATAGAGAACGTTTTTTGACTTCACCTGGTACGTAGGCAACCCAGATGACGGGACTTTAAATGTCATAAAATGACGCCATCTATTAACCTTAAATATTTTCGGTGTTTTCCTCATATTTTTCAGTCGTGCGAGGAATTCCAGTTGGGAATGTTCTTCGTGGCGAAGTGATATATCGTTTTCTGAAAGAAAACTTATGTGTAGTGACATTTAAAACAATTTTCCGGTAGTTTTAGTTATGTGTGAAATTGAGTTTTACAGTTTGGATACCTAATAAAATAAGGTAAAAGTTAATTGTTGTTGTAGTTAATGAGTGGGATCATAGAAAAATAATAGTGGGATGATAAATGCAATGTGAATTTTTGGTTATGTTTATACATATGTCAAAGTGACATTGTTGTCAATGATGTCAAAATCTTTGATTAATTAAGGGATCATTCCGTTTGATGTATAAACATGCGAATTCATTAAATATTTGATTTAATCAGATGGGGAATGTTGCGTGCAAAGAATATGCCGCTAATGTAATTAAATTTACTCCGCGCCAAATACCATAACATTTAAATTTAATCTTTAATCTTTTAATTAAATGCGAAATAAAAGAACCCTTAACAAGGCCTTCTTTATGATTCTGAATAGGAGTTTTGCCATTTTAATTTACACACGATTTTTTTTAATACCTAATTAAAACATCAAAATCATGTTAAAATTCCCAAGAGTTTCATTTACAGAGGTTTTATATTTCACTTACACATTTCCTGAAATTCTTAATCATATTTTTCCCTGCTGTTTGTAATTAATATTGCTTAAAACGACATACAAAGCTTTTGTTTATCATTTATCTTACCCTGTTTTATAATTAAAGTTAATGATCATGTTTAATTGTATTTTATTTTTCAGAAAACCATCAAAATGGGCACATACTACATTTGCGCCATCATTTTTAGAGTTGCCCTACCTGCTTTTATATACGCATGTAAGTATTTTTCGTCTTACGCCCTAAAAAAAGACACTGAGTGGCCTTTATTGACATTTGCGACTTTCTAGGTACCTACCTATAGAAATTGATGTCTATAGAAAGCATTAATGATTAACCAATCAAAGCAAGGCATTTTCCACGGCACACTATGTGCTATAATAATGTCGTGCTCTGATTCGTTTATTGCTTTCTATAGAGTTTATTTTCTATAGAAAGTAAAGTCGCATATTTAACAAAAATTAAAATACTGAATATTTTACGTTTATTTTAAAAAGAGAGATATAAAAAATATTTTTAGCTCTTTGATTTTGGTTTATTTTTTTACTATAGATCACTTGGATTAAACATAAACATGTCAATTTGATTACAAAAAGCATTTTTCGAATATTTTTAAACCAATCTTATTTTGGGATCATTATACTGAACCAGACCTGATTTAACCAATCTAAAAATAGACAAACTTTTTAAATATTTCATAGAGATCAAATGCCATCGGATTTTAATGACCTAGGTGAATAATATTGTTTATAATTGTAGGATAATTAGTTTGCATCTATTTTATACGGTAAATAAATAATGTTTGCATTAAGTAATACCTATAAATAGCCACATGTTATCATAATGCAAGTTTTACTAAATATGTTTTCAATTATATTATTTTACCCTAAGTTAAAAACTATTGTTTTCGTATTTTTTTATTTTTGAAATTTATTATATGGTCCTTGATTTTACTGCCTATATCTTTAATTATGTAACAATGAACCTTTACATAATTATATATGCTAAAACCTGTCAGATTGACCTCGAACCACCAAAATTAGCTGGACATCTGAATAAAAATACCGCGTTTTGATAAAGAATTTTAATTAAAAGAACACTTTTAAAATCTTTTTTTATTATAAATTATTATTTTGATAAAGTTTTTTTTATATAGGTAACAAACATTTTTTTATTATTTAATAAACAGCTTGCGTAAATGGCAAGAAAAATATTGACACAAACAATCATTTTATTCATTTTATTGATTTCTTTCTCTGATTAATCTCAATAAAAATATTAATATCTAGAACTGTGTACTGTATCAATTTTGTCAATATTAAATTTTATGACAATGCCACAACGTAACAGTAATAAAATCCCTTAAAACATTTTGTATAACATCGATTTTGTATTTAATTTGCCATCTGAAAATACATAAAAATTTAATTGCAGAAATGTTTTAAATTGTGAAACTATTTTTATTATACATTGATTTTAAGGGTCACTTAATTAAGGAACAAGTTATCAGTTTTTTTATTATGTAATAATTTTGGATGGATCATGAATTTTTATATTTGTTGTACAATATCTTAAAACCTAGTACAAAAATAAAGGTTACTGTTTTAACGTGTTTTATGTAAAAATAACGGTATAATTTCAAAAAAATCTGTCTATCTTAAATATTGTGAAATCCATTTATAAAACATAAAATAATTTTAATTATTAATTAAATAAACAGCTGGACTTTAAATACTTCATACTTAAGTACTAAAAACGTGTGACTCAAATATAATTCCCGTACCAAATTAGTACCTACATACATACATAAAACATTTTATTGTCTTTTTTTCTTACTAATTAATAAAATGTTATAAGAAGGCACTGTGAAAATATTTGCTGCGTTTTATTGCACAATTTTGTGTGAAAATCTCTTGATAGTTTTACGGCAAGTAATCAAATCATCGGTGGAAAGAAGGTCAATCAATGAGTAGGCCTGGCCCATTCATTAGCGTACTATGTTCCACGCAAGAAGACTAAACAGAGGGGGAGTCAATGGTAGATTTTTCGGATGCGAAACTTTTATTTTTTTATTAAATCAATACCTATTCAAAATTTATTAAACAGTACGCTATTTGGCCTTGAGGAGCCTTTATTTAGTCTTCTTGGATCCACATAAAAAATAATTAAGGTTATATACTGTCAGTATGAAGACAATGCCTAAAATTTTTTTAATAGAAATTGATCTAATAAAAATTAAACTTTCAGTTATTAATTTGTATTATAACTTAAGAATGGTTTATTTAAAAGAAATGGGAAAAATATTTTTTGTAAAATTAAACTAAGTTTATTTTGTAACGTGTTAAAAATTATTACAAACAGCTCATAAATAAAAAATTTAAAAATACAAAATGGGAAGCAGATGGTCTTTATCGTTTTTAAAAACAAAAGGCGGTGTGCATTGAGCTGTGTTCATTTGTTTCATATTTCAACTACCGCGCCTACCAATAATTGCATATTGCAGGTAACATCAAGACGGAAGTTAAATTTAATGGAACTGCGGGGTAAATAATAGGGGTTGTCACTGACAACTTGTCAGTTTTTAAATTAAATAAACAATGGGAAATATATTTTGGTTTTCACCATCGACAACAATTTTTACGATTTATTTTTTATTTTTTGGGTAAAATAAGATTAAATTCAACTAAAAATTTTAAACAAATGTTGATTTTCCGAATGTTTCCTAAACAATCTATTTATAATATTTAAACGTTTAACATGTTTTGTCTTCTGCCAACATAACATTTACTGCATGCACTAAATAGTTAAAATAGATTTGAAATTCCAAAACAATATTTTTTAATAGAAACAACCGAAACATCATCTGCAATTTTTCGTAAATTGAATGGACTATAGGGGACCCACCCTCGCTTGTTTCGACATATTCGCGGTAAAATGCCACCGCCACCCCTTTCCAAAGCCAACGCAAAAAAGTCGGTCATCATTTGGATAACCCAACGCGTTTTGCTAATCAGAGCAGAAATTCTGTCCTATTATCATGTCTAGAATAGTGGAATAATAACCTACAAAAAATTGATATGCCTACTTCGTGAAAAAATCAATTTCTCTTTATGTCTTGTATATACAGGGGTCAAAAAATAGTCCAATAAATAAATCGAAGTTTGTCATTTTTGTTACACCTCGTATTTACATAATTTTTACATGTTGTTTGTTTTTTATAATGGATATCTGTGATATAGTGAACGCACCTTCAAATGTAAATATTATCTAGGTATTTCGTGTAAAATATAACAAATCATTTTTCTTATCGTATTGTTGGTATAATGTATTCACGGTTTAACAAAAAAAGAGAGTTTGAAAATATAAATGTTATTATTTAATAACATATTATGGCGTTTTAGTCCCGTCTGACGTTAGCAGCAGCTTTAAAGTTGCGGGCTGAAGTTAGCTTTAAGTTAGTTGACAGTTGTCAAACGTCGTACAAACGTCAAAATAATGTGCACTTTGAAATAATACTAAATGTGGTAATAATAATTTATTATCAAAACCAATATTTAAATTAATTAGTAATTCATTATTTTTTATAATAAAATTTGTTGTAGGAAAAGTATGCAATTCGTTTCTATTGGCACGTATTTTTTATTATTAATTAATAACTATTTTCATACAGAAAATGCAAAATAAAAAGCTTTTTTAGGTCCTGATTAAGTCAATATTATTTATGCAATAAAATTTTAAGGTAATTAGGAGAACATGCAAACTTTGCATTGCATTGCAAAGTATCATAAATTTTATTTTTAGTCTAGCATAATTTATTACAATATTTTTAGACAATTTTATATGAAAATTTCCACCTGGGAATACTAAATAATTTTCTTTTTGAAAAATAGTGTTTTGGTAATTTTAATAAAAAAAATAATTGTTAAGGTGTGTAGGTATAACATTTAAACGTTAAAAATTGTTGACCAACCCAAAGTTTTAAGCTCAATAATTTCGTAAAATCAATTTAGCTACATAGGATATACATTTTTCTATTTTAAACTATCTTACTTATTGGAAAATGAATCAATATATTTTCTGGGTTCACACCTTACTATGGTCTAGCCAAACAAGTAAAAGTCGCCTATAAAATTTTCCTTTTTATTTCTAATAATAAGAAAATAATAAAAACATTGTAATTGTAAATGAAAAATGCAAATATATTTTTTACAGGAAGTGAGCACAATCGCGAATATCACCTTGTTATGCACTTGAACAATAGCTCCCTTAGGCCCAAGTATGAATTAAATTTGGCATATTTAAAACCTACTTCAATCTCTGTAATAATTCTATTATAGTAGGCAGCGTGACGTTATTTTTGGGTCACACGTAAACAATTTTAACCAAATTAAAGATAATGTTTTGCATGATGTGATGCATAACTATTTATACCTAATTATAGTTTTTTCGCAATAAAATTAATCATATTATCTGAATTTCTTAAAAGGAATATAAAATATTTTATCACAAGGTTATTTTTAAATACACATTGACAAGCTATGACTTTATGGACTTTTAGTTACGGGCTGAAGTTAGCAGGGGTGGCTTTCGGTCTTTTTAGTCATAAATGCCCGTCTTTTAATTTTTTCACTTTCACTGACAAAAAATGCTTATAAATCGCACTTAAACGGTTATTGGTCAATTTTTAAGGAAGAAATTTCGATTTTTACAGACAAATTTGATAAATCAACACTGCTATTTTGAAAGCCGGTATAACAGATTCCTAACGGCAATTTGACAACTGTCAAATTAACTAAAGCGCCATAAAGCCACAGCTTGTCAATGTGTATTTAAAAGGTCACTAGTGTAATGTAATAGTTATTTATGTATTAAGGGCATAATAAGGTTTTTATGGTCCGAGGCGCTATTTCGAAAAGCGTCGTAGGACCATAAAAACCAGTTATGCCAGCAATGCATACAAAACTTTATGCACGATTAATATATTATTATTTTTAATATATTATTGTTTTTAAAGACGTTTACGTCAAAGAATTTTTGTTATAATTGTCATATTATAATGTCAACTGACATCAGTCAGTTTTAAAGTTTAAAGATAAATGAAATTGAGGAAGCAGCTGAAAAGGCGAAAAATTGCGGCCTGCTGCCGGTAAAATCTTAATCTTTATACGAAAAAACATACTTCGAATATATCAAATGGTGTAACATTGTTGTTTTTAATTTTTGACGTTTCATTATAGCCCGCTGGGCCATAATAACGCCCGCGGGCTATAAAAAGACGTTTACGTCAAAGAATTTTTGTTATAATTGTCATATTATAATGTCATCGTGCATAAATAATATTATGTACGATAATAAGAGTAGAAAAATAATATAATAATAATAATAATAATATTTTTTAGGTGTTGCCTTTCGACCATGCGTTCTATCAGGAATATACCTGCTACTGGCATGCTACCTGCCCTTTGTACCGGTACCAAAACCTCGTACCATGAGTGGCCATACCGGAATATTTATGAAAATATGTATAGTTATAACTGTTTTAACAACATTGGCGCAAATAATATTTCAAAGCGTATTATTTGCGTTCGCACCGTATGGATCTATCCTAGAAGTAAGGATAAGCATGAGAAATTCAAATCCGACCTCAAAAGTCACGTCAGGTTTTTGAGTTCTATTGAGTTTTGTGAAGTACTTTTTAATTTTTTTCCAATATCTTATCTTCTTTTGCAATTAAAACCATAAATCAAGTTTTTATATAAGTACATTAAACTCAAAAAAATTATTCATTGATTTTGACTCAAAAAAACTTTTGAGGTCTAATTTGGATTTGACAAGTCAAAAACCATGGAGGCTACACAAAGAGTACGAACTCCATTCTGCCAATTCCCGCTATTCATACCTTGTGTAGGCTCTATAATTACACTAGTTTACAAAATCGAAAAAAAATTCTGCCCACCATATCCCATTATAATTTTCCCATGTATTTTGACCCACTAAACACGAAAATCACACTCATTTTTTTTATAGAAGCGTTTTTGAAAAAGTCAAAACACCTCAGAAAATTTAAAAAAAAACAATTGAAAATTCATATCTCGAAAACGCTTCCATGAAAAAAAATTTAAGTGTGATTTTCGCGTTTAGTGAGCCAAACCACACAAGAAAATCATAGTGAGACATGGTGGGCAAAATGGCTGTAATATAGTGTTATTGATTATAATCCAATTTTTTTTTTTAATATTATGATACTTTGTGATTTAGAAATGCGAGTTTTTGGAAAAAGTGCTAAGGCACATAGGCTTCATAAGGTTCGACAACATATCGGCGCAAACCGGAATAACATGGATAGCCCCAGAACTATTGATGCTGGTGACATCCATCACCACCTTCGTAACCATAAAAAAGTTGGTGATGTTCTCGCACCAGCAACTCAGCGAAGAAGAAGGGGTGAAAGAGGATGTAGCCGATTTCAAGAAAAATAAGCAAAAATACATCAGAGCACTCGTTGCAGTTGGTAAGTCACATTTTTAGTGCCAAAAAATATGCCCCTAAATGTGATTTTCCAGGGAGATACGCGGTTCTTTTCATACTGTGTCTAGCAGCGGTTTTGAGGCCCTCTGTACCGGGCGGTCTCTACTTTTTATTCTTCTTATCCGCCTCGACCTGTTGGGCGTGCTATAAACAGCTAGGAAAAGGGTTTGCCATACTTTTAAGGATACTAGCTGTGCCCGTATTCTTTCACATAACCTCACTGTACGCCTACCAAACTCAGTGGCCGCAAGAACTGCTCGAAGCCAACAGTACTTACGCAAGGTAAATATAGTAAATTTAAAAGCTAAAATCATTGCATCAAGTGAAAGTGGTAGTGCAACTACAGGGCGATAGATGGCGTTTACATGAATAATACCATAGGGTCCCTAGATTTGGGACCTTAAAATACCAAAATGACAAAAGTCAGAGTTTTATAACCTATATTATGCACCGCTAAAAATATGTTTTTAGCCATTTTTAAATCCTATTTACCTCTCTAACAGCTGTTAAAGGTAAGAAAGGTCCATTATTATCCCGTTCTGCCTCAAAATATCGTATTAAGGATGATACCAACTCTTGACTCCGACTATTTAAATTCTTCGGCATTTTAAATATAGGAAAAACAAAAAAACGATATAGGTATAACAAACACAAAAACGGCAATGAAAACTTAAACGATATAAAATAACACAAAAAACAAACAAAATAAACGAAATATTCAAAAACACAACTGACAGCTTCAAAATTCTAAAACGTCAATTTCTTTTTCTATGCGTCATTTTATTAAGCAAAATTTTAATCTAAACATGACAATATTGCAAAGTACCTATATCGAAAATATTGTTTAGGGTGCCAAAAAAAATTATTGTGAAAGTTTGAGTCCATAATAATATTAAGAGGTCTATCATCGCAATTTAATTTTTTTTCCTGAGCGAGTTTTTGTCTCAGAACTCCGAAACCATTGAGTTTAACAAAATTGACTTGGATATATTTTTTTAAGGAAATTGAATGCTCTACAAAAAAGGCCTAAATGAATATTTTCGTCAGATGAACCGTTTTCTTGAAATCATTCCTTAAAAATTAGTATTATTAGTTTTACAATTTGATCTTTTAAGTTTGGAAATTTGTAATTCATGTAAAAATCAGTACCTAGAAAAAAACCGATAGTATTCTTATGGGAAATCAAATGCTCTACAAAAAAGTCTTTTAACATTTTTTACTAAATTCACTCGATCAAAAGTTATTCAAGGTTAAAGTTGAAGTCAAAACGAAGTTCTTGTTTTTTCCTCTGTAGATTTATTTTTTTATGGATGATAATTTGATTTTTTTCTTTATAAATGCGTATTATATAACTAATTAACAATTTTCAATAAAAAAAACAACATGATTGTTATTATTTAAACAATTAAATAACAGTGAAAATTATATTTTCCAAAGAAAATAGCTTCTTAAAGGGAAAAAATTCGAATGTGTTATATATATTTTTTAATTTTCCGTAATTTTATCAATAACATAAATATTATCATCGAAAAAAGAATTCAAGTTTTTAACTAACCCAAAAAAAAATCTTCAGCGGAAAAAACAAGAATTTCGTTTTGACTTCAACTTTAACCTTGAATAACTTTTGATGGAGTGAATTTAGCCAAAAATGTTAAGAGACTTTTTTGTAGAGAATTTGATTTCCCATAAGAATATTTATCGGATTTTTCGGGTACTGATTTTTACATAAATTACAACATTCCAATTTAAAAGATCAAAATGTAAAACTATACCAATTTTTAAGGCATGATTTTAAGGAAACGGTTTATCTGACGGAAAATTTCACTTTAACCTTTTTTGTAGAGCATTCAATTTTCTTCAAAAAATATTTCAAAGTCAATTTTGTTAAACTTAATGGTTTGGGAGTTCTGAGACAAAAACAATATTTTCGATATACTCCCCAAAGTGCACACTAGATTAATATTATTTTGCGGTGTTTTAGGTATTTCGGACTTACTCCACTTTTTTCCGTTGACTGTGAGGACGACCCGAGGAATTTTATTTTCGCGCATGTCGAATGGGCTTCGTATCTGAACCCTGTGGTGCTCTACATTTTGTTTTATTTCCTTATTTTGCTGTCCAAAGGTCTGCTTAAGCCAGGGGTGAGTAAATCGTGCGTGAATCATTTTTTGTAGTCTGCAAGAGTAAATAACCTATTCAATTTTATTGCTAATAATAAAACTGATCGAGTAAATAAAGGTTAACATGCGGCTGTGTAATCTAGATAATCTTTATTTACTTTTTTTACAGCTTTTTAGCAAAATCCCAAAGGAAACTGAACTTAATCAAAAGTTATATTTTCATCATCATATACGCTAAAGAAGCATCGCTAGTAGCGCCACCACTCGGCTGTTATCATCGTAACAAAAGTACAACTTTTGATAATCAGCTGTCAAACGCTTATGTTACAAACGAGTGTTTTTGAGAATAAAGCCGGAAAATGTTAAAAAATATCGAAAAAAAACGTGGCACGATTTGTTGTGTTGTTGGGTGTATTTCGAGAGGAATTCCTGGGTTGAGTTTTTATCGGTTTTCCAATAAACAGTATTAATCCGAATGAAGAAATAAATTTCAAACAGTCCCTGTAAATATAAATTGTATCTATTAGATACAATAAATACACATTTTAGTAATGATTAACGTGAAAAGTGTTAACATTTCAATTCAGTAATAATCGTCAAACAAATAAGTCGTCTAAATTTAAACAGCATTATTAGAAGCGTTGATTAAGAAAGTCTCCACTCAACGGTAAAATACCATTATATTATGTATTATATATAATATTATGTTGCCATGAATTCGTAGGTATATTTTGTTGTTTTAAATGCAGTGTTTTTTAGAGAATTCAAATATAAAAATGGTTATGTTTGTGCAAAAATTATTTTTTACTGATTTCTTAAAAATGTCCAAACTTAAATATAAATTATATTAGGTAAAGCTATCATTAGTTAATTCTGCACCAACAAATGTACTTACCGAATTGGATCCTTTGGCAAAACATGAAAATGCAATGATTTAGTTCTTGAATTTTATTTACAATTAAAAACACAATAATTCACCATGATCCCTTAGATAAAATACACACACTAACGTAACTATATAAGCATTTAGGCGTTGAGTTTCTTAATCAATGATATAAAGAATAATCAATCGAAATCGAGTACTAAACCAGTTTTTTAGTTTTTTCCTTGCATCGTAAAACACACATAAGTGCGCGATTTAGCTGTGCAATTGAACAAAATTTGTCGAGTGAAAAAACTACCTATTTATTTAAAAATGATGTGCAGTTCGTATGCTTAAATGTATTGTTGACAATTCTTAAATTCGAAAACCCGATATATCTTTAGCGTATTGAACACTACCAGTGTTTTATAGGAGAAAAGTTCCGTTTCTTGAAGGACTAAGTGGTAACTTTCTTCAGTGTCATTTTACTAACAATTTTACTAACACAAGCAGACGCAAAAGAAGCAGGGTCCGTTCTCCAGATTGGAGAGTAGCTTTTCAGGCGAGTTGGGCCGTCAGATGTCGCAGCGGTTGCCTAGATCGCAGCTGATGCGCAGTGGCACTACTAAGAAGCGATGGCAAAGCGCTACGCGCAAAGTTCGTGTAAGGGAACTGAAAAAAAAATGTTTGCTTCTCGTTTTCGTTTCAGTGGCTGTCGCAGTGTAAATAACTTTTCTCTTTATTCATTATTATTTTACTTTATTGTTTCCACTACTAACTTTTGTTTATATTTTTAACTCATGCTTGGCTTTTGGTTTGATTTTCTAGATTTTAAGAAAATCCAGGTTAGGATCCGTTAAGGAGACCACACCAGTACGTATTTATTTTCATTTTTTTTTTATTATTATTTCATGCATTATTTCTTATATATATTTTTGTACTTTATATACTGCTTGTTTAGGATCTGGTGGTGGTATAAAATCAAATATCATTAAAAATGCATGATTGTTTGAGAAGAAACTTCTTGTTTCAGTTAGTTTATACATTTAGTATGTATAAATGGGGTTACAAAGAGATGATTGAAATTTTTTTTTACATTTCTCAGAAAAATCAAAATTGCAAATTAACCATGAAAATCAAGAAAAAAGTGTTATCAAGAATTACATTTTCTGCTTTGTAACCTCATCCATTGACATCATAGAAAAAGACATACTGCAGAATTTATTGTCAAAAGAATGATATCCATGATAGTTATCTGACTATATGTGACTATGCTTCACATCCAAAAGACCTACCTTGACATTTGATAACAAATAATTGAGGTTATCTATCTTTCTAAAAATATTAAAGTTCTTTATTTTTTATCTGGACTGCGGCAACGTTGCAAATTTAGGGTTTTGGTTGGTAAATACAGTTGTCAAGTTGGTCACATTGATTAAAACAAACTAAGCTAGTTATAAATCTAATTGTGGTTATGTATAAATTATTGTAGGTTACATTGTGCAGTTGTCAAGTTGAGTTGTCGAAATTCGTAGTTAAAAATGCAATTAATTTGGCTTTGGTGGTGCTTGGATGAGTAAAATCATATAAAAAAGTAGTTAAATATAGGTTGCTTTACGGCCCAGAAGAGAAAGTATTCCTAGCGGATAATATTCTTCGCTTTGAAAATAATTTATATAAAAGAAATTAAATTTGTTTTGTAAATGTAAATGTTGTCCAATGGTGAATAATGTGTGATGTAATATTTATAAAACCAAATTCGTTACTTTTTTACTCCAAAAATGTCCATAAGGTGATGTACTTTTTCTTCCATTGTGGCATTTGGCATAATTTCAGCAAAATGAAATTTTGTCCCTAAAAGGGCTTTTACATTCGAATTCGTTGCTATTATTTTTGGCATAATTATCTTTTTATTTATAATCGACAAGTAAATTACCAATAATAAATATTATTGTCAATTTGACAGTGTCAAAGTATTTAATTAAATTCTTTAGCAGAAGTACCATTTTTAAATATTAAAAATACTAAGTCAAACTGGCATAAGCCACCAACCTAACAAAAAACACGAGTCCAGATAAAAAAAAAATTATGAAATTTATGTTTTAAATAAAGTCTTAAGACTTAATTTATACACAAAAAATACATATGTTGTATTATTTTCAAATACTAAATTAGCGTTAAACTAACGGAACCTAGAACTTGCGCCTCAAATAAATAGACAAATAAAATCCACACCCTTTAAAATGTAACAAATATCTTTTATAGTTAATCAGAGGTAAGAGTCCGAAGAGATATGGCAGTCGCAGGGTGATCCAAGACTCCACGGGAAGCGTCACAGTGACTGGGGACAATGGAGAAGAAATACCCATGGATCAGCTGGGTAAGGGTAAGATTCTACTCGGAAATATTAGGCCTGACATGTCAAAATTTGCTTGCAAACGCTGGAATTAACCTTTTATTAACGGAGTAGATAGCTGCGGGGAAATAAGGGCTTGAAATCACCCAAAGTGTCGAATTTTTGCGAATGAAAATCAATATTTTATTGCCGAATTTGATATCAATGGGTGTAGCAATGACTTGCGTTTAGGGAAAGACGGATCGCGCGCGGAATTGTGTTCAAGATGCTCAATTGACGATGACGTTATAACTTTATGATTTGTTTCTGTCTGTCTCAGTTCAGGGCTCTCACACTTTCTGCCCGTGTAGTGTATACTATTTTTCTTACTACCTCGGCCGAAAATACGGGAAAAAATTAAATGTGTCTTTATGTACCTATCTCACAGACCTATCTCCATTTGAAGAGCTTGATAAATAAATAACAGTAGGCTGTGAATTCAGCGGTGCCAATACAGTAAAAATAAAAGGTTGTATTTTAATTAACAAATTACTACTTTATAACAAATAAAAGTACCATTAAACACTTAAAACAACATAAAAAGTAAAAAAGTAAAAACATAAATTGTTTATTTGTTGTTAAAATTGCAAAATTATGGTTTAAAACTGTCATATTTTTGTGTTTCTCATGTTGGCAGTACGAAATTTGAATGTTAAGTTAAGCACACGACTAAAAAATTTTTACTCCCGCTATTAGAGTGTGCGCGTATAGCTTGACCAATGCATAAAACGTAAACTTTCTGCCGTGGAATCGGGGACGAAACAACGTATTTTGAGTCGAGGTAGTAAGAAAAAACTATTTTTTACTTGGGACGTCAGATTGCTGGTGTACTAGTAGCTGTTTTTAAATGATAAATATGATCAATTGATTACACAATTTTTGCTAAGGCACTACAGAAGAAGAATATAAGCCGTCAAAATTCGAGACTCTATTATTTGGTCTGGATCAAATACTGCAAGTTATAATCAAATCCTCATACATTGGTACCAATATAATAATGATGGTAAGTACGACAAGATGACCTCGCAAACACAGACCATACAAAACTGCTTTAGGCGTGGAGTATAACATACCTAAGCTGGATAACCTTCGTGCTACTCATCTGGGCCAACCTTCTGTGGTTGATACCCAACCAAAGGAAGTCGATGCTGCGCTCGAGTCCATTTTTGGTGATCTACGCGTGGTTCCTGCTCATATCGGCGTACATATACTCGATGAATTTGACCGAGGACGAGCTGCCCTCCAACGTGCAGGGCATCAACCTGGCGCAAATAGGTTTCGTCAAGGTTACGCACTTGCCTTGCAATCCCTTGCTGGTGAAGTGCCTTTTTACCGCGATGTTTTGGATCACTTTGAGGCAGTACATGCACGAGAGGATGACGCAGAGGCAGAGTTCCGCTTTGGCGGATATGGTGTCGCCTCTGCAGGTCACAGTAGGCACCGCAACCGGTGAGTACCAGTGAAAACACTTTCCATCTCGAATCGAAACCGAAATCGATGGACCCGTATTTTTTCTTTTTGCTTAAATTTGTTTTGTTTAAAACTCCTTTTTCACATGACCGTCGTATGTCCCTCGAGCAAAATCCAGTATTTGCGACCTTCTAAGAATTTAATTCAACTTTTAAGTAGCCAAAGAAAATGATATTGAACCAATGTTGGGTTTTTTGTGTTATAAAATTGTCTTAAATAGCCAATATTGTTAATGTTTAGGCTAAAAATAATAGCTGAACGTTGTCCCGACGTTTTCTTCACATGACCGTAGTGCGAATTAAAATATTTTATTATTGGAAATGGTTAATTGCGCAGTTCAGTTAGCGATATATTTACAGTTCCTGTCGTATATTTTGATATAGAAAAGGTAAGTTAATGTTCGTCGTATTTTTTTATTAACATGACCGTCTATAGTGATGAAATAGCAACATAAATAGTTATAAATTGCTCGCTATGTTTTTTTTGTTGGCGGTTGGGGATACTTTTAATTTTGGGCAAATAAAAATGTTTAAAATCACATGAAAAAAAAAGTATGCGACGGTCATGTTAAAAATTTGTTTATTTTTTATTTAAAACCCTTTTAAGTTTTATTTTTATGCACATAAAGCACTTTCTTCATCATTCTGGCATATTTGACCAAGTTACCTAAAAAAAAAAGTCAGTTGAACTGAATCCGAACAATTTTTTTCTTCAAAATTAAATCAGAATCTTAAAAGATACTGAAAACCACACAAAAATGTTTCAATCGCAGCGATTGAAACATTTTTGTGTGGTTTTCAGTATCTTTTAAGATTCTGATTTAATTTTGAAGAAAAAAATTGTTCGGATTCAGTTGATTGAATCGCTACAATTTTTACGATTTTTCTTGAAAATTCGATAACTTGGCCAAAAATGTTTCGATCGTAACATTTTTTTTTTAAATTGTAGCTAAATGTTTACTACATACAAAAAATATATAAAATTAGGTAAATTCACTCAATTTTTTTTTAATTATGTTTTCTAAAAAAGGCAAAAAGAATTGAGGTCAAAATTTTGACATTGCCATATTTTTTTTTACTTCATATTTTTTTCGTTTGAAGTTGATAATATGAACAAAATTTTTTTTTATTATTATTTTTGTATATAGTAAACATTTACCCACAATTTTAAAAAAAATGTTACGATCGAAACATTTTTGGCCAAGTTATCGAATTTTCAAGAAAAATCGATGTTTCAGTCCATTTTAAAAAAATTTCCTACGGGTGAACAAAACAAATTTAAGCAAAAAAAATACGGGTCTCATCGATTTTGGTAGAGAAACTGTAAAAAAAAATTTGTTGAAAAATAACGATCTACCCCTTATTTATTATTACATTTAGTAAAATTAGAAAGATGTATTGATAAAAAATAATTTAACATAAAAAAAATTTAGGTGTATCAAACGAACAACAAAAAGGCAGCAAAGCCATGGACGTGATAGGCAAACACATCAGTCTTTTGCTAACCAAATTTTGGATATGGGTGGTTGCCATAACCCTTTTTGCTGTCGCTATAACTGGACAGCGCATGACCGTATTCAGAATTATTTATATGGGACTGTTTCTACTCTTTGTGTTATCATTTCAGGTAAAAAAATCTTAATTACAGGGAGTTGTTTCTTAACAGTTGCAACTAACCAATTAGAGCGCAGCATTTTTAACCGCACCTAGTGTGCTGTGGAAAATACTGTGCTTCGATTGGTTTAGTATAGAGGAAGTAAATTCGACAACTTCAAGAAACAAAACGTGAAGGGTAACCATAAACTTTCATTTTGCAGATATCTTTCAGGATATGGCGGAAAATTATGTTCGCCTTCTGGCTAACTGTCATTGTGTATTCCATGATTATTTTAGTAATGGTTTACACGTATCAATTCGATAATTTCCCCAAATATTGGGAGGAATATCTTCACGTGCCGAAAGAACAGTGAGTGAAACGCAATTTAACCGGCAAAAAACTACGAATAAAATATTTTAGGCAATTGGATATAGGTCTGGAGATCTTCGAGACCAAGCAGCTGTTTATAAGGCTGGTAACACCGACGTTTTTCGTTATTATAACTGTCATTCAGCTGCATTATTTCCACAAGGATTTCATGACTCTATCAGATCCGAAAAACACGAATTTGATTGATGTCGATTTAGAGGAAAGTTCTTTGCAGGGTGGCACCTTTGTGCACTCGGAAAGCATGCCAACAACTACCTCATCAATTAAGTTGGATGGCAAAAATTTTGCCAGTAAGTTTCATACTTGAAAAATGACAACTTTGGTGATATTTTAAACAGTACTTTAAGCACTTTATATTTTGTTTTGGTGTTGGGAAATATTTAGGTCATTTCCAAAATTCTTGTACATTTAAAGAAGAAAAAGTACAAACAAAAACTGTTTTTTACAAATTTTGTTTATTTAGGTGTGTTATTTAACATCTAAAAGTAGGCAGTTGGATTTTTTTAAATAAGCCCTTGAAAAAGAAAAAAATGGTCCCCTGGGTCACAAATTTACTAACATATTAAAAAAACTTAAAAACTGCTTAATCATTTTGGAAATATATTTTTTTGCTTGTCAATAATCCTTTTAAAGTTTTATTTACACTAGGAAACAACATACATTTATTATTTATAAAAAAAAAATTGGGTACAAAACTAAGTAAAAGCAAAAACTATGTTCTATTTCTCAACTCTTACATACAATTATTAATATATTTTCTGTATTTAAAATGTCCATTGAAAAAATTGAGTTTAAGAAATTTTCTTTTAATGCGAATTTTTTCTCAATTTTTTATCTTAGCTTGTCCAATTTAACGAGCAATAAATTGATAAAAAGTTTTAGTTATTAGTAATATTAATAAAATAATAATAAAAAGTCAATAGAAAAATTTTCAACAAAAAAAATCCAGCTTTTTAAGGCAAAATACATCGACTAGGAAAATTACTATTAAAAAGGTGGAGGACATTATTTTAAATTGGCTAGGTACTGTCAGAAACAGAAAAGGTGGAAGGTCGAAAAAAAAAAAGTTTTTAAAACTTTCCTATAAGTTTATTATTATTTCAAGAATATATTATAATTTATTTCTTTGGAATTGTCCCCTGGGTCACATAACTTTCCCATGAGTCACACAATATGTGATCCAGGAGACGTGTGACCCAGGGGAAAAATGTATGTTTTTAGAACATATTATATATGTAAAGAGGTTATTAATCTCTTTACTGTTTTAAAGATAAAAAGTTGTATTTTTGCCCTTAAAACCGTTAATATGATACTTACTTTTGAGAATCAAACAAAGTTTAAAACACAATTTCCTACTAAAATCCGTTACCGTTACATTGCAGCAAGGGGGCAGCACCAAAAAATTTGCGCTTGGGCTTTTTCTGTAATATATGGAATATATTCTCAACTATTTAAAAAAAGGAGGGTGCAATTTTAGTCTAAGATGTTTAAATAGCATTAAGTGGGGAAAGTTTAATTTTTTTTATAAAGTTAAACTCAATTTTTTATAAAATATTAAACTTGAGGGACAGCAAATGTACAAGAAATTTGAAAATAACTTATTTCTAATATTTGTTTAGTAAGTAAATATTATGCCAAATTATTCTTTTAGAATCCTTGACCAAAGTATGCAAAAACATTCTGAATCTAACATTCTTGTTCCTCGAAATACACATGCCCAAAGTGGTGATGTTTTTCGCAATGTTACTGTGCGTTTACGATCAATGCGCCCTCTATCTGGTGGTCATAGTACTTATAGTGTTGGCTTTAACGTTCGGACGACCGATGATGGTCATAGCCATCTTTACCAGCAGTTTCTTCGCCTCCATTTTGCTTTTATCACGGATGATCTACCAAATACAATACATCGAGCCTGCTAATTGGACAGTTACGTGTCACGTGAGTCCATATCAATTATTCAATGTATTTTGTTTATTTATTGTTCATATATAGTACAACAACGACACAAACGGCACGGAGGAGAACAACGCCCCCTGGTTGGGCTTCCACAAAACTTCCACCGACAAATCACTGCCATCCTTGGTGAAGTGGAACATCATATACATTCTCGTGGTCACGCTGTGGTCCGTGGTGACGGTGAGGCAGCTGAATTACAAAATATCGCGGGGAAAACCCACGAAGCGCTCCTACTTTATGTTCCCGAGAATAACGCGGGAAGACGCAGACAAGAATATGAAAAGTTTCCTGAAGTACATGGCGAATTATATGTTCTACCGACTTGGGGTCGAGGTAAATAAACTTTGGGCAGTCTTCAAAATCTTTTTTCTGTAAATTTTAGTTATCCCTTATGGCCACCGTGGCGCTGATAGGCTTCAGAATGGACATGTACGCCTTTCTTTACAGTATTTGGTTGTTAATACTGATTTCGTGTACCAGGGCCACACAAGCGAAAATCTGGAACATCTATGTCATATTTATAGCCGTTTTATTACCGATACAGTACATAATGGTTATAGGGTTACCTCCCAGTTTATGCATTGGTAAGAATACAATACTGGGTGTTACAAAATTAGTTGTCAAAATAAGAACGTTTTTCCTCTATCATTTTTGCTTTAGTGTCATTTTTTTTAATAAAAAAATCATTAAAGTTTTTGCACAGTGGGCAATCTACTTTCATTAAAAATTTGCCTTTGTTGATAATTGTTTTTTGTTTTGCATACTCAGCTATTTTAGGTAATAAAACAATACTTACTTTTTATTGTTAGGTATCTCGAGGTTTTCGTGGTTTTCCTGTCGATTTAAAATTTCACCTTTCACTTTTTACGTCGATTGATGCTCGTTTAGCTATTTTTTTAAGTGTTCCACAAAATCATAATACCCGAACTGTCAGTATTTAATGATAACAAAGTACCTACTAACCAATTTTGAATAGGATTAAAAGTTTTCTTGATATTACATAAATCTAAATTTTTAATTTATGTCGCCCACCTGTTTTTTTTTGCTTGGATTAGGGTTTAAAAAAAAACGTTTTTTTAGGAAAAATTGGGAAAGTTTCAGAAAAATTGACTTTTTCATTTTTTAAATTGTATTCATTAAAAAAATGCAAAAGTCAATTTTTCTGAAAATTTGCAAATTTTTACAGATGATATCCGTACACTGATATCGAGAAAAAAGTGAATTTTCGACCCTGAATATAACCATAATATTATGATTATAATAATCATTCCTTTCATTTTAATTCAGTATGAATATTCTACCTGGCGGCAAAAAAAAACATATTGGGTGCTGTATTAACTTAACTTTTATTTGACACTTCGATTTATAAAATTATAATTTTGTAATTTAACTTTTTTTTCAAATAAAAGGTAAGTCCTGGCTATTTGTTATGTATAGACTAATAGTAGGATTGTTAATATGTATTTTGTGCATATAGGTTTTTGGTACTGTTTTTATTTAAACAAAAGTATTTCGCTGTCATACGACAACATACGACGTCAATATGACGTGTTTAAATTATAATTTAGTTTAATTTGTTTAGTTGCTTTTAAAGAAATCTATTAGACAAGGTTTTAATGTGAATCTAGACATCATATTCAGTTTTTTATAACTTATTTATAAATATGTTTTTTATATCAATTAAATTTTAAAGTTGTAAATACCTTTAACGAGGTTTTTCTTACTTTTATCTATTTTGCGTTCATAATGACATCATTATAACACCGCTTTCGGTGCTGTAATGAGGTACTTTACCCCACCCAAAATTTTGATTTTATAGGTTGGCTATACTTTAAACAGCATAATATTTTGCATATTGGTTATAATATTTTTATGATTTTTCCAATACTTACGAGACTTTTCTGGCAATAAATTTTGTTTAGCACCAAAGAAAATTCTTTTTTCTTCTTTAACATTAACAGCCGCTCATTGTAAATAAGTAAATTAGGGACGCCATGGCGAATCGATTTTGACATTAACTGTCAAACCAATGACTGTGATACCAACTATCTAAAGTTAAATTCGACCAAATTAAATATAAGGTGTGAAATTAATTTTTTTTATAGATTTTTTGCAAAATAGGTAAAATAGCATAAAGAACTCATGTCATAAGACCTTTTGTCGCACTCGTCCATTACAAATTGTCCGCGTGCGACAAAATGACGTCTTATGACATTAGTTCTTTAATATGCTATTTTACACAAAAATTATAATGTTTTAAAGATTTTTTTATCCAGTATTATCTTGCTTGCATATTAAAAAAACCAACGTTGTTTATGTGAAAAATGAACAAAACCAAATAAAGAAAATAACTATAAGAATTAAAATGGTACCCCATAACAGGCGACTTTCCTCTAGGCTTATGCAAAAATGATGGAGGAAATATTTTTTGTGGGATTTTTACTAAATGTTTTCCACCCACAGAGTATCCTTGGGATATGAGTGAGATCCTGCGCAGACTGCAAGAGTGGGCGTACTTAATGGATGCGCACTACTCCCCTAACCCCAAAAAGTTAATATGCGATTTCATGGTGCTATTATTCGCATCGCGGCAAGCTTTGGCGTTCAGGATTGAAAAACGCAACGCGGGAAAAGATTACCAGGGGGGTTCCAACGAAAGTGTCATTCACCTCGCCGAGGATCCCAACTTCACCAACCCCACGCCGGATTTCATAACCTACGTGAAAAGTTATCTGGACATTTGCAAGAGACTGGTTTTGCTGAGTTTCTTGTGGGTCACGTTGGCGGTGATGTTTTTGGCCGGCACTAACCGAGTTAATGTTTTTTCGATCGGTTATCTGCTTGGTGCTTTTATTTTTCTCTGGCAAGGTTCAGATTTGTACTTGCGACCCATACCGAAGATAATCAAGTCGTGGGACGTTTTAATCTACTACAACGTGGTGTGCATAGCAGTCAAGGTGGCCTTGCAGGTATGGTTGGGGAAATTTCACTTTTTGCTTGTACTTGAAATTTAACTTGAAATTTTCACGACATTTATGAAATTTATTGAAACTTTCAATAAATTTCAATCACTTTAAGTGTAATATATTTATATTGAAATAAGCCCACTCGGTGACCATGACAAATTGCCTCTCTTACCTCCTACCCCTCTGTGGGCCCCTGCACCAATAATATAAATAGTGAATACCTATGTTTACCACAAATTTCTTGAGATTTTCTTTTAAAATATTTTTAAAATTACTAAAACTAAGAGAGATAAAGCACTTTTTGGTAACCTAATGAGATTGTGCCACTTTCATTGTTTTATATTTATATATATATATTTATTATTTTTATATATTTTACTGAAATTTTACAAAAATTGAAGAAACTTCATCAAAATTTTATGAGCCAAAGGCATTTTTTATCCGTTTTCCGATGCAATTATAGCAAAAGTAAATCATGACTTTTAAAAAAATTTTAAAGTCTGATTTAATTTACAAATTAAATTGGTAACTGAATTAAATTATTTAAATTGATGTATGCATATAAGTAACAATAATTACTTATAGTGTATTCAAATCCAAGCCGAACTAAACAAAAACGCCGAGACGCTTGGTAACTCGTTCTTATTGGTCGATTCGGAATCTGTTGTAAATTATTATTAATTAAAGGTCCCAGGGGAGGCCGCATGTGAAATTTATGCGAAATATTCAGTAAATTGCGAAACTTTCAATGAAATTTCTGAAAGTTTCACAGGCAATGTTGAAATTTTCGGATTAAAAATTTGATTTGAAATTTTTAAAAATCTCACTTTTCCAACTAAATGAAATATTTCAAGTTTGAAACCTACTTGCAGGTGGTGGGTTGCGTTTTCATACAGGAGATGTCGGGGGCGTGCTGGGCGATTCAGCTGTTCGGCATCGGGTGCGTGAAGAAGTTCGGCAACATAGCGCAGGAATCCGGGTTCAAGGACCCGAGCGAGTGCGAGGTGCCAAGAGAGTTCGTCGGCTTAGTTTGGGACGGCATCTGCTTCGGCTTCTTGATCCTGCAGCGCAGGATATTCCACAGCCACAACTTCTTCCACATGGTCGACGAGATCAAGGCCACCACCATCTTGGCCTCGAGAGGCGCCGACTTGATCGAGGAGCTGAGGCAGAAGAGGATAGCCGAAGAGGAGGAAGAGGAGCACGGGGTTTTGCAGAAGATCAAGCACAAGATGGACAGGATCAAGGCCACCCAGCAGAAGATGCAGAACAGCATTTACAAGGACACCGCGAAGAGTCATTATGTCGGTGAGTGTTTGTCAATATGTTTACAACAAGGTGAAATAGTATTTTTTTTTTTCGTTAAAAGTTCAACATTTTTCTTTATTTTTATCAGTTTTAAGATACAATGGATTTTCATTTTCAGGACAATTTTTTACAGTTTTGGGACATTTTTAAGAGTTTTAACCTCTATTTGTAATTTTTGGTATTTTTCTATATTTTTGAGAATTAATATATGGGTGATTCTACAAAAGTTGGGCAACTTTTGACCTCATTTTGTTTATATAGTTTTCGGAGAAAATGAAACAGTATTTTGTTATGAGAACATAGATAATATAATAAATAAAATGTTCACTTTTTCAAACAGTTTCTGAAATATCTGTGTTTTCTAAATTTGAATGCAAGGAAAGTGACGAGTATACCAGGGTACTAATTAAATACATAAATTATTGGAAAATATAAGATTTATTGCAACTTTGAGCATATTATACATTAAATATCTTAAAATCAAATAATACCACACATCAGTGGCGGCTGGTGGATTTCGGCTATACCGATATCTCAATTATTAGATATGGGACCCACACCAAATTAATATGAGTTTATAATGACATTAAATAAACAAGTTCTGCGCAAGCAGAATTTAAATTGAAGTTTGCGAAAAAAAGATAACCGAAAGATGAAACTGACGACACGGTACTGATGAATGGGATACAAATTTGAGATTATAATTCGGAATGAAGGATTTTACTGATATTTTTTATTAGTGGATGCTACTTATCAACAAATCACATATAGCCTTTTATAAATTACAATGAAAAATATATAAATAACCACAGTACTGAAATTTTGACTGCAACTATACGTGCATTCACCACAACTTCGCCGCTTGCATTGTTTTCAAGATGACTGTCGTGCAAAGGGCGGGCTCTGTACCTACGTAGGTAATTTTTTTACCAACACTTGAGTTAAAACGAGGACTTGACGTTTAAACTTCAATATTTTGAATTTTAACATTGGACACAGAACTGGCGGGTAAAAGTGATTACAAAGATTATCAATTTTTTAAAAATTGCTATTATTCGAATCTATGATAAAATATGAAAATTACATTATTTAATGTTTTATAGTTTGTAGTGAAATTGAAAAATTTGAGATAAATTGAATATATTTTAAAATAAAATCACTCAAATATTTGATTCAGAAGTTGCGACACGCCAAGGTACTGATGTTTTGAATATTTATTATGTTTTTCTACAAACGTGCTTTTTAAAAAATACATTAAAATTGGGTGGACAAGTTTAAAAAACCTGGATCTTTTGTAATATACTAAAATATTTACAAAAAATATTAAAATACTTACTCTATTGACTAATGACATCAAGTTGTCCAACTTTTGTAGAATCACCCATATCACTAGACTGGGCCAAAAAATTCAACTATTTTTTTTTTGAAAAGTATATCGAAAATATGGTTTGGGGTGAAAATTATTGTGAAAGTTTGAGTCCATAATATTAATATTAAGAGGTCTTTTTGTTACTCCAAACAATATTTTTGATATACTTTAAAAAAATAATCGATTTTTTTGCCCCAGTCGAACAATTCGGCAATTTTTCTATATTTTTATCGGTTTTAAGAAAAATTAAATTTTCATTTTCAGGACGATTTTTTACAGTTTTATGACGTTTTAGAGAGTTTTAACTCTATTTGGAAATTTTTCTATATTTTTGAGTTAATATACCGTCGTTTTTCGTTTTCGAACAATTCGACAATTTTTCTTTATTTTTATCAGTTTTAAGATAAATTAGATTTTCATTTTCAGTACAATTTTTTACAGTTTTAGGACGTTTTACAGAGTTTTAACCTCTATTTGGTAATTTTTCTATAATTTTGAGAGTTAATATACAGGGTGTCCCGCACTAACGCTTAGGTATTTTAAGCACAAAAAATATTACAATATTTTTTCGAGTAATTTTCTTAATGCCTTTCAAAAATAAAAAGTTTAACAAGCTCTTTGTAAATGCGTTACATGTAAAGTAAAAGTAAAGTAAAAGTAAAAATAATTGCAATTATTTTTACTTTCTTAACCTATAATTCTACAAGGTGTTCCTAAAATGCCTGTAAAAAATAAAACCACATATTTCTGAGACAAAAATAATGCGATATAACTAAATTTACCTTTGATTTTATTAAATAACAAAATATTATATTTGGGTTTTTTTAAGGACGGTAAAATTACCATTTAAACGTATGCAAAGTGTCGCAGACAGCGCCCTCTACACCCTACATTAATTTTTCCTGGCTTTTAAACCCCCCAAAAATCAAATTATGCACAAAAATGTTTTAAAACAACAATTTAACACGATTTCCGAAACCAATCAGACCAGCCGACGTTGGCGCGCAGCACGTCGGCGTCGTCGTGCGCATCGGCAACGTCGCAGCGAACCGGCAGCAACGGCTACCACACCCCGATCGACGAAGAAGAAGAAGAAGAAGAAGAGCCCGCCCCGCTCACCCCGCGCAGCTCGCTCACGCACCCCAACCGCGCCCCCTCCTCCCCCTTCTCCGCCATCATGACCGTCTCGCTCGACGCGTACCTCGAACCGCAGAGGATCTCGTTCGGTTCCCCCCCCCAACTCGGAGCTCAACCCGCGTCCCCCCTCCCCGGACGACAGCTTCCCCGTGTTCTCGCCGCCCCCTTACGACGAGGCGCCGCCCTACGCGGAGGCGGTCGACGAGCGGGGGGCGGGCGGCGGCGCGGGGCAGCGGCAGCCGCCCCTCGGGCCGCCCTGGATGGCGGGCAGTTTCGTCACGCCCAGGCAGAGCGTTATCTCCTACTCGTCCAGGTCGCCCCTCAGCCATCACGAATGTAATTCCAGTTTTTGAGGTTATGTTCTTAAGGAGCAGTACATAGGCTTGATCAAGGAGAATAAACAAAGGAGGAGTAACTCTAGTTAGTGGCAATTGCCAAAAATATTCGGACGTCTATTATTTATTCATTATGTTCATTGTTTTTCTAGTTTTACTTTTCACTTTATAGTCCTTTAAGCCCGCGGTCCGTTCCTACCTTTAACCCGCGCAAGCCATTCATTTGGCTTCTGGGACTTCTTAGGAAGTAAGGGTGGAACTAAAAGAGCACTTTTGTATATAAACTTTTTTTGTATATAAACAGAAACAGAGTGTGCAAAGCTAGCAAGTTACTCCTCTTTTTATAGTCTTCTTGACTATTTTCGTGTAGGTGTTCTATGAAAGCAGTACAAAGGCTTCAATAATATTCTTTTTGTGTGGATACATTTTTTCTATTTTATATTTTTTGTTAGTTTTATATTTTGATTTTAATTATTCACCTCCTTTATTTTGGGTTTGAAAACCCTGTATAGATTTTTTTTTTTAATTTATTTTTAATCAATTGAAAGTTTTCTTCCATTTTATATTCTTCATATTAAGTATTTTATGCATATTAACCTTTTCTCGAGGGGTCACCCACACCTGGGAATCCCTGGACATTTTAGAGGGGGAATACCATAGGAATACATAGGAATACAATAAAGTATAATGGGAATACATGGGAATCCCTGGACGTTTTCCCTTTGGGTGGTTGACCCCTCGCATTTTTTTATAGTTTAACTTAATTTTATTAATTATATTAATTTTTCCTATTTTTTTCATATGGTTATTTAAAAGTTTTAAATAGGTAACCATATAAAATAATAGGTAAATAATTTACAATTATTGTAAAATTAAAACTTGAATCACAATCCACACAGCAAGGTCAGTTCTATGGTACTAAGACAACAAGGTATGATCAGCTATCTCTTCTTTATTTAATTTTCACCTTTAAAATACAAATAAAAAAACAGTAATTTTACAAAACATAATATCCGTATTAAATTGTTCCCTTTAAGAATACAAATTAAAAACAGTTACTTTACACAACATAATATCTTTATTTATTTTACATATTATTGCCAACATAAATATCTCATTGTTTTACTTTATATTTTTTATGTTTTTATTATTTTAAAATATATTTTGCCTCTAAAATTGTATTGAAAAATGAAAAAGCTCAAGCAAATGAAGAAAAACAGATTTTTAATGTGATGATATTTTTGGGTTTGATTGTAACAAATTGAGGCCCCTAAAGTGCTAAGGGCAACCATTTTACTCATCTTTTGTAAAAAATAAACATTATACCCAAAGATTATCTTTGATTATACCCAAAGATAATGTATTATCTTTGATTATACCTATCAAACTGTGAAATGTCGATTTTAAGATTAATTTGTGGGTATAGTAAATTTGTGGGTTATGGTAAATTAACCTTAAAATTGACATTTGACAGTTTGAGTAAGGTCTCATTAAATTTTAAGGCTTACAACTTGTAAGTTGTAAGTTACAAGTGCCTGTGTAAGAGACACAACGTTTAAAACGATTTTTAATCTTTATAGACATCACAAACCCAAAGCACAAGAATTGTAAACAACAGACCTTCTTGTGTGGATTGTGACTTGAATAAGATTTTAAAATAATTTATGATTTTTTGCTGACTTATTTTTCTTCATATAAAATTCTTCTGTATTATTTTTTCCTTATTAACTTTTTAAAATGTATTTATTTATTGATTTTATCCTATGTAAATCTTGTGAATATGTAAAAATTTCATTTTCCCATATTTTTTATAGTTTTGTAAAAACATTTAAATTTTTTTGTAGATTCAGTTTTACCAAACAGACCGCGCCAACGAAGAAAAACACCCGTAACATACAGACAGGGTAAATTACCATAATTTTACGGTTTCATCAAATGAGTGACTTGTGCCATTTTAACCATGCATGTTAAGGTTTTTCGCTTTCTTGTAGGTCCCGGACTCTCCATATAGCTCATCTAACAAAACAAACATTGCGTGCTTATATTTGACGGCAAGTCATCTGTATATAGTTTTTTATTTTCTTTTACTCTGCTTCTGTAATTTTGCTGTTTTCGATTATTTTAATACCCCGCACCAATCACATGTGTATATTATTTTGTTGTCAGCACCATTTTTACATATGTACGCCTGGTCACGTAGCTAAGTTCACTGTAATCTAATCTTCTGACGTCACCTTAAAAGCATGACATGCTGCTTTTCGATAAAAATTGTAAATCACATTTCTAACGTATTTTTTTCGATGTAGCTATAAGATCCGGTGATTACTACATGTTCGATGACCTTGAAGATGACGATCTTGACATTGACATTCCAAAAACGCCTGTCGATCCTGAGGACCCCGCCAATAAAAAATTAAAGCCCGATTTATCACAAGTAAGTGTCAAAGTTTTATAATTTTTAGTTTAGAAGCAAGGCAGTCTTAATTTTTAACTCTGGCAAGCTAAATTAAAAACTTTAACTTTTTGAGGTTAGGAAAGGTTTTAACCTCAAAATTCCGACCTGGGATTCTGATTCTGCGCACAGTGGTTCACATTGCAATTTAGCAGACATAAGTCATTCTTATGGAGCTAAAATGCGTTGAGATTTAGAATTTTTACACACAATGTTTCTATGGAAAATAATTAACCAATCAGAACATGCTATGTTAATTGTTTTCTATAGAAACTATTTTATTTATTATTAATTTGTACCACATTTATTGTAATTGTAAAAATTACACACTAATACGTGTTATGCAGTTGTTGAGCTCAGCATTGAAGCGCCAAGGTTCGAGGAGACAGGGGCGGGTCGAGCTCAGTCGTCGACTGAGCATGCCCCTGTCCAGGCAAAAGTCATCGTATTCGGCGAGATCCGCAATCTCTGTACCCTTTTCCGCCCCTCCCACAGTGAGTTACTAACCCGCAAACTACTATGCTATACTAGGCACACACAAGTTTGACGTTTTTGTTTTGTTTTGTTTTGTTTTGTTTCTTTATTTAATGTTGGCACTGCAGCTACTAACCAGCATACGCGTGTATCATAGACGGTAGCTTGTAAAGCAAATATGAAAGATTTTATTTGATATTTTTTACATTTTTAAAATGGTATATTTTTTGATTTTGAGGCATACGGTATAAAAAATGTTCCAACAATTAAAATTTATTGATTGTTATTTTTTATTTTTGTAAATTATAAGCTTTTTTAATAAAAAATAATAATTAAAAAAAAATACTAAAAATAACTTGACTATAATAATATTATATTGGCACTACTTTATAAACAAATGTATATTTCTTTATTATTTTATTAGACAAAATAAGCAGTTTTTCTATGTTATGAATTTATTTAAATAATAAAGTACCTAGTTTATATACAAAAGTTTATATACAAGTGCTCTAAAATAAAAAAATCACTTGATTTTGTTCTAAATATTTAAATAAAAAAACAATTTTAATTTTCAACTTTATAAACAAATGGCAAAAGTCATCACGCAAAATAATTCCCACCCTGTTTGGGACGCCCCTGATCAAACTTTTATTTTATTTACAGTAAGTTTTCCCAGGTTTTAAAAATATTTAGTAAATATTTTTAAAATTGTTTTCAGGGACGGACTTTTAAGGGCCCTAGCTAATATTAAATTAAATTATAAAAATTGATAAAAAACTTCAATCAAATAAAAATTTTCATATGCAGCTTATTACTGCTAATTAAAAAAGGCGTATTATTTATTAAAAAAATAAAAATATTTTTTTATTATTTTATAATCAACATAATATATATTTAAGCAACTAAATACAGTATAATGTAATGTAAATTATATTCTAATTACTAAATTTGAATATTATACTTTGTTTAATGTTTTGTAATTTTTTTGAGATTTTTGTAGGTACTAACAACTTACTGTAGCACTAAAAATACTATTTACAGTTTAACATGTTTTAAAGAGTAGCTTTTGCAAATAATTTGCTCTATTATTTTATTCTTTTCATTTTTATTATCCCTAACAAATCCGTAAAACATGCTTTCCAAATTTTTTCGCCAATATTTTGCTTTGTACATATAAAGATTTTAATTTTAAATTTTAAAATTAAAACTATAAAACCAAAACTTGTTTAGGATAAAAATAATATTATTAACATTAACAATACTCCAATTCCTACCTTTTTTTAAAACTTCTATATACAGGGTTTCCCAAAATTGGTAATCCGGGTTGCCTACCTACATTCGAACAAACGCATAGAGCAGAAATACTGCGCTCTCATTGGCGGCTTTATACTTTTAATAACTCCTGCAATTTTACCGCCAATTTTGGGTATTCCATCGTACATCTACCTATTTTCTATTCACTCTGTTTAAGTAAATCTCACCATAGCAATAAATAAAATAACAATGTAGGTACATGTAAATATTAGAGGACGAATATCTTTGCTAATTGTAGCTTAACGTCGATGTTGTTCACAGCGTTTTTTATGTAGACACTTTACAGTTGCACCAAGCAGATAATCGGCTAAATTCTAATTTTCATGGGGGAAATTTTAGATTCTGGAACAGGAAGTGGACTCGTCCGGGAAAGTGATTGAACCACAACCGAGCACAAGTAAAGATGATGAAATCAGCGAACTTTCCGAAGCCCGTATTATGCCAGAGAAACTATTTTTGCCTTTAAAACTAACACGTATTTTTTAGAGCAACTTACCGCGTATCAAAAGGTTAAAGGTTACGTTAGGCTGCTTTGGGTGTACATTGAAGGCACCATGGTCACTCTGACAAGATTTTTAAATCAATATTCCAAAGACTACAGGTATATTATAAGGGTTTTGAGCAAGGAAAAGAAGATTTTAAAGGTATTGTACTTCTAAATTTTGAAATTTGTTTATTTTTTCTTGTTTCTTCAGGAAAAAACAAACTATAGCGTTGGAACTAGGGTTGGCTCTGCGCAGGTGTGGCAACCTGCAGGATCATATCACAGCCTACTGAGACAAGAGTAAGCTTCACACCTTAATTATAGTTTTAGTTACTAAAACCGTATTTTTTTGAATGATTTTTTTGTTTTTGACAGTTTTTGGATGGTTTGCGCCTGCCCAAACTACTTTACAGGTGTTTCTCCACTTATATTTATATTTTAAATTAAAAAAAAAACACACAAATATAGTGGAGAAATTCCTTAACTTAGATAGTGTTTCAGTTAGTATTAGAATGTTTTTTTCCAAATAGCATCGTAAGCAGATCTTCGTCAATATCGCGGACATCGATGGGTATATTCAGTGTGTCAGATTCCTACAGATTAGCTTTAGCGTCTGACCCCATCTCTGATAGGTCTGTGGCAAAAGAAACTCTCTATTTTTCCACACACAAACAATCACGTTTATTTATGAGAAACCATAAGATTGTTTTTGAGGTGAAATCATAAAAGTTGGTACCACTTGCACAATTTCCATCAAATAGCCAACTTGTTTTACTTCAAGTTATGGAGAGTAGAAAAAAGGAGAACTTTCTGTGTATACAAAGTTTTAAACCTAGTGTATTGAGCGACTAGTGGGTAAAAGAGAAGATTCCTTGAGTGTGGGTTAACACTTAAGTGTAATCTCCTCTTCTGACCAATAGTCGCACACAATATTTTATTCAACTAGCTTTAAAAAACATTATGTTTTGCATTATGTAAACCTAATATAATTTTTATTTGCAAAAAAAAATTAGTTTTACAAAAATTTCAGATTTTGTGGATTCCTCAGGTTCTGGGAACTTTTGTAAAAGGTTAAATTTTCAAAATGTCAAAAAGGCATGTAAATATATATTTTTTATACATCGCCTTCCATCAAAATTTTAACTTTTGTACTTGTACTGTTTTTAATCTCACCGATTCAATTGCACCTTCACCTCGCCAGAGTCTTTGTTTTGAGTGCACAACCAAAACAAGAGACTACCTTTACGCTAAAGAAGTATCGCTAGTACCGCCACCACTCGGTTGTTATCATCGTAACAAAAGTATAACTTTTAATAATCAGCTGTCAAACGCTTATGTTACAAACGATTGTTTTTGAGAATAAATCCGGAAAATGTTAAAAAAATATCGAAAAAAAAAACCGTTGCTCGATTTGTTGTGTTGTTGGGTGTATTTCGAGAGGAAATCCTGGGTTGAGTTTTTACCGGTTTTCCAATAAACAGTGTTAATCTGAATGAAGAAATAAATTGCATACAGTCTCTGTAAATATAAATTGTACCTATTAGATACAATAAATACACATTTTAGTAGTGATTAACGTGAAAAGTGTAAACATTTCAATTCACTAAAAATCGTCAAAATTTAAACAGCATTTAGCATTATTAAAAGCGTTGATTAAGAAAGTCTCCACTCAACGGTAAAATAACATTATATTATGTATTATATGTAATATTATGTTGCGATGAATTCGTAGGTATATTTTGTTGTTTAAAATGCAGTTGTCGGCGTTTTTTAGAGACCTCAAACATAAAAATGATTGATTTTAAGGTTATGTTTGTGCAAAAATTATTTTTTACTAATTTTTTAAAAATGTCCAAACTTAAATATGAATTATATTAGGTAAAGTTATCATTAGTTAATTCTGCACCAACACACTTACACACTTACCCAATTGGATCCTTTGGCAAAACATGAAAATGCAACGTTCTTGAACTTTATTTACAATTAAAAACACAATAATTCACCATGAACCCTTTTATAAAATACACACAATAACGTAACTATATAAGCATTTAAGCGTTGAGTTTCTTAATTAATGATTTAAGGAATAATCAATCGAAATCGAGTACTAAAAAAGTTTTTTAATTTTTTAGCTGTGCAATTGAACAAAATTTGTCGAGTAAGACTTTCTTTTGTGAAAAAACTACCTATTTATTTAAAAATGATGTACAGTTCGTATGTTTTAAATGTATTGTTGACAATTCTTAAATTCACGTAATGCTTTTGAAGTTCACCAGATGGCGCGCGCGTTGCTAAAACCCGATACTTCTTTAGAGTATATGTATTGATTTTATCTGACATATGAAAGTTTTTTTACAATTTTAATTAAATCCAACTTTAACCTTTAAAACTACCTTATGATTTCTCGACTTAAATCCGCTAATACATACAGTTCATTCCGCATAGTTCCAGTGCAGTAACATTTGATTGTGTTAGGTTGCCAGCGCTGAATAGCGTCGATAACAGCGCCACCGAAAAGGCTCCTTATAGCGAAATTAGCGGTAGCGATATGAAACAGACAGCGCCCTCTATACAGTTTACAGGCGAAGACGAGAGGTACCACGCACGCACTTACGCACCATCTATATACAGCTTACGTTAATTATAATTACCACTACGGTCACTATAGCAACGTGACGACACTTTTGATTTTGATTTTTCGTGTAGGGTTTTTTATATGGTGGGATATAAATAGGAGGTTTTAAAGGGAGCATGACGTTTTTCATGGTTTTACCGTATAGTCAGCACACTTGATAACACTGGGAAACAGTTTCGATAAATTGTACAGCTCGACCGTTTTCCAGTGTAACTTGTTTGATCGATTTAGTGTAGTTTAGTTGTGTTATGTTGGCTGTTCTGTAGGCGCAAGGCGAGTGTACTCACGGTACCGGAAATCCGAATATTGGCGGCTTCGCTCGAACGAGGACTCGACTCTCCGCCATTGTCGAACGATGACAGTTCGTCGTCAAGGTAACGAGCACAGCCTCCGACGTTTTCAAACGCTTTGCCGCATTAATAATGTGAATTCTCTTTTACACCTGTCTTAAGGTTCTTCAACTTCAACTGTACATAATGCAAATATATTTAGCACATTTATATTGCCATTTATTATGGCGTCTATTATTAACTTCTATTATAATATTTCCATAATTTTATAAAACATACAGTTCATTTTTTTTTATTTGGATTCGTGTTTTTTTATTAAGTTGGTAGCTTATGCCAGTTTGATTTAGTATTTAGTATTTAACTTCTGCTGAAGACCTTAATTAAATACTCTGACACTGTCAAATTGACAGTAATATTTATTATTGATAATTATTGTATAAGAAGATAACTATGCCAAAAATAATATCAGATTCTAAAGTAAAAGAACTTTTAAGAGCCTAAATAGCAAAAAACGTAAATCGCCTTATGTACCATTTTACAAATATTTAATCACATTATTTTCAGCTAAGCAGATCAAAAATTTTTGTAATTTCCAAACTTGCAAACTTTTTGAAATCACAATTTAAATACGCACAAATAATATTTATGAAATATTTTTGACAGTTCTGACATTTCTCTACCAAACATGAATTGACTAAGTCAAAGCCATCTAAATTTTAAATTATAAATAAAACAATATCGCTAATAAACGGGCATTAAAAAAATTAATATATCTTTTAAAGGAATAAAAATAACAAAACAAGACTAACTGGAATGAAAAGATGAATGTGGAGACTACATTTCCTGAAAGTTTCAGATTTTTATTTTTTCCTCAACATAATGATTTCTGAGTGCAAAGTTGACTAATTTTAAGAATTATCAAGTTTCAATAATTTTTTTAATAAAGAAAATGATAGTCTAGAAACTTAAAATAATAGTTACGTTTTCTATTGTATAAGTACTTGATACCTAAAAAAAACAACTTTCTAGATTTAGCAGAATAGGCACAGGAGCCAGACAAAAATCACAAAAATTGGCAAATTATCATGAATGAGTGGTTTACCATTCTTTTATGAGATTAACTAATTGGATAATAATAATTTATATCGAAAACACATTTACTGAACAGTAAAACAAAATTAAAATCATTTCAATATTTGTCACAGAAAAAAAGTTCTGGCCCACTAAGAGAGTAAGAAATTGACATGATTTCAGATTTCTAAAGGGTGCCGATTAAAAGTAAAGAATCATATTTGATACCTAAAAGATCATCCTCAATTTTTTTTATTAAAATTAAAAATCAAGTGTTTTTATTTGGAATAATTCATTTATAACTAGTTTAGTTTGTTTTAATCAATGCGACCAACTTGACAACTGTATTTACCAACCATACCCCTAAATTTGCAACGTTGCCGCAGTCCAGATAAAAAAATGAACTTTATGCTTAATGTATATACTACCAACTGCCACAAAAAAAATGTATATAAAGCTTTCGAGCTTTCACTGTGCCACACCGACCAAACTGCGCACTAAACATCCGAAATCGATTTCAGACCGCGCAGCGACCTCTATGACGAATTCGATCAAGGAGAGATGTCTTCGTACGATCAACCCACCATAGCCAGGCTTGCGCTCGCGCTGTGGCACATCGTAATGAGCAGAACCGAGATGCTATGCTACTTCATCATATTCCTCAATCAGATCAAGTCTGCCACGTTTCTCTCTCTACCGCTGCCTTTGATGGTGTTCTTCTGGGGTAGCTTGACGGTTCCAAGACCTTCCAAGACCTTTTGGATCACCATTATAGCATACACAGAGGTATGCAGTGTTTGGGTTTTTTTGTCCATTATATTTAACGTTTTTTTAGGTTATTGTTTTTATTAAATGCATGTTCCAATTTGACATAATTCCATGGAATCAAAACGCTGGAATCATTAATAACCCATTTCATCCGCCCACTATTATCGGCATTGAAAGGAAGAAAGCATACGCAGTATGGGATTTATTGTTACTTTTAGTGGTATTCTTCCATAGGTAAATCTACTGTCTTATATATCGGAATCCCAAACACGCATTGTTATTTTTAGGGTTATGCTTAAGTCTATGGGTTTGTGGAAATCAACCATGCCAGTGCCAGCTGTCTTGGTGTCAGATGGCGAGTACAAACTGGTAGATGGCGAACTAGTGCCGGTCGACAAAACTATATCTTCTAATTCAACAAATACCAGGTAAAATTCGGTTCAAACGCATTTCGCTGGTGTATTTAAATTATGTTTGTCGTTAGCAAAAAAATCAATGAAGAAGATGATGATGAAGAAGAAGAAAACAAATTGGATGGAAATGAGAGTTCCATAGTGCCTGCGGATGATGAAAATCTTTTGTCTCTGCAAAGCAACGAAGTGGGGTCTTTCGATAAATGTCCCACATTGTTTAAAAAAGCGTGAGTACCTAATTACTAAATTGACAAAAAAAGTGTCAAAGTGTTGGTTGAATCTTCTGTAACTAAATGCTCAAATTAAAATCTGAATAAAATTGTTTACCATACGCTAAAGAAGTTTATCTAGTAGCGCCACCACTCGGCCGTAACAAAAGTACAACTTTTAATAATCAGCTGTCAAGCGTTTATGTTACAAACGAGTGTTTTTGAGAATGAAGCCGGAAAATGTTAAAAAATATCTGAAAAAAAACCGTGGCATGATTTGTTGTGTTGTTGGGTGTATTTCGAGAGGAAATCCTGGGTTGACTTTTTACCGGTTTTCCAATAAACAGTGTTAATCTGAATGAAGAAATAAATTGCATACAGTCTCTGTAAATATAAATTGTACCTATTAGATACAATAAATACACATTTTATTAGTGATTAACGTGAAAAATGTAAACATTTCAATTCAGTAAAAATCGTAAAACAAATAAGTCGTCTAAATTTAAACAGCATTTAGCATTATTAAAATCGTTGATTAAGAAAGTCTCCACTCAACGGTAAAATGCCATTATATTATGTATTATATATTATATTATGTTGCCAGGAATTCGTATGTATATTTTGTTGTTTAAAATGCAGTTGTCGGCGTTTTTTAGAGAACTCAAATATAAAAATGGTTGATTTTAAGGTTATGTTCGTGCAAAAATTATTTTTTAATAATTTCTTAAAAATGTCCAAACTTAAATATAAATTATATTAGGTAAAGTTATCATTAGTTAATTCTGCACCAACAAATGTACTTACCGAATTGGATCCTTTGGCAAAACATGAAAATGCAACGATTTAGTTCTTGAATTTTATTTACAGTTAAAAACGCAATAATTTACCATGATCCCTTAGATAAAATACACACACTAACTTAACTAAGCATTTAAGCGTTGAGTTTCTTAATTAATGATATGAGGAATAATCAATCAAAATCGAATACTAAAATAGTTTTTTAATTTTTTCCTTGCACCGTAAAACACAAATAACGAATTATGTACATTTCGTATGCTTTAAATGTATTGTTGACAATTCTTAAATTCACGCAATGCTATCGAAGTCCACCAGATGGCGCGTGCGTTGCTAAAACCCGATACTTCTTTAGCGTATAGCATTGTAACTTATAATCAAATCAATAATATGTTTTTATCATTTTTAAAACATGTAAATTGAAATATTTTCATGGGCCAATGTAATGAATATTTTGGGTTATCAAAAACTACTATTTTTAGGACTGGAAAATACACTGAAGGTGTAACATTTTTCTTCAATCTATTATTAAACCCTTCCGGCAAACAGGCTACAGATGTGTATTCCTACATGTTTGTCTGTGATTTTTTCAACTTTTTCGTCATCCTCATTGGATATTCATCATTCGGGGTAAGAAAGTATATATAAAAAAATTTGTACACTGTTACACTGCTTTCAAAGGCGCAACAAGGCGATGGAGGCGTATCTTCGTACCTGGAAGACAACAGAGTACCCGCCCTCTTCCTTCTGATGTTGATACTGCAATTCATGCTGATCATCATCGACAGAGGCATTTTCCTGCGCAAAAACATCCTGGCCAAGCTAGTCTTCCAATACACGCAGGTCGTGCTGCTGCACATATGGCTGTTCGTGCTCTTCCCCATAATGACGGGGAGCAAGTTCAACTCGGTGCTTCCCCCGCAAATGTACTACATGGTCAAGTGCTTCTACCTCCTCCTCTCGGCCTATCAGATCCGTCGCGGCTACCCTTCCAGGATCCTCGGCAACTTCCTCTGCAAAGGTTACAATTACGTCAACTTGTTCCTCTTCAAAGCGTTCATGATGATACCGTTCTTGTTCGAGTTGAGAACCATAATGGATTGGATGTGGACCGACACTTCGATGACTGTCTTCGACTGGATTAAAATGGAGGACATCTTCGCCCATATTTTCCAGCTTAAGGTAAGAATTTCCATCAACAGGACGCTTAAGAATGGAAAAAATGTATTATAGAATGTAAAAATACAGTTCAATGTCAAAAGATTATTTTAAAATGTTAAAAACAATGTTTGACGTTCTAAAATATTTTTTTTTAACTACCCAAGCAGCATTTTAAGTAATATAAGTTTTATTTTATGTTATTTTTACCTATTTTAATAACCCTTAAGTTTCAATAGGTACTTTAAAGTATTATGAGGGACGTAATTTTTACGAAAGAAAATTACTTATTTAAAAGTAATTTTAACGTCAGAATTTTTACTTAATGGTAAATGTTACTCATAAGTCATAATTTTACGATATTAAGACCACTCTATAACCGTAAATAATTCCTATTCGCCTGGTATTTTTTAGGGTTATTAGTGGTAATAAATACTATTAATATTGACTAAACAAGGAAAAATAAGCTTAAAGTGCAAAATAATTTTTTTTTTCATTACTTATCTAAACATTTTTCATAAATATTTTTCTATTATATAATAAGGAAAGTTAGTTATTAAAAAACGATTAAGACTAAATGATTTTCAAAAGATTTTATAAAATTTTGTAGGTTTTAAGTTTTGTTGAATTTTTACCTAAGTAATAATTTTTCTTAAAACCGTAAAATATTTAGAGGGCATATAAATTGGAGTTTTAATGCAAAATATTATTAGTTTTGACAATTTAAGTTATATTTTTTAATTTTACTCTAGGGTGGTTTTTATTACTTTGTAAGTACCATTTTGCAAAATATAAATTAAAAGAACAAAGAAATTACGAATGTCAATGTTTTAGAAAGAGAGAGCAAACAGTTAGTAATTATAGCGTTATTTTTACGTAAATTTGTGGTATTTATATTTTTTTATTACGTTATTCTCTTAGTAGATCAAAAAGGTTATTATGTGGGTAAATAACGAAATAAACCATTCCCCGAATTTGGTAATCTATACCGTTATAAAACCGTTTTGGTTAACCGTAAAAAATACTTTAAATTTGACTTAGTAGTTATTTAAACTTAAAATGCTGCTTGGGATACATAAGGGCAGTATATTTTGCTTCAAGAGACTAAATAAAAGAGGAGTAATTTTTAGAGTGTTAAAATTAATAAAAAAACATTTTTCATGGATTTTTTTGACAAGCATAAATTTAGAATTATTTAAGCTAGAAACATAAAATTTTGTTCAAGTGAATATTGTTTTATGAGCATAAACTAGCTTTATAAGAGTAATGGACGTCAATATGAAAATAATCGAAGGATATATTTTTTTGGAATTTGATTTTTAGTTTTTTATGTTTTGGCCTCTATCCGCCATTTTGAAAAACTACAATAAGACTAAAATATATTTTATCCGAAATCGGCATTAAAGTAGTCAACAATCGGCAGTGAAGTAAAAGAAATACGAGTATTGTATGCAACCCATTATACATTTTAAGATGTGTCTACTGCTTTTCTAAATAACTCCTTAAATATTTTTTTCTTAAATTTGAATTGGAATATTTAAATATTGATATTTTGGTACCGCATATAAAATTTAAGACAAATCGGTAGCTATAGGTTTAGCGCCTAAGTTACTCCTCCTAGTCTTCTTGTTTTGCTTTAATTTTTTTTTTTAATTTATTTTCACAGGCTGTAAGTAATGCTATGTATATCACACACCAGTTGGTTTGATTTTTTTTATTATTGCAAATTTGTTTATGTTTAACTGTAGTTAACAATTGAATACGTCAATGCAGAAACTGAATATGTCCTACCTACCTAGTTTAGAGATAACTAAGAAAAACTGAATAACTTAGCGTTGCTTTAATGGATATCCAAAAATGTTTGGGATATGAAAGTAAACTATTTTGTAGATACGAAGACATGATTTGGAGTATTAAAAGTTTTGAATTCTTAGAGAAAAAAAATCACACAGGTTGTGGACATATATAGTTTCTGCATTGATTGCTAATAAAACTTATAAAATATGTAATAAACCGTTTTAGTATCTAGTAAAAAATAAACATACTTATTCCTAATGCAAAAATAAAAATAAAACAAATTCAATAATAATCTCAAAACATTTTTTAAACATTTTCTGTTTCTACTTCACTGTCTTCCTCTTTTTCTTTCGTAGGCCAATGTAATATATCCTGGTAAAATTCTTCATGTTCTTCATCAATATTCTGAAACAACTGACATATAGCTCAGAAAGTGAACATGTCCTGGACATATTCAGTTTCTGTACTATATTAACGCCTTTGTATAATCTAGATTACCGTGACATGTGAAATTTCTACGCCATTCGATCGGGCACCCTTTACTTATAGTAAATCCATGTTTAACTCAATTTCCCCAAAAAGTGGACATATTCAGTTTCTGCATTGACCTATTCAATTGTTTTATTAACTTTATTAATTTAAAAAGCTTCTATTTTCACTCTAGATTCTAGATTATTATTAATTACACCTATTTTCCCCTAATATCTACTAATTTTCACAATTATTAAATAATTTCTCATTGTATGGTTTTTATATTTCATTGGGTCATCTAAATTTTAATTTTACTTATAAACATTCTTTTTAGTTCATGATATAAATGAAACTATTTTATCTCATTTACCACTAATCCCACTCCCACTCTATAGATAGTCAATTATACCAACACTAAGAAAACTAATAACAAAAATGTCCACACCCCAAAAAACAAAACACACTGAATCTAACCAATCGAAATCTTCAACAGTGTCAAAGGTACGTCGATGAAAAGTACCCGCAAGCCAGAGGCGAGAGGAAAAGCCCGATGGGTAAGTACATCATGGGCGGCGGCATGCTTGCCGTCATCATCGGCATCATCTGGTTCCCGTTGGTGTTCTTCTCGCTTGGCAACGCTGTCGGGCAGTCCAACACGCCCTACGATGTCACCTTGGAGATCAGGATCGGACCCTACGAGTCCGTTTACCAGATGTCTGCGCAGAACAACTCGATCTATGCGTAAGAATTTTTTTTATTTTGAAATAATGTTTTAGCCTTATTCTCTACGTTTTTAGTTGTTTTATCTATATTGTAAAATTAGTACAGTTTAGCATATAGGATAACGATTTTATAAGTCAAAAAGTGTGCGTTTCGGGTGTTTCACGATTCTGCCTCTATGTCCTGACCATTGTAACATTTATTTGAAATTCAGCGAATTTTATTAGGGAAACATTCCTAAAAGTAACAGGCCTCCAAAATTATAATTTTTGGGTCATTTTCTGTTTTTTTTTCAAATTTTGTTTATTTGTTTAACACCTAAAAGTGGGCAGTTGGATTTTTTTTAATAAGCCTTATAAAGAAAAAAAATTTATTATTTATAAAAAACTAAGTAAAAGCAAAAATCATGTTATATTTCGCAACTTGCTTACATACATAAGTATTTTTAATATATTTTCTGTATTTAAAAAAAGTGAGTATAAGAAATTTTCTTTTAATGCGTATTAAAAACGTTTTTCTCGATTTTTTATCTAGGCCCAGCTTGTCCAATTTAACGAGTAGGTAATAAATTAATAAAAAGTTTTAGTTATTAGTAATAATAAAAAATTAATAATAAAAAGTCAATATAAACATTGTTTCGTTGAACTACCAATTTTTTTTTTAATAATAATAATAATAATCTTTATTTTCCCAATTTGACAAACAGTATTTGTATAGGAATGGTCGGTAAATAGCACAATAAAAGACTTAAAACTAACTTAGGGCTAAACATACATACAGGGTGAGTTTTAAGTTGACGCGTTCCTTTTAACAGTGTGTAGAAATCAGCTAAACAAATAAATATTTTAAGTAACTTTTTTATCAAAACTCAAAAATAAAAAAGTTATAGCCCATCAAAGTTTAATTAAATTTTAAGCCGGTCCTGGCTATTGTTAACGAAAAACATAACCATAAAAATATCAAAATAAACAATGCAAAATGTCATATTTGACAACAAACATAACCATTTAAATTAAATTGACATTTTGCAATAAAAAATGTCATTATTTACTTAAGTTGCAGCATTTGCATTTTGACGACACTCTCCATAAATTAGTAACATTTCCACTAATTCATTAATAATGAATCATTATTGCTATAATTATGAACCATTTTTAACAATAATTGAGGCACAAAAAAACTGACATTTTTCATTGCTAAATGTCATTTTGATTTAAATGGTTATGTTTGTTGTCATACATGACATTTTGCATTGTTTATTTTGTTATTTTTATTTTTATGGTTATAGTTATTTGTTTATCTGATTTCTACACGCTGTTAAAAGGAACTCACCCTGTATAGTTGCTAAAACCACTGAAAGCAATTGATTTCGCTTAGTAAAGTTCAATTTTTTATAAAATATTAAAGTTGAGGGACAGCAAAAACTGGGTAGTAATTTTAAAGATGAATTTTATATTTCTTCTGTCACCTTATATGTGTCATCTGCCAATTTTCATCTGTCACTTGTCATTAAATGTTTTGTCACCTGTCATCTGTCAACTTGACATCTGTCACCTGTCATCTATCACGCGTTTCTTCTAGTTTTTTCTTTTAAAATTCATCAGATTTAATGCAAAAAGAACACATTTATTTTTTCAATCTCAGTATCGTTTGCAAACAAAAATTCTTATTTCGTGTTGCAGATTCTCCGAAAGCGATTTAGATAAAATGTTGGACGCATACAAATCCCACAAATCCGCGGTAACTTTTATATCGAACTACGAGGCCTCGGACATCGCCGCTATAAAACTTAGCACCGACTCCGCGAACATCTGGAGCATATCTCCGCCGGACAGGCAGAGGATGGTGGAGGAGATCAAGTCGGACAAGCCTCTGACGGTGAGGATGGAGTACAAGATATCGCACAAAACCAGCAAGCCGGAAGATTCCGGCGTGATACCGGAAAGCGTCGAGATCATCATACCCGCCCTGAAAGACAACAAAACGAACCCGGTGAGGGGGCAGCTGCTGAACATGCTGGACGCCAAGCCGGCCACGCCGGTCAACTTCGAGTATCTGATGCCCAAGTTCCTGAAGGTGACCAACAGGGGCACCGCCAAGCCCATCACGCAGCTGATGAGGGAGAGACCTGGTGAGTAATGTGCTAACTATACGCTAAAGAAGTATCGCTAGTAGCTCCACCACTCGGCTGTTATCATCGAAACCCTAGTAGCAATGGAATTGGACAAGATTCTTTGTCAAGATACTTGGAGAAGCACTTTGTAAAGAATTGGACAATTCTTGACCAAGACTCTTGATCAAAATTCTTTATCCAGACTGGTGGCAGACTTGGACAAGTCTGTGACCAGAATTTGACCAGACTCTTGGCCAAGAATTTTTACACGATTACACGTTAAATAGGAACTTTCAATTCAAGATTTTTGGTCAATACAAATTTTTGTTGAACTTCAAATGTTAAGAATGTTACTAAAAACATTAATTTTCCACGATTTCTTTCCAGTAATTTCGGTTTTTATCCATAAATCTGGTAAACAATAGAATTAAAAACGAAACAAATTTCGAAAGAGTTAAAGTTTTTAATTTTCTATGTTAAAAAAAACCAAGTGCCGGTAAAAATAAACATGTATTTTATAATCTTTCATGTTCATAAAGAGTAAAATCTAGTTATGCGTCAGAGCTGACACACACTTTTTTTTTAATTTTTGATTTTTAGAAATAACAATTTTTATTTTTCAAAAAATCAATTTTTTTTTCAGCTAGAAGACGAATCCAATAAGCTCTTATTCGTATTTTCACATAAACAAAAAAACTATACTCATTTCCTACAGAGAACTCACTTCTCGACTAGTATACATTATTGTGAATGATACTACTGTAGAATGAGAACCTCTACTCTATAGGATAGTCCCAAAGTTTAGCAATAGATGGCCTCAGATTTCTGGTCAAATTCTTGTCAAATTCTGGCCACAGTCTGGCTCAAGTCTAGCCCAATAATCTTGGCCAAGAATCTGGAACAATTCTTGTACAATTCTTGAGCAAAAATCTGTCCAAAGTATCTTGACCCATGCTGGGCCAAGACTTTTCCGGAATTGCTACTAGGGAACAAAAGTAAAACTTTTAATAATCATCTGTCAAACGCTTAAGTTACAAACGAGTGTTTTTGAGAATAAAGCCGGAACATGTAAAAAAATATCGGAAAAAAACCGTGGCACGATTTGTTGTGTTGTTGGGTGTATTTCGAGAGGAAATCCTGGGTTGAGTTTTTACCGGTTTTCCAATAAACAGTGTTAATCTGAAAGAAGAAATAAATTTTATACAGTCCTTGTAAATATAAATTGTATCCATTAGATTCAATAAATACACATTTTAGTAGTGATTAACGTGAAATTTTAAACATTTCAATTCAGTAAAAATCGTCAAACAAATAAGTCGTCTAAATTTAAACAGCATTTAGCATTATTAAAAGCGTTGATTAAGAAAGTCTCCACTCAACGGTAAAATACCATTATATTATGTATAATATTTTGTTGTCATGAATTCGTAGGTATATTTTGTTGTTTAAAATGCAGTTGTCGGCGTTTTTTAGAGAACTCAAATATAAAAATGGTTGATTTTAAAAATTTGTTTGTGCAAAAATTATTTACTAATTTCTTAAAAATATCCAAACTTAAATATAAATTATATTAGGTAAAGTTATCATTAGTTAATTCTGCTCCAACAAATGTACTTACCGAATTGGATCCTTTGGCAAAACATGAAAATGCAACGATTTAGTTCTTGAATTTTATTTACAATTAAAAACACAATAATTCATCATGATCCCTTAGATAAAATGCACACACTAATGTAACTATATAAGCATTTAAGCGTTGAGTTTCTTAATCAATGATATAAGGAATAATAACATAATAACGTAATGCTCAAAGACAATCGTTTTTTGCAGACGAGGCCGCCAGATCGTACAGAAACATTTCGTTGAGTCTCAACAGGACGGAAACCACTTCTAACACCACCATGAAAGAATGGTGGCGCATCAGGGAAATCTGGGAGCCCACAGATTACAATTACAATAATTTCTTGAAGAAACTTCCTTACAACGAAGCCGATCAAATTATTCTCTACACTTTCAACGACAAAATTTTCCCGTCCACGTTAAACGTCATTACTGGAGGAGGGTAAGTTTTACACAATCGTTGGTTTGTCATGTTTTTTCCTGTTTTTAGAAATAGACTTCAAATAATTTGTATTATATGCAAATTATAAAAAAATATGGTTTAACTGTAAAACAAATTTTTATAGCATTAATAAAATCAGTTGTTCAGTTCAAAAGATCAAAAGTGAGGTTAAACCGTTTGACAGATGTCAGTTTGAAAACAAGTGAGGTTAACCCTGCCTGACAGATGTCAGATTGGTGAAAAGTGAGGTTAAAACCGTTGACAGATGACAAAAAATGTCAAATACAATTCTGTTATATGCAAATTATAAAAAAATTCAGTTTTGCTGTAAAAATTTGTTTTATGGCATTAAAAATCATTTTTAAATCTGTTCTATTAATAAAATCATTTGTTGTTCAAAAGATAAAAAGTGAGGTCAAAACCGTTTGACAGGTGTCAGTTTGGGTAAAAGTGAGGTTAAACCTGTCTGACAGATGTCAGAAAAAATGTCAAATACAACTCTGTTATATACAAATTATAAAAAAAAATCAGTTTTGCCGTAAAAATTTGTTTTATAGCATTAAAAATCATGTTTAACTCTGTTCCATTCATAAAATCAGTTGTTAAGTTCAAAAGATCAAAAGTGAGGTTAAAACCGTTTGACAGGTGTCAGTTTGGAAAAAAGTGAGGTTAACCCCGTCTGACAGATGTCAGATTGGCAAAAAGTGAGGTTAAAACCGTCGACAGATGTCAGAAAAAATGTCAAATACAGTTCTGAAATTTTTTTTTTATTGTCCCCCAATAACATAGAAATCAAGGTTTTTTTGACCATTATTAATTTCTTTTCTCCGCAATTGCCCCAATTTTGACCTTATCAATTAAACCTTTCTAGTAAATTCTTTGGCGGTATTTTGTCTGTAATAAGAGTTCTAAAATACGTAAAATTAAAAATGCACCTACTTACACATTTAAATTTAACAACCATTAGGTATTATTCAAAATATAGGAATTACACTGGGTGTCATTTTTTAAAATATAATTGAGGAGCATCCGTGCAAAACCGGCTATATCCATTTTAATAAAATGTTGGGAAAGTTTTCTGGCCTTTACCGATAAAAAAATGCATCTTGAGTTTTGTGCCCACAAAACTTAATTAAGGTGCATCTTTTTTATCTGTAAAGGCCGAGTTTTTGCCATTTTCCCAACATTTTATTAAAATGGATATAGCCGGTTTTGCACGGATTCTCCTCAATTAAAGGTTCATGTAAGTTTTATATACAGGAAACATTTGGCACTTTAATGGTTTTTTTAAGTCCCATTAACTTGATACTGAAAATTGCTATATATGGGTCTTCTATGGTAAGATATACAAATATTAGCCTGAAAATGGCCATTGCAAGACCTTATCACATCCTTCTATAAAAATTAATATTTTTATTAAATCATTCCTGTAAAGGCACAGTACATTTGAGGAGCATCCGTGCAATACCGGCTAAATCCATTTTATTCAGTTTTTTCATTTCTATCGACAACCAAGATAATTCTGTTTAAATCCGACTAAATCCTTGTTAAAATCACATTTAAAAGGTAGCTTTAGGAGCAAAACCGGCCAAATCCACGTTTTTATAGCAAACCCGGCTATATCCAATAAATTATGTGGCTTGGATATGTCGATACTACTACTAAAATTTGTTCTGTTTTTTCATGTTTGCACAAATTTATTTTGTTAATATTTTTGTTAATATTTTTGAATAATAAAGGTTTTTTTTCACATTTTATTCGTTTTTTATTCGGTTTTCGAGCAAAACCGGCTATATACAAAACATTTTTTGAAATTTTGGCCTTATTATAAAGTTTTTGAAAACGAAAGTATGTCTTATAAATCAAGTACCACAAAGCCCACAAAACTCAAGTTTGCTTTTTCTTTTATATGTAAAGGCCAGGAAACCGAGAGTTTTTGCCATTTTCCCAACATTTTATTAAAGTGGATATAGCCGGTTTTGAACGGATGCTCCTCATTTATTGTATATTTACTTAAACTAAAAATCATGGTTGACAATATTTTAAAAAAGAATACCATCACATTATTCACTGCATACTATACTACAAAAACCACTTTATAAAAACATTCCTGACGAAACCTTGAACTTGCAGTATAATAGGTCTCTACACGACGCTGGTGTTCGTGGCGTCTCGCGTTTTGCGCGGCATCTTCGCCGAGCAGTGCTTCAAAATCATGTTCGAGGACATGCCTAACGTCGACCGGGTGCTTCAGCTTTGCCTCGACATCTATCTGGTGCGCGAGGCCCGAGAATTTATTCTCGAGGAGGACCTGTTCGCGAAGCTGGTGTTCCTCTTCAGGTCGCCGGAGACGCTGATCAAGTGGACGAGGCCCAAGGAGGAGGTGGAGGACGACGAGGACCCCGAAGGAGACGAGTAGATTTTTTTTGATCGAGTAACATCGATAGGTGAGATTTTAACCTCTCTTGAGTACCTACTCAAAGGCATATCTTAAGTGTGCCTGTTTTAATGTAGGTACTACAAAAAGCATATTAATTGAAATTTATCATATCATTTTTTTTAATAACCTACTTTTTATATAATTATCATATTTTCTGCACACAGGGTGTTCCAACCAAGATGAAATATGATTTCAAAGACAAAACAAAATATTTCTTGGGTGGAACATTTTTTAATTTAAATTAGTAAGACTAATTAATTAGTTTATTGTTTATAAGTTATTTAAGCAGCCTTTAAAAGGATTAAATAAATCATCAAGTTAATTTTAAATTAATTTTTGAGTTTTTATAACTAAACTATTTACTGTAATGCTAGTCATTTATATTTATATCTAGACTTAAACTCCGGTTAAAACAAGTGCTGGGACTAACACAATTCACCAAAGTCAACAAAAAAATCATTCATTAGAAAAAATGCACTTTTTTGCTGTAATTTTTTAATGATTTGATTGTATTGCTGTTAGGGTTTTAAAGTGTTGAAAATAAAACGGAAAAATTCTTTTTTGAGAAAAATTGTTTTTTTTTTAATTTGCACATTTAAAAAAAAGTTGCAATCAACAACAACATTATTTAATTTTAAAAAAATATCCTTTCAGAAAAAAAAACTAAACATGGATTTTTTTGCATAAATAATAATTTTATAAATCAAAGTGTCAAATAAAACAAAAGTTATGTTAATACAGCACCAAATATGTTTTTTTATGCGACCCGGTAGAATATTCTTAATGAATAATAAAATGAATAGGTAATTATTATAATCATAATATTATGATTATATTCAGGGTTAAAAGTATCCATAAATATTTGTAAATTTTTAGAAAAATTGACTTTTGCATTTTTTTGTATTACCATTTAGATAAAACGAAAAAAGTGAGTTTTTCTGAAAATTTCCCAATTTTTTCGCCGGCTCAATTTTTCCGGAAATTTTAAAACCCTACTTGCTGTTGTACTGGCCTTTACTCAGGTACAAATACATTTTAAGCTTTTTGGCGCTTTTAACTAACAAAAAAATCGAATATTACAAAAATTGATTTGTTATTAGATATAGAACGCCCTCTTTTAATTTTATTTATAACTTATGGCGTAACAACAAAATAAAACTAAATAATAAATAAATTGTTTCTATTTTTATTGGTTCGTATTTTTTATTAAAAAAGTTTTATTTGTAAATTTTCTAAAATTTTCTTACAATATATTATATTGTAAAAATTTTTTAGAAGTTTTACAGATAAAACTTGTTTAATAAAAAATACGAAACAATTTTAAATAGGTACCTATTTAACATTTTTTATTAACCAAAAATTTCACTGCATACAGTATGGGAATGCAAAGAAGGAAACAAATATTACATTTCTCAGAAAATTTCATTCTTGATAACAGTTTTGCTTGAATGAAAGAAAACTAACCAAAAATGATTTTTAACAAAAAAATTTCAGAAAAATCTTTCATGTATGGGTATCTTTTTGACGAAAGTTGCGTAATTATAAGTCTATTTAAATGGCATTTAAAAATTTAAAGAAAAATCAGCAATTCCACAATAATTTGAAAAAAATTAAAAACCTGTCAAAACCACAAGTCGTTGTAACTTTGGAAAAAGTAAGTTTTACATGAAAACATAAATTAGTTTCAAAATTCCCATGAATAACAAACAATGTTATGACGATTTTTGTATTTGAAAGGATTTTAGTTTTTTTTTCAAATATTTTGAGAGCTGTTGGCTTTTTTTTCAATTTATAAATTTCATGTTAATAGGCTATAGAAATATACACATATTTAAGTAATTAATTTAGTAAAATTACTATTGTTACGCCACTGTTATGTTCTTTTATTAGGATCTGTGAGGTGGGAGTGGCTTAAAAACTTATTATTTTATTTCATCACTTCCTTTTTGTTTTTTAATAATGTTATAAATAACTTTTTAATGGAATTTTGCCACCTGCCCTTTAAAAATTTGACCCCATTTGGCAGATACCAATACTTAACTTTTAATGGTTTAAATATGATTTATACCTACCAATAACCAATAGAAAGCTATTTTTTAATATGCAACATATATTAAAACCATGAAAAGTTAATGTTTGAAATGAGAGGCTAGTTTTAAGTTTAGGTTTTTGTAGCTTTTTTGTGCACAGCATTTTTGTGATAAATGGGTTTGGCAATTTAATTGCTGTATAAGTAAATTTAGATGTGTGCAAGTCGTATAACTGTTATATACAATTACTATGAATGTTGTTATTTCATATTTTAATTTTTTTATATTTATGTAATTTTGAAATATATGCATTATATAAAATATAGTTTTATATCAAATTTGACTTTCTTTTAAAACTTAAAATGTTACTAATCCTTTAAAAATCGACACTTTAAGTTGAATACAAGGTGTCCCTGAAAAACCAAATATGTTCCACAAAATGTAAAAAAGACAAAAAAGTCAAAAAATCGAAAAGGCAAAATAAGTAAAAAAGAGAAGAAGAAAATTAAAAAAGATGGACAAAGAATCAAAATTAGTCAAAAACAATAAAAAAGAAAACAAAGTAAAACAAAAAAAATTAAAAAGTCAAAATATGCCCTGAGTTTAAAAAAATTAAAAAAAGACAATTAAAAATCAAAAAATGTGGATCCAATTCAATAAAGAAGATTTTTAGACAATTAAACGAAAAAATAAGTTTGCAACATTTATTAATTAATAAATAAAATTAATTTACTTACATTAAGTGGGTAAAAAAATAACAATTACAAAAAATAAATTCAACAGATAGGTTAATACAAAAATAATTACTTAAATTGTTTGCAATAATAAACAATATAATTCAATTATAAAAAATAAAGTTTATAATATAGTTTTTAATACTTATAAAAGGAAATAGAATTAGGAAATGTTAAAGTAAGTAGGCCCACAATTAAAAAAAACCTTTTTTAATAAAATTATTAAAAAGGTGTATAATAAATAATAAAATTGCTTACATTATCACAAAAGTTAAAGCTTCAAAACAAAAATTGTCCTACATCTACAACTTGCTCATCAACTCTGGTATGTCAGTGTTCATGGAGTCGTTCAAATCCTTCTCGAGGACATCCTGGAAGTGCCTTCTCCCGTCGATATACATCATGGCTTCGTGGTACGTCAGAGGTAAAACCTCTCTGACGATTTCCGGCACCTGGAAGGTAAAGTGGAAGGTGTTCGTAGTGTCGCTCCTCCCGTTTATGGGATCGTACGTTTCGACGTAAACTATTATTTGCATGTACTGCAGCTGCGTGAAAACCACGTGGGCGTGCATTTGGATCAGCGAATTCACGGCTATGGGCCTTTGGAAGTTTATGTCGCTTATGCTCTTCATCATAGGTCTGTATCTGCTGAACCTACAAATAAAAACGATCTTGCGCATCTGTTTCCACCACTCCATCAGATTCGACTAAAAATAAGTAGATTTTGTCTAAAACATTTTTTCACATTTGTAATAGATGGCGCTGTAATGAAAAAAATCAATTTTGTTCGATTTTTCCTTCTTATACGATTCTGCAATAATTTTTCTATAATATCACTTTTTTTGGTAATAATTATCTTATTAAATTAAATCTGATTTTTTCAAGTACCCACGATTTTTTAACTAATATTTAAGTTTCCTTTGGTTTAACTTTTATACATATTTATTATTATCAATTGCGCACCATGGTCACTTTTTACCTGTCAGCATTAAATCCTTTAATTTAAAGGATTATTGTACTATTTTTAATAAAAATACCTCATTTAAGGTAAAAAATATAATGGATTTTTTAACAGTGGAAGAGAAACTAGAAATGATTTTGATTTATGGAGAAGCAGGCAGGAATCTTGATGATGCTGTTAATATCTACGCTCAGCGTTTTCCGAAAAAAAATCGATCACGTACTTCATTTCACCGTACAGTGAAGAGTTTACTACAAACGAGAGTTTGTTTGAAATTAATGTTTTAGCAGCAACGGCCGCTAATCCTCATGCAAGCACACGATAATTATCTAGAGATTTGGGAATATCCCAGAGCAGTGTTAGCAGAATATTTAAACAAAATAAATTTAAAAAATCGTATAGAAGAAAAATCGAACAAAATTGATTTTTTTCATTACAGCGCCATCTATTACAAATGTGAAAAAATGTTTTAGACAAAATCTACTTATTTTTAGTCGAATGATCCAAATCTGCAATAAAAATAGGGTGTTTCATTGGAAATTTTACAGTTCCCCTATAAGAAGGAGAGTATGAGGACCAATTTTAGTGTTGATTGATTTCCCCCCTCGAATCATTTAATTTTTATTTTAAACATTTTTTCGTAAAATGCATACTAAATGAGATAATTCAAAATTTCAAGTTAACTGACTCACCCTGTATAAATAAATTTGTAAATACAATTTTGTAATAAATAAATTTAGAAAAAATATGTTGTTTATATTTTTTGCTAATGTTACTTTTTATCTCATTCTTTATATTTGCTTTAAAACAAGATATTTTATTTGAAAACCCATTATTTACAACATTTAACCTAAAAACTAAAATAAAAATTTTCTTATCACTTTTTTCACAATTTTTTTTTGATATTTAAAAAAATATATTTTATTTAATTAAAAACCATATAAAATATTTGTTTTACATTAATAATATTTTCTTGAAATGGTAATATTTTGAAATAGATCAATTTTTACGTGTGATCTTCAAATTATTAAAATATTTAATCTAAAAATCAAATAATTTTATAGAAATTTTGATGAATTTCTGATGAATATTTAAATTTTAAATATCATTTAAATTCAAAATTTGTCCTACTGAAGAGCATACCATGTTTTCTTGTACAAATTAATGATAACCAACATACCTGAAGCCCAAAATAAAGGCCAACTCGCTAGCGTTCCTCATTATAAACCCACCGAAAACGGTGTTGTGCAAATTTCTGTCCTCCGGATGGGAAAAAATTACATTTGATAGCGTACAGTTGCTCATCCACTCGGTGCTTGGCGGTAGGACTCTTCTAGTTAGCGAACCTTCCTTCACGTCAACTGTGTTTGTGTACAAATTGTGGATTATCCTTTGTTCTTCCTCGTTCGGTATCACTTTGGATACATGCTGGGCTTGCAGCTTCATGCGCGCCGTTTTTCGCGATTCCCCACCTTAAAATCGCCAACTAACTTTTTCAAAACGTTTTTCCTCGATTATTTTCCTCATTATAATATGAACCAATCAAAAGCCTTGAATTTTCTAATAAATTTCGTTTAAATAAGCGATTAAATCACTAGAACTATTTAACAGCGATTAAATTTTAGCCTCCATATTGGATTTTTGTTTACGATTTTATGGTGTTATTTACAAGTTTTAACAAACATTTTTTAAAAAACAATAAAAAATAAGTTATCTAGTTTACGAAATATCAATTATTACTTATTACATACCTTAAATTAATGGAATTTTCTTTAAAAAAATATTTATAAATTTTGACACATCAGATTTTATGAATTGTCAAATAGTTTCCTTTAATTCGAGAAATAATCTAGACGTATATCACTCAACCTATAAATTTAATCTGTCAAACTATGCTCAGTAAGTTTTTTATTTGATTTTTCTTTTTGGAAAATAGTTTCATGCAAAATAATTAAAAATAAAACCCCTCGACCGCTACGCGGTCTCGTGATTTTATTAAATTATTTTGCATTCAACATTTTCCAAGGAAAACCAAACAAAAAACTACTGAGCCTAGTTTAACCGATTAAATTCATAGTTCTCGTGATATAATATATGATTAAATATTTTTACCGGCCAAAATGCTTCTCTCCCGCTCGTCGGCCGGCTCCAGGGGATTCACCAGCGCCGACCTGGTGTTGGTCGGGTCCCTGGCCGCTATCAGAAACAGCGCCCTCGTGATTCTGTGCCAGGAACCGTGCAACTTTTGCTCCAACCACACCACCACCTCCATCGACGATTTCCCCACCCAGCTGACGTGACCCGATATTTTTATGTCTTCGTCTGGCTAAAAAAATGCCCGATTATGTCTTTGAGCTGCCAAAACTGAGTTTTAGAGTTAGAACGTTTTAAGAGTTTCTTTAGAAAGTTTTAAAACATTTTTTTGCAAATATAATACATTTAGTACAGTTCATCTCTTTTATATGGACTGTTTTTTTATTAAGTTGGTAGCTTACGCCAGTTTGATTTAGTATATTTAGTATTTCTGCTAAAGAAGAATATTTAATTAAATACTGTCAAATTGACAATAATATTTATTATTGATAATTTACTTGTCAATTATAAATAAAAAGATAATTATGCCAAAAACTTCATTTTGATGAAATTATGCCAAATGCCGCAATGGAAGAAAAAGTACATCGCCTTATGGACATTTTTGGAGTAAAAAGTAACGAATTTGATTTTATAAATATTACATCACACATTATTCACCATTGGACAACATTACGTTCACAAAAAATTTTAATTTCTTTTATATAAATTCTTTTCAAAGCGAAGATTATTATCCGCTAGGAATACTTTCTCTTCTGGGCCGTAAAGCAACCTATATTTAACTACTTTTTTTATACGATTTTACTCATCCAAGCACCACCAAAGCCAAACTAATTGCATTTTTAACTACGAATTTCGACAACTCAACTTGACAACTGCACAATGTAACCTACAATAATTTATACATAACCACAATTAGATTTATAACTAGCTTAGTTTGTTTTAATCAATGCGACCAACTTGACAACTGTATTTACCAACCAAACCCCTAAATTTGCAACGTTGCCGCAGTCCAGGTAAAAAAAATGAACTTTAGTTAAAAATGAGTAATATAAATGATTTATGAACAAAAAAAATCATGCAAACATTAAAATAACCAACTCTCAAATCTAATACTTGCTTCTGTAGTTTTTACTTACATTCATCATCTAAAGTCGAGTAATAATTGAAAGAAATGAAAAACAATAATTATTGTAACTTATTTAAAAATTTTAATATTTTGTTTTTTAAGGTTTTTGTATGAGAAACTTACCCGTGGTACAAAGTCGCTAAAATCGATTTTGTCTACAAGGGCGGTGACCAAAGTTTGGGGGGATGGTACCCCATCCGGCAGTTTTGGGTTTAGTATGTGTTTTTGGGCCACCATTACTGCAAGAAAATATATTTCTTCTTTTAAAAAATGCTATTTTATAAAAAAATTAGTAATGAAAAAAAAAACACAATCCAAACTGTCAAATGTCAATTTTAAGGTTAATTAAAAGTAAAATTGACATTTGACAGTTTGATGATTAATATTTTATGTAAATTAATTTAATATAATTTATTTAACGGTTTTCCAATAACCTTTTTATTAAAATATGTAATATAAATAAAATAAAGATAAAACAAAAACTCTTTAAAAGTTTTATTAGCATTTCAATTAAATAAAAATTGAGAAAATGTGAGGTTAAAACCGTTTGACAGATGTCAGATTGGGGAAAAGTGAGGTTAAAACCGCTTTAAAATTGTCGGATAAAATTTTAAAAAAATTACATTTGCGTTCTTTGTAGATAAAGTAATTTTTCAAGATATCTTATTTATTAAAAACTCAGGCCACAAGCTCCGCTCGTGCATAAACTCGTGTATAAAATGACGTTTATAAAACTATTTATATTATATACTTTGTCTATAAATTCAATCTATATCTTCTATAGTTTTATCAAAAAATATTAAAACTATTCATTGTTATAAATAAAACTGTCAAGTTTTTAAAAAAACATTTTTCAAAAACACTCCAATAAGTATAATATTTATGGTTTTTTTTATTTGGAATTTAACCTTTATACACTATAGTGTGGTAATAAATCAAATGAATAAATAATTGTTAGTCATATTATAGGACTTTAAACTTTTAAATTAAAAAATTCTCATAAAAAAAATTAATCAAATGAAATTAGGAAAACATAAATATGCTACCTTTATATAGTTTTTAATAATATTAACAATTCAAATTTAAATCTAAATACAAAATAAAGATTTTTTTTTAATTTTAAAATTAATAAATAAATTTAAAAAAATTAAATTGTTATTTTTTTTACCTGCAAAGATGTCCATATCTTCCAGCAGCCTTCCCAACCTGATAGACCCCAAAAAAGTGATATATTTGTCCTGTAGAGTCTTGTCACTTGAAAGAGGTATATAACCCACCAAAAAACTGTCCTGCATGGACCTTTTTGGCAATTCCGCTTGGCTCTTGGGAATATACTGGACTAAATGTGACCTATTTGGAGGAATGGGTTTGTACCCCGATTCAACCCCCATCGTTTGGGCCAGCTTAACCTTCACTAAACACATTACATTTCAACATGAATGAAGTAAACCAATTTTTAACTTACATTCACTCATGGTGGCATGTTCCCCTTTTGTAGGCAGTAGAGAGGAAAAATTGGCGTTCACATAATTCATTTTAAACAATCTAAAACAAGCGTGTTGTGTATAACAGTACAATTTTTATTGAAAGTGGTATCAAAGGTCAATATAGTTCATATTATGATTGTTTATTTACCCATTATTAGCAACAAATCTTCGGCTGGCGCTTCTGATACCTTGATTCAAAAGTTTAGAATACATTTTGTAAATTCGTGTCGTTTAAGTTATAATACTAATTTATCTACATAAGTGCTAATTTTAATTTCCTGGAATTACGTAATTTCGCAACAAATCAAGGATAGTAGGTCGAAAATACCTCCAATGCAGTGTTGCCAACCCTTTTGCAACAAAGTTCCCTCGAAAATGTTCAAAAATTCCCTTTTTCCCCACGCTTTTTGAAATATGCTGTTACCCGTTTTTTTAAATATAAGAGATATTATTTTGCAAAAAAAACAGCATTTTAAAAATTTAGCAACACTATTTATTAGTAAACCTATAAAAGACAACGTGTATAAATACAAATATATATGTAAAATAAAATTATAAATTTGCCATATTGATAAAAAAGGATATATCCTTATGCTTATATTTGTAAAATATGAAGGAAATCCTTTAGCTTGTATTAATGATTATATGTATATAAAAGCTGAAGGATTTCGTTCATACTTTGCAAGTATAAGCATATCCTTTCTTCTATAAATACGGCCTATTGTTTTGATCTCTAAAAGAATACATATTTTTATTATGTACATCCAAATAAAGTTTTGTTTCATTAAAATTTATATATATTTTTTGTATAAAATACGAAAAAAAGTCATAAAATATAAAAAAATCCGAATTATTTGATTAGAAAAAGTGGGAAAGGGTTAATTATAAACTTTTATTTTGAATTGATATAAATTTCCCTCATGGACGGCCTTTTTTGAAAATTTTTCCCTTTTTCCCATTTGTCTCAATTTGAGCTAAAATTTCCCTCAAAATGGGAAATTTCCCACGAGTTGGCATCACTGCTCCAATGTCAAATCCACATATACAGGGTGTCCCAAAATTGGCGGCCCAAAGGGTAAAGGTAAACTCCAAGATGCATATTCCTTTGCCATTTAATGACTAATTTAGTCAAAATCATAAAATTCCAGTGGGGTTATTCATCTTTTAAAGCAGTCTGTGTTTTAAAGCCGGCTGTTTTATCGATTTGTAATCTGGGTTGCCTACCTTTATACGAACAAACCCGTCCGATAGAGCAAAACGCCCAATGCATTTGAACTACTTTTTGGACAGCTCTTGACAGCGGCTGTCAGTTCGAAAAAAAAATGCAAAATGGCCACGTCTAATGTTGACGAGAATTATTTTTCAACAACATTAGACGATAATAAATTAACGGAATGGGTGCCGCTCTCGTTAACGCTAGTAGAATATCCGAAAGGTAAGATTTTGTAGAAAAAACGCAGTTTTTTTGGTTATGTGGCTGTTATTGACCTGGATAGGTTGACATTTCGAAAAAATTGAAAAAATAAGTGTTTTATGATTGCATGGCTGTTATATAACGTGGTTATTATTAACGAAGTGGCTATTTATACGTCCGACGTATACAAAATTTGGTATACGTCTTGAGCTTTCATTGTTGAGTTTGGGTTGGTTTCGCTCACTGTCAATCAACTTAAATGGGCAAAAGTGAGCGAAACCAACCCAAACCAACCCAAACTCAACAACCCAACCCAACCGACCCCGCCCCATTGGACCCCCCCCCCGCCCAATTTTTCAACGAAGGAATATTCATATAATTACATTTTATATTATATAACTGTAGCAAAATGAATATTAATGTAAAATTAAATAATAATCCTTTTCGCAATATAAATAAAATTAAAAAAAAAAGTTGTTGGCGCCAAGAATCGAACCTGGTATCTCTCGCATACAAAGCGGGCGCTCTTCCATCGGAGCTACCGAGCTTATTAAATAATTCCTTTTGTTTTGAAAATAATACCAGTTTACAGTGTGTGACGTGTGAAGCATGTCTGCGAAAAGTAGCCGGCGCTGGAACTAGACGCTAATAATAAACTAGCCAATGAAAGCACAAGACGTATACCAAATTTTGTATACGTCGGACGTATAAATAGCCAGTTTGTATTATTAATGGTATGTATTTTAGGAGATATTATAGGAAAATTTTTGGCCCTTATAAGTCTTGCTCCGTTTGGAATAGGTGCTGGTTTTTTGGCCCTTATATTATTTAGAAGGGATCTACACACAGTAATAATTATTTATTACATAAACAGTTGGAAAATAACTAATGACTTTGTTTTAGATAACATTTTTTATAGGGACTTTATTATCGGAAGCACTTAATTATGTACTGAAACACACAATTTGTGAGGAACGACCCTTAAGAAGGGATCATTCTTATGTGGAATATGGAATGCCTTCATCGCATTCCCAATTTGTGTGGTTTTTTGCTACTTATGTAATTTATTTTGTATTTATAAGGTGATAATCAACTTTTTGTAAAAACCATCTATATATAAGATGTTTTTAGATTGCACCATTTGAACAATAACACCATCATAGAGAATGTATCAAAAATTTTGATCATTTCATCTTCTGTAATAATGGCATTGTTGGTGTCGATAAGTAGGATATACCTACATTACCACACAATTGCTCAAGTTTTGTGTGGAGCCCTTGTTGGTATTCTATTTGCAACATTCTGGTTTGCCTTAACCTACCTTGTGTTCACTCCATTGTTCCCACAATTAGTGACATGGTGAGAAAATATTAGGCCTGTAACAAGCATTATTAAATTGCTTTTTTTGTAGGAGAATATCGGAAATACTCTTGCTTAGAGACACAACTCTAATCCCAAACGTTCTGTGGTTCGAATACACCAATACAAGGCAAGAGGTTCGAGCCAGGAGTCGTAAGTTAGTTCACATGAAGTCTCAATGACATTTACTGGATGACAGCTTGAACTTTACGATTGTCTACAGGTTTTTCAGGGGCCTAAAGTCGTTTTTGTACTGGCCCCGCAAACGATAATCGTACAGTTAGGTTGTTACAGGTTTGTTACAATCAATTTTTCTATTTCTAAGAGAAAAAATCCCTAGATTTACAATCTAGGGGGAAATTGTTTTGGGTTTTTTACAAAAGTATCTGAGAAAATGTCAATTTACATCAAAGTTTTTTATATTTTGAAGGCTAATTTAATCTTTGTGTAATATATGGAAAATAGTATATGTTTTGTATGATATTAATGTTGATATAACTTAAGTATATTTTTTTATGTGGTAAAATTAACTTTTAAATTATTTAATTTGAAGCATAATTCTCAGAAATAGTCGCATATGAACAGAAAAATATTTTTTTTTTGGCTGAAAACGTCAAAATTTGGGGGGATATGGTTGGTAAATCAAAAGTTACTAAACCCATAATTGGCAACATTTAATAAAACAAACTGTAAAAAATCTGATTTGGGTTGTCTTATTTGTTATAAATGTTTTAGTTAATTGAAATTAATTTATAAATAAAATAAAGTTAAAATTGGGATAAAATCGTTTTACAAACTTCTCAAGATACTTGCTAATTAAAAACTTTTGCATAATTACTTGTTACATAATATAGGTACTATTACTTACTTTATTTACAGACTTAAATTTAAAATTGTAATATAAAAAGAACTGTCAAAATATTCAAACAGGAATACCAACTACTATAGAATTAAAAAACTCTACATTGACCACCAACACAACCAAATGTGTAAAACTAAAAAAAAAAGCATTTTTCTGTTCGCATGCGTTATAAGAAATGTTATTGTAAAATTACTCTTGAAACGCGGAAAGATATTTCACCCACCCTATTATGTGGGCATAAACCAGACTGATATCAAAAACATTCAAGATAAGACTATTAAGCCTCTAAACATGACAAATATATTTGCTAAAAATTGCGCGACAAATTTAAACAACAATCAAAACCAAAACATTCTTTTTAAATCAAAGATACCTACATTTTGGCTGTCTTTAAAATTGTTGCGCAAAAGTTTACACCTTTATAATAATAAATTAAAAAAAAAAAAATTAAAAACACCAAGAGGCAACTAGATAACAAGTAAATTAACGATTTTGTAGCTGCTACTAACTTTGTATTCATCTATTTATATTATGTTTTGTGCTAATATCTTGTAATGTACTTACATATATTCTATTCACACTTCTCTGATTTTGGACCACACTGAATAGAATGTTTTCATCAAAATGACAATACATGAAAGCTTTAATAGTAAGTCATAGTTTAGTTAGGGCACCTCGTCTTTTTGTTTTGTTCGATAAAATTTTTGTCTTCCGGTTTATTTTCTAGATAATTAAGTTTAACCCTCTCTTGAGATTAACTTTGACAGCTTTGTTGTTAATTATTAACCTCTTACGTATAGTGGCAGCATTTTCGTTATAAAAGCCTAGTCACTTTAGGTAAAAGCACATTTTTCAAGCGTTTAATAATTATTATAAGTTTGTGCTTTGAAGTTTGAAGGTTATGTGCATTCATTTATTCTACAGTGACCTGTAATTTTACAGTTACCTACACTGATTTCAAACTAACTGCGATAGATGGAACCACTCTACCCATGTAATTTTCATTGCAAATATGAAGTCTCTTTATGAGTTTTATGATAAATTATACGCTTGAAAAAAAGTCTTACATTATTAATATTATTGTTATTATGTAACAAAACAGCAATCATTAAGGTACTTATACTAACAGCATTGACTGATTTTTAAACTCGATAGAAAGTTTGTAAACTAGAATAGCAATGGTAGAAATAAAAAAAATTACTCCTTACGTGACGTAACGTTATAAATGTTTCCCTTAAAAGTGCTTTAAATAAGTCTAAGAGTGAATTGGTCAAATTTAAAATTATACCCTTATTTATTTTACCTACCTACAGGGTGATTTAGATTAATAAAATCAAAAAAGTTTTTGTTGATTTATTTTTTCTTGGGTTATTTGTTTGTACATTCCCATAATTTTAAAATTGATTAATTCGCTGTTTTGGTAGACACCAAGTGTATATTTATGTGCAATATAATTTTTCTTGAAAAGATATAGAATTAAATGTTTAGCGTTTCATGTCCGTATTTTTAAATCGATATATACATTTTAAGATTTGGCTAAATTTTGAAAGAGTATAAACATATTTTAAGCAGCTAAATTATACAGGGTGAAAAAAAATGAACTCTTCAAATAAAATCAAAATACCCAAAAACTTGTCATTATCGGGTCTGTAACATACAAGTTGCATTTGTTAACTGTAGTGAGTGCCAAAATTTGATATTTTAAGTTAAAGTGCACCTGAGATACAGGGTGAATAGATTATTTAAAATTTTAGTTTAGAAAAATACGGACATGTAAATTATTCTTTAGGTATTAGGATTGGATTTCCAAAATTTTCGAAAATCAAATTTCAAACGCACAATGTACAGATTCTATAATTTCTATTTGATGTAATACCTAGCATTATATGTTTTATGTTGTTTGTATGTTTATATATATAATAAGCAACAGTTAGTTGATAATGTAAAATTTTATTACCTGATTAAATTATTAATAAACTAAAACTTTATTTTAATTCTTCTTCGTCGTCTTCTATCAAGTCCGATAGAGTACTTTCGCGAGTTTTTTTTGTTTTCTTTTTATGTTTTATTGCTTTTCCTGTGAATAAAATTAGGTTAAAACAATTATTAATAATTGTGCTACAGTTCGTATTTTTATTCGGAATTTGACGTCAAAAATTTGGGGGTTTAGTTGGCAAATTCTAGAGACCCCAAATTTATAGTTGGCTACATTGAGTACATTTAGTTTAGTGGAGAATATAATTGTGGTTATGTTATAATTATAAGAATATGTTTATAAATTGTGAAATATCAAATATAGGCTGTTAAAAAATGCAATAACTTTCTTTGATGAAATATAGGTTACTTTACCGCCCAAATACACATGTACGTTTATTATGATTCTGACAGTTCGTCACCTGAGAATTATAGTGTTCTATCTGCATTTTCTTTTTTTTATTCAGGTTAGTCTTGTTTTAAGTCTTAAAGATGATATTGATCTATCTATATATAATTGGGGTAGAAATTGTAAAGTTTAAGGCTTAAACTGTACAATTTCTACCCCAATTATATATAGATAGAACAATATGCATCTTTATTATTTAAAACAAGACTAACCTGAATAAAAAAAAGAAAATGCAGATAGAACACTATAATTCTCAGGTGACGAGTTATATTATAACATGAGTACTAAAGTAGTTATGTTAATATATTAACATACAATCAAAAGTGTCAAATACCAAATAAAAAAAGGAACTTTATGTACAATGAACTTCATGGTAAAGTTAATTTTTTTTATCTGGACTGCGGCAACGTTGTAAATTTAGGGTTTTGGTTGGTAAATACAGTTGTCAAGTTGATCGCATTGATTAAAACAAACTAAGCTAGTTATAAATCTATTTGTGGTTATGTATAAATTATTGTAAGTTACATTGTGCAGTTGTCAAGTTGAGTTGTCGAAATTCGTAGTTAAAAATGCAATTAATTTGGCTTTGGTGGTGCTTGGATGAGCAAAATCATATAAAAAAATTAGTTAAATATAGGTTGCTTTACGGCCCATAAGTATTCCCAGCTGATAATAATATTCGCTTTGAAAAGAATTTACCTACATAAAAGAAATTAAAATTTTTTGTGAACGTAAATGTTGTCCAATGGTGAATAATGTGAAAATAATGTGTGATGTAGGTAATATTTAATAAAACCAAATTCGTTATTTTTTTACTCCAAAAATGTCCATAAGACGATGTACTTTTTCTTCCATTGTGGCATTTGGCATAATTTCATCAAAATTAAGGGGCTTTTACATTCGAATTCGTTGCTATTATTTTTGGCATAATTATCTTTTTATTTATAATTGACAAGTAAATTATCAATAATAAATATTATTGTCAATTTGACAGTGTCAAAGTATTTAATTAAATTCTTTAGGAGAAGTACCATTTTTAAATACTAAAAATACTAAGTCAAACTGGCATAAGCCACCAACCCAGCGTTGCCAGATGATCAAAATGAAATTACCGTACCTGCTTGGTAAAAATTACCGTATTTAAGAAAAAATTACCGTACATTTGAAAAATTAAAATAAAATATTTAATATATAAAAGCAACAAAATTAAAAAATATTTTTTATTGAAAACTTACAATAAGTTAATTTAAATAAAAAACATTTAACAAAACAACTCAAAAATGCAGCCCATAATTTTCTCCAAGAATTTCATTCTAATCCTAGATATATGAGCTGGACTTTTGGAATCATAAATAACAAAAATCCCAGGGCAAATGAAACTTAAAATTAATAATTATTTGTTAACAAAAATCACAGGGCAAATGAAATTTAAAATTAATAATAATATTATTATTTCTATTAAAAACTCATCATCATTCTCTTATGCAGCTAAACCCGAGTCTTTATTATATAAATATAAAGACGTCATTCTAGATAGCATATCTTTGTTGGGTGCACAACTTGTATAGATATATTTAATAACAAAACCAAAGAACAAAACACTTTAATTTTAGCGGGAATATACAAATTGAAAACAAATGGGTTTGCGTCGGCGCTTTTAGCAAAAAGAATGGAGAGAGTATAAAAGTTAGGTTAATTTTATTATTCTCTTTCATCAATGTCGGCATTACAGAACCCTATAGCAGTGTTGCCAGATTTTTTTTCAGCCTGGCGCACAGCCGATAAAACAAGTCGCACAAAAGTCGCAACCTTGCCACAGGAAATAAAATTGGTTACTATAAATAAAAATTTGTTTTAAAAACATTTTATTTTACAAATTTAGCAAATTCAGTATTTCAAAACATATTTATTTTGTCACTAATATCAGTTTTGTCATTATAAATGCTAGAATTAAAATTTAACATTTTGAGGCCTATTCCCTTTCGCTAAACATGCATGTTCATGAACTACATATGTTTCGTAACATATGAGCCTATTCCCTTTCAATTATTTCGTCTATAGACGCATGCGCTCGAAGAATTTCTTAAACATCCATGTTTATAAACATCATCGGTGTTAAAATGGCTATTCCGTTTCCAAAATTCGATGTTTGGTGAACATACATGATGTTTGAAAACGTATGTTTACGAACGCTTGCCTAAGAGGTGCTGTTATAGACAATATTTAAGGTTTTTTATCAATATTTAAGGTTTTTTATCTTGCATTAATCATAAATTGCGGCGATGTTTGGTACAGTATACAGGGTCAATTCTCATATAACTTGTTCCGATGCTGTATCCACTTATTTTTGTGAAAACTAATTCTCGCTCAAGGTTTTTTTTAGTGTAATAAGCATGTAGCATTTCAAGGTAATGGGAACTTAAATTATGACAACCCTAATCTATTAATTTTTTCCTAAAATGCAGGCTTTATGTTGCAAATGTCACATAAGTTACCGGTCACCAA